AGGTGGCCAAAGTATTTGAGCTTCATCTTCAGTATCTGGCCTTCTAAAGAGCAGTCAGGGTTAATCTCCTCTAGGACTGACTGGTTTGATTGCGGTCCAAGGGACTTGCAGGAGTCTCCTCCAGCACCACAATTCAAATGCCTCAGTTCTTCGGTGCTCAGCCTTCCTTATGGTCCGGCTTTCACAGCCATACATTGCAAATGGGAAAACCATAGCCTTGACTATACGCACTTTTTTTGGCAGGGTGATGTCTCTGCTTTTTAGTATGCTGTCTAGATTTGCCATAGCTTTCCTCCCCAGGAGCAAGCAACTTTTAATTTCTTGGCTGCAGTCCCTGTCTGCGGTGATCTTGGAGACCAGGAAAATAAAATCTGTCACTACCTCCATTTCTTCCCCATCTATTTGCCAGGAAGTGAGAGGACTGGATGCCATGATCTTAGTTTTCTTAATGTTGAGTTTCAAGCCAACTTTTGTGCTCTCCTCCGTCACCCGCATCAAGAGGCTCTTTAGTTCCTCTTCACTTTATGCCATTAGTGTGGTATCATCTGCATATCTGAGGCTGTTGATATTTCTCCCAGCAATCTTAATTCCAACTGGTGATTCATCTAGACCCGCCTTTCTCATGATGTGCTCTGCATATAAGTTAAATAGGCAGGGCAACAGTATACAGCCTTGCCGAACTCCTTTCTCAATTTTGAACCAATCAGTGGTTCCATGTCCAGTTCTCACTGTTACTTCTTGACCCGCATATAGGTTTCTCAAGAGACAAATAAGATGGCCTGATACTCCCATCTCTTTAAGAACTTGCCACAATTTGTTGTGATCCACACAATCAAAGGCTTTAGCATAGTCAATGAAGTAGAAGTAGAATTTCTGCTTCATTTTTCTGGAACTCCCTAGCTTTCTCCATGATCCAGCGTATGTTGGTAGTTTGATCTCTAGTTCTTCTGCCTCTTCGAAATCCTGCCTGTACTTCTGGTAGTTCTTGGTCCACATAGTGCTGGAGCCCAGCTTGTAGGGTTTTGAGCATAACTTTGCTAGCATGTGAAATGAGTGCAATGGTGCGGTAGTCTGAACATTAAAATATTTTAAAGGATTAAAGTATGCTCGGGCTTCTAGTCCCTGCGCCGACAAGGCTTGGATGGGCCTCTCCTGGCCCCCGTCGAACGGATTACCAGCATGAATTAGGAAGCCCCATTCTTCACAGCTGTCTCGCCACGACGTCAACTGGAAGTCAGACCACTGTTGAATTTTCCAAGTTTGCTGGCATATTGAGTGTAACACTTTTGCTTTCTTGCATTTCTTTTTCTTTGGGATGGTTTTAGTTGCTACCTCTTGTACAATGTTGCGAACCTCCGTCCATAGTTCTTCAGGCACTCTGTCTATCAGATCTAATTCCTTAAATCTATTTGTCACCTCTACTGTATATTCATCAGGAATATGATTTAAGTCATACCTGAGCGGCCTAGTGCTTTCCCTACTTTCTTCAATTTAAGCCTAAATTTTGCAACGAGAAGCGCATGATCTGAGCCACAGTCAGCTCCTGGTTTAGTTTTTACTGACTGTATAGAGCTTCTCCATCTTTGGCTGCAGAGCACATAGTCAATCTGATTTCTGTGTTGACCGTCTGGTGATGTCCATGTGTAGAGTTGTCTCTTGGGTTGTTGGAAAAGAGTGTTTGTTATGACCATCGTATTCTCTTGACAAAATTCTACCAGCCCGTGCCCTGCTTCATTTTGTACTCTGCAAGGCCAAACTTGCCTGTTATTCCAGTTATCTTTTGGCTTCCTACTTCAGCATTCCAGTCCCCCATGATGATCAGGACATCGTTTTTTGGAGTTAATTCTAGAAGGTGTTGTACGCCTTCATAGAACAGGTCAACTTCAGCCTCTTCAGCACCAGTGGTTGGGGACAGACTTGGACTATTTTGATGTTGAATGGTTTGCCTTGAATGCGAACTGAGATCAGTCTGGAGATTGTATCCAAGTACTGCTTTTCCTACTCTTTTATTGACTATGAAGGCTACTCCATTTCTTCTGAGGGATTCTTGCCCGCAGTAGTATAGCTGATGGTCATCTGAATTAAATTCACCCATTCCTGTCCATTTTAGTTCACTGATTCCTAAGATGTCGATGTTCAGTCTTGTCATCTCTTGTTTGACCACATCCAGCTTGCCTTGATTCATGGATCTTACATTCCAGGTTCCTATGGAGTATAGATCTTTGCAGCACTGGACTCTCCTTTCACTACCAGATACTTCTGCAACTGAGTGTCCTTTTGGCTTTGACCCAGTCGCTTCATTCTTTCTGGTGCTACTAGTACTAGTCCTCTGCTCTTTCCCAGTAGCATATTGGACACCTTCCGACCTGAGGGGCTCATCTTCTGTCGTTGTATCTTTTTGCCTTTTGGTAGTCCATGGGGTTTTCATGGCAAAGATACTGGAGTGGGTTGCCATTTCCTTCTCCAGTGGATCACGTTTTGTCAGAGCTCTGTGCTATGACCTGTCCGTCTTGGGTGACCCTGCATGGCATAGCTCATAGCTTCACTGAGCTATGCAAGCCCCTTCACCACGACAAGGCAGTGATCCATGAAGGAGACTGCTTTTGATACTGGATGTAATATATATTGCCATTATGACTAGTAGCTATTGATCTTATCCTCCATAACTCATTTTTGAACACAGGTATCACATATATCCAAGACATACCAAAGCAAGACAACCAGCAATGAAAGTTTCAAAAAGACATACTATATTGGACCATTGGAACACAACAGTGGATGTGGTGTGGTGGTTATAGCATTGGACTGGAGACCTTGGCGATCCAGGTTTAATCCTAACTTAACCATGAAGCTCAGTGGGCAACTTTGGACCAGTGACAGTCTCAACCTAACCTACCTAACAGGTTTGTTATTATGAGGATAAAAATAAAGCAGAGAATGATATAAGCTGCCTTGGGTTCCTCACAAGAGCGAAAAAGATGGGATATAAATGCAGTGTATGATAATCATCATAATTGGATAAGTAATATTTTACTTGATGAGTTCAACAAACTTCAGTACAGCTACTACTGTAAATTTTCATTATCAATATATATGATTCCTCTAATAAATTTAATCTTTTCATGAAATGCATGCCATGTGTGATAGATGTTCCTACAGAACTGATGACCTACTGTGTTCATTGCTAATATGTAAAATCTATTTTGTCTTCTCCACCACAATCTCCCTGCTGGGTAGAAGAACTTTCATAATTCGGTCTGCATAACTGTCAACATACGTCAGAATATGTCTGCATATAAATGCACAGTCCGAGGGAGAGATGCTATTCCTTATATGCAACCCCCACATGCACCAAATAACTAAGGAAGCCTAACCTGATCAAACAGGCCTTGCTATTGTTTCCAGAGACAAAAGTCAGCAGAGATCATAATGGAGTGGGAAGAAGTGTGTGTAAAGCCTGTTTTTATTTAGTAAAATCTACTTAAAATTAATGCTTCAACCTAGATGTGTGGAAACTATACACTGCAATCCTGTGCATACTTCCTTGGGGAAAATCCCATTTAATTAAACAGGACTCAGGAGTAAATATGCATAGTGGTTGTTAATCACTACTAAGAATGTCAGTCAACCAGTATCTTTAACATTCTCATTTACTTTTACAAGGCAGAGCATAAGTTCATATTAAGTCCTGTTTCTCATAAGGAGGAGATAGTCAGGCAAACTTGTGGCTGGACTGTACTATTTCACACTACAAACTGAAGACTCACAAGATAAAATGTTATTCCATATTTTTAAAAATTTGCACCTAAAAACTGACCTCAGAGAGAAAATTGATCTCATTTCTACATGGAGGGATTTGTTTTTGTTTTTTTTTAAAGTACAGACAAGCACATATGCAGTATATAACAGAACATACAATTACTAAGCCTTTACAATGTGGGAAATAAGCATGGCCTTGCTTAAATCTTTTAAGGTAACACACCTCTTTTGGACATAACATTTTAAAATTCCATAATAGTCACACAGAAAGAAAGAGATCAGTAGTACTTCTAAAACTAAGGGAAACCCTTAATGTCAGACTTGCATATATGTATGCACAAGCAGTATACTTTAATTTGCATCCAACATTGCTGAAAACAATACCTACCTGGGATTCCAGTCTGGCTCTCTGTGAGAACCCTTTCTCCCTAACTACTGACCATTTGGGAGTTTCCTGGCAGTGTTGCCCCATTCAAAAACGTTGATGTGCTTACTGAGAATAAGAGCTTTAAATTAAAAGATACTATTTACTTTTTACGGAATTCGGCACCAGGGAGCATCTCCAAAACTGAATCAGACAACCGGGCCTATTTCTTAGTGTGTTCAGGATCCTCAGGCTTTAATCTTGACACGTGTTTATAATAGAGCTAATGCTACTGAATTCAGCGGATTTACTTCTGAGCAAATATGAAAGAAGCTGACTGCTTTATGGATAATAAAATACTTAGGAAGGATGAAATGGTAAGTAGAGAAGCGAAAGTACGCGATGATCAGGTCAAAAATGTATGGAACCAAACTTAAACAAAATTAAACATAAGTCCGAATGATTAAAAAAAGGTACTGAACTAGACCAATCAGAGGAAACCAAGAAATCTGTATATTAGCGATATTAGCCAGCGTTCTACTCAAAACACAGAAAGGGAAGCTGAGCAGACCTATTACAACCCGGGAAGTTTTTAACTTCCCATATCGCTTACCAAATACTAATTTGTTACAAAAGACTACGAATAAACTGCGCATGCCCTTACATGAACTCTCTTATCCACGCCTCTTACCTGCGTCAGGCTGTAACATTAAAAAAAAATTAGGAATGCGCGGCGTCCGCTGTCGCCCTGACAACGATGAACGTCACCAGATTCCAGGTCTTGCCATTGGCTGGGAGGGTTCGAGAATGCCCGAGAAGGCGGAAGCGGAAGCCGCACGTGGAGCCGGCGAGTAGCTGTCGCAGTTTCTGGAAACTTCTGTCTATTGTCGTATTTAAACCTATTGGCCGGAGGCGGCGATTTCCGCGCAGCGGCGAGGGCGCGGTTGTACCTGAGCGTAGCTCGTGCCTGCAGAGCGTGAGCGCCACTTTCACCTGGTCGCTCGAGGTAGATGCAATTATAAAGCAGAGAGCGATTTGCCCCCGGGAGTGGCCAGTGCAAGAGTCCTGTCATGGCTGTGGTGGGCTTTGATCTCGGCTCGCAGAGCTGCTACATCGCGGTGGCCAGAGCCGGCGGCATAGAGACGGTGGCCAACGAATTCAGTGACCGATGCACTCCGTGAGTAACATGCAGCTGGGATCGGGATCTGGAGGGAGGCTTGGGGGCGGGGGAATCGCGGAATCTTCCAGATGTGGGCCCTTAGGTCTGGGGTGCTCAGTTATGAAAGTAGTGGATTGTACAAACAATGCAAGAATGTATATCGCCCGCTTTCTATGATGAATGAGTTTTTAAATGTGTCTACTCATAAGGAACTGGTCCTTCTTTAAGAATGACATCCAGTATTTCTCCTATTTCGAGCAGATTCAGTGAAGTAAATACACTCTATGGAGCATAGCCTGTTGGATACACCCGTGTTTTTAATGGGTGTGGGATGCAGCTATCTTTCTCTAACTTCTTTAACTGCATAGAATTGACGGGAAGCTATCCGTTGCTTTTTGCAAGCCCATGCTAATTTCGGTGGGATTTATTTCCAAGTAAACCTATAAGCATGTTGTCTCAAAGCCTGTTACGTCCAATAAGTCTTACTCTCAAGAAACTGCACGGGATTGCAGCCTTAGGATAGCGGTTGTGTAGCACGTCCTGTTAACTATTTCTTTGGGAGTGGGGGAATCAAGTTATTCCTAAATTCATGTGCTTAGTGAGGAGTCCAGACGAAGGTTGAGCTTTCCTCTTTACAGGATATGACAGCTTCACAGAGAATGATGGATGCTCCTTATTCTGAACACATGTATCCACCCACCAGAGCTCAGGTTTGCAGCATTTTCACCATTGCTGCTTCTTATTTAAGCTTCTTTTGTCATTTCAGCCTACTTCCTGTGCATAGGAATTGTGAGGGGGCATGCTATGGCAAATCATCCCCGCACTTTTTAAGCAGCCACGAAGGCATTAGTCTACAGAGACCTGGGGGGGGGGGGGTTGATTATCTTTCCTCTGGTGTGTTCATTAAAGAGGGAGGAGCAGAGGTGATACTGCAGTGCTTTCTCAGAATTCATTGCTGTACTCTGGCTTGTACGATTTTTCTTTAGCTTCCTGATGCTCAGTAGAAAGAAGTGGGGGGTGCAGCACGGTGATGCAGTTTGAAGGAGGGGCCTGTTGGATCTTGAACAGCCATGATGGGGCTGGTCCAGTGAGGTTAGGGCCTAGAAGCTTCTGGAGATTTCCCAGATAACAATGGAGCATACAAAACAAGTGAATATCTTGGATTTCACTTTATCCATTTCAGATGGAGTGATCACTACTGCCCAGGATTTTTGAGGGTCTTTTGAGAAAGGTTATACTTGCTTATCCACAAGATCCAAGTACCCATTGGAATGGAAGTCTTAAGAACACCTGTCTCTTTTCATGCTCAGAGCTTGTGGAGGTATCTTAAGTTTGCAAAGGACATTCCAAGAAACTATCATGAAAGCTTGGTTATTGGGCAGTATTAAATTGTAATAACTAACTTGATTATGCCATAATTAAATGTGTGTGTCTTGAGAGTGTCACCAGAATCTTCAAGGTTTTTAAATAATCAAAAGTTTCATTTTCTGTGGCTTGTATTTGTAATACTTAATATGGATGCTTGTTACAGCAGTAGCCTGCTGCTGTAACTTTAACATCATACCTGCATCCAGTTCTTCCCTGCAAGAGCCTGGGGTTCCTTAGCGTGGATAAAAGTTGCTGATTTTAACTGATATTTTTATAATTGTAATTTTATAAATGCCAGTGATGCTATATCTCTAAAATCTGACATAAACATGAATTTAATGCAAACACATTGAATGTATACTTTGGATAATTTAAAACTGAATCCTTCATCTTCTCTCAGGTGGAAAGACTTAAACCAAAGACATTTACAGCAGCAATTTCACCTACCAAGCAAAAGCCTGGTTTAAATTGTTTAGATCAAGTCTCCTTTTGGTATTTCATATCTTTTCTGAAGATGCATACAACATTATTAATGTAGCTGTTACAAGATACCTTCAACTAAGTAGATGATTAATGCTTTCCAGGAGGGCTTGATTTGCTTAATTAGTATATAACTTGGTACTTTTACTAACTTTCCAAGTTAATTATGCCATACTCTGTTTACTTAATAGGTAGCTGCTGCTTCTGTATGTAAGGAGCAAAGTCATGCAGTTATCAGCCATAACATCTTATGTTGATTCACAGTTTGAGATCTGGATAAATTGGCATGCTAAAGAACATAAACATTGGAACACAAGTTAACTTGGGCCATGTAATACTCAAGATGGCATCTTTTGGAATCAGAGGCTGGATTCTAGAGCTTTTGATGGCCTGTCAGCCCCTGGTTTACAGTATCACATTCATAATAACCATTTGGTGTGAGAGCTGTTGTGTCAAAATTCTTGATCTCAAAAATATATTTCCCACCTCTTTTTTTATATGGACACCAATAAACAGCTTTTAAATTGGATGTATGATTTAGATGTGATTGTCCTGGTCTAATAAGCCAAGTTTACACAGTCCTTCCTTGCTCCTTATTGATACTTTGGTTTAGTAGCACTTTTCTCATTCAGGTATTACAGGACACTAGTTTAAGAAATGAGGAAATTTTCACTGAACAGAAAAGAGGAGAGGCAAGGGCAGATCATAGGATCAAATGACTTATTTCCAGTCTGATTAACCTTGGTTTATTGCAATGGGGTCATTGTGTCTGATCTGACCCAGTGTAACTGATAGAATGCATGTTTAAGAGATTGTTAGCATAATCTTTGCTTGCTTGAATTCAGATATAATTTTAATCAAGCAATTTTTAAAATGAGCTCGCAGTGTTGCATTTTTAAAAAAGAAATCTTAGTGTCATCATGCAGTTCGTGTTTCCAGCCAAATTCTGTATTCATTGCCACAGGTGGGGGTGGGAAAATCAGAACGTGGTGGCATTAGGACACACTTAAGCTTCATTACACATTATGAAGAGGACATCTTCAACACAAACCAGCCCTGTGCTTTTGACAATACCTGGTTCTTTTGTTTTCACTACCTGGAGGTCAGAGGTATAAATTTCATTTACCTGTAATTAAATTATCAGGTTTGTACTGCCTTACTTTTCTTAGATGTCTCTGGGATTTCCTTCAAACAGTCCTGACCAATTTCCTTTTGAATCAAGATCAATTTTTTTAAAAATTCCATCCCATATATATTTTGAATTCACAGTATAGTCAGATTTCATTTTGTTCTCAACTGTGCTGTGCATTAGAATCATTCCATAGTTTCAACACATCAAGATGCCATAAAGAACATGTAAACTGTTGTAGAAAAGAATTTGGGGGGCAAAAGCTAATGAATAGTAGCTGTACAGACAGTAGATTAGTTATAAGTAAATTACAATTATGTTGTGATAGCCTGCTGGCATAATGTGTTGCTATAAACTTTCACATCTGAGTCATGAAAAGCATCTGTATGTGCACATGTTTAGATTTATCATACTGTACCAGAGAAACCCCAACTGCAGTAAATTTGTCCTTTCAGGTCTCTTTGCATGTTATAATAGTAAACATACTCACTGTACTTTTATTTAATACTCACTGGTGGATTAATCTCTTTTCAGGTCAATTGTGTCATTTGGGTCCAAAAGCAGAGCAATTGGTGTGTCTGCTAAAAATCAGGCAAGTTGTCCTCTTAAAAGAATCAGAATAAATTACACTTAAATTAGTAATGTAACTGCTCTGAAATGACACTGTAAATTAAGAAAATTCCTGTGGTTCTCTTTAGTGTGGGTTGCCAAACTTATACTAGGCAGAGGGTTCTTCATGAGAGATGTGAAGCCCCAGGTGTGGGCGGGGGATATTCTTTTTTTTTTTTTACCCTTTTACTCCCAGGCATATATTTGTTATTGGGAAAGGGTCCCCCCCACCCCAAATGATTCAGGTTCTTTTCCCCCCTGAGGCTCTGTATCACTTGATTGTGGGTTGGCCGAAAAGTGAAAACCCCTCTGAGTGATCTGTCGTCTTTTGGTTGTTACCCTTTTAAAGCATCAGTTAAACGGTTGATGCTGCATAAAGTATCTAAGCCAGTTCCTAACTTTTCATTATATTGTAACATGTCAACAACCAAAATATGGCATGGGACTAGGCAGGCAGGAATAAGCTTTATTTTTGGTCATGGGAGCATCAGGATACGCAAACAGATGTGCCCATTCTAGCCCACTAGCATCCCCATGAGTGCTCTTTTACTGTGCCAATATACAGGGGATAGACTGGCCCATTTCTTCTAGGAAATCTAGCATGCATGCATGTGGAGACATAGAATTAGGGAAAGGACTAAAAACTTTCCATCCACCCCTATCAAACTTGTTATAATTCTAACTAATAATGATAAATGGAATTTGGATAATATATGCACTTTGCTCATCTCTGGCATTAAATTTTCCTATATAGTTAGTGGACTGACTTGGTCAAGATGGCTACATCATACAGTTTTTCTCTCTTCTCTTGTAGATGATTACACATTCAGAAAACACAGTATTTAACTTCAAGAGATTCCATGGCCGTACATATAACGATCCTTTTGTTCAAAAGGAGAAAGAGCTTGTGAGCTATTGTGTTGTTCCAATGAAAAATGGAAGTGTTGGAATAAAGGTAAAAATCTCTTTATAGAAATTAGGAAGCTGTAACTATAATAACTTAGTGTCAGGAATTGCACTCCAAGAGAAAAAAACCCTATTTCTCAGAGCCCCCTCCTACACCCACAAAAGAAGACCCTGAAGAGTGTGGGACCTCTGGAAACACATGGGATGTGGAAGGTATGTCAGTTAGAAACTGGGAGAAAACAGTGAGGGCTACCTGGCATCAGTTCAGGTGTTGGGAAACAGTGTTTTTTGGACGTGGAGACATTGCCATTTGATAATTAAATTCTGGATGAAAGTGTACTATATTAGCACTGTGTGCTTGCTTGGCAGTACTATATGTATTTACTCAGAAATAAGCTCCATTATGCATAGGATTATAGCCTGAATTATCAGCCTAGTGCATCCTCCACTGTCCTCTGCAGTCAGTGCACATAAACATTCAAATGTGGAAGCTTACATGTGTCCAACGCAGAGCGCAAGGTGCAGTGGGGCAGTCCCACTGCCTTGCACCCTGCATTTCATCTGGTCAGCCATTTCTGACAGTCAAGATGACATGCATACATTTATTTATTTGTTTAGAGTATTTGTATGCTGTCCCATTGCATAGCCTTGGGACGGCTTACATAAAATAAAACATAATATAAATATTTATTTATTTATTTAAAGTTTTTAAATAAAATCCAGATCCACCCTGGCTACAGATTAAAACCTATAAGCTGATGTTAAAAGTTATTAAAATATTGTTGAAATAAAAAGGTCTTAGCCTGGCGCTGAGAAACAAATAGCGACAGTGCCAGGCGGACCTCTCTGGGGAGCGCATTCCATAGGTGGGGCGCCACCGCAGAGAAAGCCCTCCTCCGGGTACTTTGCCTCCTAATATTTTTCATGGAGGGTTCCCAGAGGAGGGCCTCTACTGCTGATCTCAAGGGGCGGGAGGGCAAATACAGAAGAAGGTGTTCCTTTAGGTATCCAGGTCCCAAGCCGTTAAGGGCTTTATAGGTGATAACCAGCAGCTTGAATTGAGCCCGTACTTCGATGGGAAGCCAGTGAAGCTGGTAGAGGACTGGGGTTATATGAGAATAATGCCCAGTCCCCATCAGCAACCTGGCTGCTCTATTTTGCACCATCTGAAGTATCTGGCCCATCTTCAAGGGCAGCCCCACGTAGAGCACATTACAGAAATCCAACCGGGAAGTAACCAGTCCATGTGTCACTATCACTAGGCAATCGTAGGGTAGGGACGCAGCTGATGGATTAACCGAAGCTGAAGGAAAGCGCTCCTTGCCACTGTAGTCACCTGAGCTTCCAGGGACAGCTCTGGGTCGAGGAGCACTCCCAAGCTGCGGACCCTGTCCTTTAGAGGGAGTGCAACCCCATTCAGGACAAGGTCCAAGTCACTTACCCAGGAGCTCGAACCACCCACCAACAGGACCTCCGTCTTGTCTGGACTGAGTTTCAATTTATTGGCCCTCATCCTGCCCATTTCCTCAGCCAGGCACCGGTTCAGTACAGCCACTGCCTCACCTGGATCGGTTGAAAAAGAGAGGTAGAGCTGGGTATTATTATTATTATTATTATTATTATTATTAGGGTATCATCAGCATACTGATGATTCCGCAGCCCAAACCTCCTGATGACCTCTCCCAGTGGCTTCATGTAGATGTTGAATAGCAAGGGGGACAAGATGGACCCCTGCGGTACTCCATGACATAGCTGCCATGGCGCAGAGCCAAAGTCCCCCAGCAGCACCTTCTGGAATCGGCCGTCGAGGTAGGAGCGGAACCACTGCCAAGCAGTGCCTCCTACTCCCAGAACCGCTAGCCTCTCCAGAAGGATACCATGGTCAATGGTATCAAAAGCCGCTGAGAAGTCCAGGAGGACCAACAGGGACACACTCCCCCTGTCCCTCTCCCTGCACAGGTCATCGTACAGGGCGACCAAGGCAGATTCAGTACCATACCCGGGTCTGAAGCCAGACTGAAATGGGCCCAGATAGTCTCATCCAAGAGTGCTTGGAGTTGTCCTGCCACCACCCGTTCCAACACCTTGCCCAAAAACGGGATGTTGGCCACCGGTCTATAACTGACGGCCATCTCTGGATCCAGGGACGCCTTTTTTAGGACCGGCCTGACTACTGCCTCCTTTAAAGGAGCAAGCACCCGGCCGTCCCTCAGAGAGGAGTTCATGACCTCCAGGATCCAGGCACCAATCCCATGTTTGGCTTTGGTCAGCAGTCACGACGGGCAAAGGTCAAGTAAACAGGTGGTGGGATGTACTTGTCCAAGCACCTTGTCCACATCATCAGGCCACAATAACTGAAATTCATCCAATAATATCTGACCAGATGGAGACATTGGCACCTTCCCTAGAAGATCTGAATCTCTAGTGGAGTCCAGCTCATGACGAATCTGAGCGATTTTTTCCTGGGCAAAGTCGTCACAGCAGGCCATTGAGGGTGGTACGGGATCTTTCTTAGGGCCAGGATGTACCAGCCCATGTACCACTCAAAAGAGCTCCACTGGACGGCACTGTGAGGAGGCAATGGAAGTGGAGACAAATTTCTTCATCACCTCCCTCACCGCCACAGCATAGGCTTGATAATGAGCTCGTAAGCATGCTTGGTCAGATTCATCCCGTAATTTCCTCCACCTATGCTCTAGACATCTCCCAACCTGCTTCGTTGCCCGTAGTTCAGGTGTATACCATGGGGATGAACAGGCTGGATGGGAGAGGAAGCTTAGGAGCGATCGTGTCAATAGCTCTGGTCATTTCCCCATTCCACAGTTCAACCAGAGCATCAACAGGAGCGCCAGCTTTATCAACTGGAAACTCCCCCAGAGCTTTCAGGGATCCATCCGGCTCTGAGTGCGGACCAACACAATAGGGTCTGCACCCTTACAGAGGGAAAGGCCGGCATCGACCTCAAACCTCATGAGGAAGTGATCTGACCATGACAGGGGAGTCAGACATAAATTGCTCACCCTTAGATCACCCTCTTCCTGCCCCGTCGAGAAAACCAGGTCCAGTGTGTGTCCACATTCATGGGTCGGGCCTATGACATGTTGAGACAACCCCATGGCCATCATGGAGGCCATGAAGTCCTGAGCTGCCCCGGTCAGAACAGTCTCGGCATGGAGATTGAAGTCCCCCAGGACCAACATCCTGGGGGTCTTCAACACCAGGTCCGAGACGATCTCCGTCAGCTCAGGCAGGGAGGCTGTTGGGCAGAAGTGTGCACGGTACACCAGCAGAATCCCCAGTCTGTCTCGGTTGCCCAACACCAGATAGAGGCACTCTAGACCTGGTCTTGAGAGAACAAGAAGCCCCACAAGGGAAATTGAAGCTCGACAGATTAAATCGACCCCTCCCTCCCCTCCCTTCCAGGCGTGGCTGGCGCTGGATCAGATACCCAGGCAGGTACAGTTGAGAGAGGGACACATCCCCCCGCCTCTCCTGCCCAAGTCTCTTTAATGCAAGCCAGGTCAGCCCCCTCATCCACAATTAAGTCGTGGATGAGGGATGTTTTGTTATGGACCGACCTGGCATTAAGCAACAGCGCTGTCAGGCCCGAGGGGCAGTTGATAAGCATACCTGGAACCTTCCGGTTGGAGGAATAACCAGAAGGGGGAACATGTGTCAACCATCTGTCCGTCCTTCTTCTATGCCAACACGTTAAACCCCCAGTGCCATATTGACCATTGCCCAAAACCACCCCAATGGTGGCGCCCACGCACTCCCCAGGCAACCCCATAGTAGTGGCCAGGCATGAATCCATTACAACAATCTAATAAAATACAATTAAAATACAATAAAACCCTCCAACCCACCCAATTACAAAGCCCACCCACCCACACACATGCAGTGGATACAGCATAAGCTCTTGGCCCTAGTCAACTTCCTTCCCTCCTAGCCCTCTCCCCCGGTATGTCTTTGAACCCTCTCCAAGGCTGATTTCTGACCTCAGGGAGGCAGCTTTCCACACAAGCTATGAGGGGTTGGGGAAGGGGTATCCCATGTGCAGTCACTGTTCTGTGGTCAGTGAACTTTAGATCCGAGACTTTGTCCAAATAAGATTATTCAATGTTGGGATGTCTTAGGATTGTGCCCCACGGTATTAAAAGTTCACTATATGTGTTTGAAATGCTACAATATTTGCCTTATTTTGTTTCTGCAGGTAACGTACATGGAGGAAGAGCATTTATTCAGTGTGGAACAGGTAACAGCTATGCTGCTGACAAAATTGAAGGAGACTGCTGAAAATAACCTCAAAAAGCCCGTAACAGATTGTGTTATTTCTGTAAGTAGTTATGTTTATCTCTTGATGTATTTGGATTTGTTCGTCTTATGCAGGCACTATATGATCCAGTGGAAGCTGTCCGGTAATTTCTGTAGAACAAATGTTCTAGACCAAATGTTTAAATATCTTTCACTATTGGTAAATCTCAAAACAGAGCTGGACCTATTGAATGTTCTGGGTGTATCTCCTGCTGAGAAGCTGCAGCACTGCTAAGCTTAAGTAGATGCAGAACAGATCAGATGTCTGAATGGGAGGCTTCTGGAGCCTCCGCATAAGAGCACAGTCCTAAAAGACCATTGCTTTCAATTTGGTTGTTCAGTACACTGTTTGCAAGAGTAATGCAGGACGGGAAGAATGGCAGAAACTTTTACAACCACACCATCTTCCTTTGCAAAGGTTTATCTTCTGCGCATCTCTCAAAGGACCCAGAACTTGGCCTAGCCAGCTAAAGTTTGTCAAGAATTGGTGGATTCTTGGCCTCTCCTCTGCTGCCTACTGACATGCTCCCTCTCCTTCTGTCTTTTTCCCAAAGTCAGAGCCCCAGCCATGAGTAAGGAGCCAGCATGGGGCTCTTTGCAATGGGGGAAAAAGGAATCAAATAACCTCCCCTGAGGCTGCAGCTGTGTCTCTGGCCTTGGAAGAGGGGATTGCTCTGCAAGTGCTAGGATAGACCAGGAAAGAACAAAGCTGAATTACAAATGCACAAATATAATATATAATTGAAATTTGATATAGGCCATGCATAATTAAATCAGTGGCACATATTGTCATGTGCAAAATGGTATAGCATGCAATAAGAAATCAAATAGTTAATATTTACAGTAAAATTATGAATTTGCAAGGCAGTTCAGGTTTTTTTTACATAGTACATATGATCTATAGCTGGAAGAAATCAATTTCAGTTATACAGCATATTTGTACAACACGTAGAAGGTTTATGATGAAGGTTTAATCAAAACACATGTTGGTCAATTGTCAATTTGAATTTCTAGTTAGGAAAAACTACAATGTGAACTTGGAAAATCATAATTATAATATCAATTCTTTACAGGCTCTTAAATTACAGATATAAAATTTCCTGCAATGTATGTGTTGAAGTCTATCTGTAATTGGCTGTTTTTTTTTTGTTTTGTTTTGTGTTTTGTTTTGTTTTGTTTTCTGTTGTTTGATAATAAGCCTTTAAAAAAAAACCTAAGACTAGAGCTTGGTGAACAATAAAGCATTACTTGGCAACTGTTGCCGTTAGATATGCTGTGCCACCTTTCTCATTTTTTCCATTGTTGTTCTTCCTTCCATGAGGTTACTGTGGCTACCCGATCGAGTGATCTTTCAGGGACTATCTGAGCTATAGCTATTTTCTTTCTGAGTTTCCTCCTACTGTCTTTACCATGAGAGTTCTCACACATGCAATTTTAGTTGTCCAACCATACAGATGGAGAGGCATGTATGAGTCCTATTTTTATTTGTCTAAAGATACCACAGCAGTAAAAAGCAGCCAGCAACAGAGCAAAAAGTAGACATGTGTGATTTACTTATGTGTTCAATCTTGCATGGACTTATTTTCCACATAAGAATTCTGTAAAGCATGAAGCAGCTGTAAAGTAGGGAAGTGTTGATACAGCTCTGACTCAGTTCCATTTCCAATATTTCATTCTTTCATTGAATTCCTTCTTTGGCTCTTGAAAGTTTGCCCCACTGAAACAGCTGTTGAAACATGCTCCTGGCTCTTGCTTTCTCACAATTTGTATTGGTAATGGGTCATTGGTTTCTAAAGCCATTTCCAAAGTGCAGGAATTACACTTCAAGCTTCTATTACTATTTAACCACCACCTTCCAAGATTTCCTATATCCATCCTTAAGGTGGCTTTGAACTTGCTTGAGAAACCAGCTTTATTTTCACTGAAACCTTGTGACTTTTATGTAGTAAATGAGCAAAATTTCAAAGAGATTGGATTTTCAAGCAAAATAGCTTTTGTCCTGAAAGCAGGATTTTTCCTTATGGTGATTGGATATGTAATTGCTTCTTTCAGGTTCCATCATTTTTCACTGATGCTGAAAGAAGGTCTCTGCTGGATGCTGCTCAGGTTGTTGGATTAAATTGTCTCAGATTAATGAATGATATGACTGCAGGTAAGCACATAAAGCTTACTTTGTGTATGGGTACAATGAAAGTCCCCCCATTTATAGCTGTGTGCCTGATATAAAAGTATATTGTAGAAATATACGGGCATGCAATAGACAGATATGCAAGTTCATAAAATTGTTTGTATAGTTTATAAGTGCATTATAGCTTAATGTGTTCCTCTGTCTTGGGTTGCACAGCCTGTAGCCTAGGGCCACATACAGATCTTGGCCTAGTTTCAAAAGTGCTCTGTAAAGGATCAGTCTAGTGCTTTGAGAACAGCAATCTCTCCCTTCCTCAGTAGTCCACTGGGGGAATAAGGGGAGAAAGCGGTATGTGGCAGAAGGAGAGAAAAGGGGGTATCTTCACCCACTTTTGGCTCTGGCCCTGCCCTTTCCTGCCTTTGCTGTCAAGGGAATGCAGTCCTTGACAGAGAAAAAAAAAGGTTCCGGAGCCCTCCTTTCCATGGATCCTCCTTTTTTTGTTTTATTCTGAGTACCTTTTAGCCCTAAAGAAAACCATGCTGCCTGATGCTAAACCATATACCCATCTGGAAATGGTATGCACATTTTAGTTCTAACACAGGTATAGTAGCTATACATAACTTAAACATATCTGGATGCCTTTGTATTCTTTCACAGTGGCTCTGAACTATGGGATCTACAAGCAGGACCTTCCAGCTCCAGAAGAGAAACCACGGCTAGTGGTGTTCGTTGATATGGGCCACTCGGCTTTTCAAGTAGCAGCCTGTGCTTTTAACAAGGGTAAACTGAAGGTAGGCAGAGCCTAGGAGGCAATGCACAGTCTACTTGTTTAGAAAGTCTCTTTCAAGCATGCTAAAGCAGCAGGATTCAAGCTGGGGCAGGAAATAGAGCCTACACTTGCACATTCTGAGCACTGCACTTGCAGTGGAAAGCAAATAACCCTTAGCCAAAGAGAGCATTGTCATTATGTATTTTCAAATTAAAAATGGTGTAAGAATTTTTAAACTGGCAAAGCTGTGCCAAAACAGTTAAATGGAAATAAAAGGGGATGTAGTCACATTCATGTTGGCTGAACATTGCACTGGAATAATATCTTGATTTGGGTACATTTTCCCAAGTTACTACTCAGTAACTTTGAGGGAGTTGTGGAAACTAAGCTGACTCTATCAGTATTGACTGCCAGGCAGTGGAAACTTCATATGTATTTGTCTACAAGCACCAGTTTAGTGATGAGGAAGGACTATGGTTCATTGGTGGAGCACAACTTTTGCATGTAGACTGTCCCAGAGTTAATCCTTCACATCTTCAGGTAAGGTTGGAAAAATACCTGCCTGAAACTGGAGAACCTTAGCCAGTCAGTGACGAAATTTTCACAACTGTAATCAGGGGTTAATTAGCCCACAGATTGCCAGATCTAGTGCAAGTGTGCTGCTTTCGGCATGCTCATCACTTCGGCTTTGAGTTATCAACATACAACTGCTGTTATGTGTGGTCTCACTCATGTTAACAGTACCGGACTAGATGAACTGGGGATCTGACTTCATATACAGCAGCTTCCTATCGTAATTTTATTAGCACCATTTCTTTAGCCTTCGCATTGATAACTTTAATAGTTCATGAATTAATAGCAGTGCTGAACAGGGCAGCTAACGTTGCATTCTTTTCTTCAAAGGTGCTTGGTACAGCTTTTGATCCCTTCTTAGGCGGAAAAAACTTTGATGAAAAACTAGTGGATCACTTCTGTGCTGAGATAAAAGCCAAGTACAAATTGGACCCCAAATCAAAAATAAGAGCCCTTATTCGTTTATATCAGGAATGTGAAAAGCTGAAAAAGCTAATGAGCTCAAACAGCACAGATATTCCACTTAATATTGAATGCTTCCTGAATGATAAGGACGTGTCTTCAAAGATGAATAGGTAAGAGATCTGTTTGATATAGTCAAACTATACTGGAAGGAAGCAGATTATAAGGTTTCCATTAGAAGATAAGAGCTGTGCCAGATCAAGTTGGAGTCCGCTGTTCCTGCCATTCTATGCTTATGGGAAGTTCATAAAGAAGACGAGCCCAACAGCATTTTTTTTACTCATGTTCCTCAGCAACTGGCATTGCTGTGTCCAGAACTGTTGGCAATATGTAGCCACCCTGACATTAACAGTTTTTATTAATAGCAAGTAGTCATTAATATTTTCTTGAAACAGTGAATTCCATCCTTTACTCATGTGCTTTGATCTGTCCTGAATCTCTGCTTCATTGGATAACCCCGGGCTTTAGTATGATGAGGAAGACAAAGAGGAAGATCAGTGCTCCATAAGAAGTGGGGCTCATTGAAGTTTGAGGTAGTCCTCCTTGGTAGTTGCTCTGCAATCCTAATGGAGAAACATAGACTGCCTTCCTTGCCTTTGCTGATAAATGTCTGGACTGACCAGGAGAAAAAACCCTCCTCCTTCCCTTGCCATCACTTCCTTAATATTCTCTCTGCAATCTCTGCATTAACACTGAAGTCCTTAAAATATACTTCTGTTTTTGGCAAGCTACTTGTTTTGATTTTGTCCCTTGTTCAAGGGTGCAGTGGAGAAAAAATCATCCGGGTTATGTATTTCTATCGCATTTCAAGAACAATGGTTCTTATTCTCTTGGTTTTTCATAGAAATTCAAATGAAAATACAGCATAAGATACACCATAAATTTTGAAGCTATATTATAAATTAACAGATGTGCAAATATTAAAATACAGTAACCGATTTAAAAGAATTCTTTGGGAAAATAGGAATGTCTGTTTGGCACCAGAAAGAACACAATGTGGGCACTGGGTGAACCTCTTTGGGAAGTTCTTTGAATTAGAGTGCCACAACAGAAAAGGCCCTTTTCTTGGTAGCCAACAATCTGCTTCCTTTGGCAGAGGTTCTTGTAGAAGCTATGGATGTGTGAGGAATCCATTTGGAGTGGGAATCAGTTGGCTTTCCTGGGTTTGCCTCCCCAGAATCTAGTCCACTTTTCTGCAGCCACAAGTCAAGTTCCTGATGGGCATGCCCAGCATTTGTGCAGCACTTGCCAGGCATCAAACCCTATGCAACTACTGTCAATCTTCTATATCATGTACAGCAGCCATTCTGCTGCTGCATATGACACAGAAGAAAGTTGCCAGTTGAACAACCTTTGTTTGTAGACTTCCTCTCAAGTTGAAAAAAGGTACCCTATGCCACCTGTGCCTTCAGTGACAATTTGGATCCAAGAGCATTTTATTTTATTTATTTATTAAAACATTTTTATGCCGCCCCATTCGCCGAAGCCTCGGGGCAGCTTACAACATAGATAAAACAAGTTAAAATCCATATAAAATAATCTTAATTAAAACACACATTATAAAATAAGCCGCCCTGGCCAGATAAAATTCAATTGTATTTAGCATTTAAAATGTTGCTTAAATAAAAAGGTCTTAGCATCCCAAACTATTAAATTGTGTTCCTTTAGGGGAAATGCAACCACCTCCAGAACAGCCTAAATATCATTTATCCAGGCAGACAAACCACCCATCAATAGTATGTGGAATGAGTCTTAGTTTTTTGTTCCTTACCTTCTTCCTTACCATTACCATGCCTGGGCACTGATTGAAACCCATCACTGTCTTCCTTGCATTTGATGAAAAAATGAAGTAGAGCTGAGTGTCATCCACATATTGAGGACATCTCAGCCCATGTCTCCCGATAACTTCTCCATACAGTTTCATATAGACATTGAATCGCTGGGGACAAGAGGCCTGTGGAACCCGATAGCATAGCTGCCAAAGCACAGAGCAATAATTCTCCAGAACCATGTCTGGACTTGGCCATTCAAGTAAGAATGAAAACCCTGTTGTGTAGTGCCTCTAATCCCAGCACAGGCAAGTTATCTAGAAGGATACCATGAACACACTGCAGAGAAGTCCAAGAGAATCAACAGGGTTGTGCTTTCCCTCTCCCAACAAAGACCATTCAAAAGATAAGGAAGGCAGTTTTGGTTCCAAATCCAGGCCTGATGCCCCATTGAAATAGATTTAGATAATCCATTTAGTCGACTGGCAATTGCCTGTTCAAGCCCTTTGCCTGGACTGCCTCAGTTAATTCTGAAGGAGCTTCAGACCTTGTTACTGTAATGTTTTCCTTTCTAGGTCTCAGTTTGAAGAATTGTGTGCTGACCTCTTGCAAAGGATAGATACTCCCCTTCGTTCTTTGATGGACCAAATCCAAGTCAAAGTGGATGATGTGCATGCTGTTGAAATTGTAGGTGGAGCCACACGCATCCCAGCTGTGAAAGAGAAGATTGGGAAATTCTTTGGCAAAGATGTCAGCACAACACTGAATGCAGATGAAGCTGTTGCAAGAGGCTGTGCATTGCAGGTACGTCAATAGCAAGTGTATCTTGGAGGATAGATTATTTTAGACTTGGTTCAGCTGTTTGTCGAAATTACTGGATTACTCAGCACTTGATTTGCAGCTCAATGTGTAGAAATACTATAAAAGCCTTATTTGAGGTCACAAAACAATTTGAAATTCAAGTTGTGAGGAATCATTTGCTTAAGCAAACACATGTCACAGGTTGAACTGGTTCACACAAAAATAAGAATTAGGGGTGGTTGTTGAATCATGAATGTGGTGTTGACCCAGCCATGTTAACAAATCACAATTCACAGTTCACAACCCATGGGTTCTCTTATGTGAATTGTTTGTATTAAACACTTCATTTTAGTAAATGGAACTCATTTCCAGGTCAACATCTTGAGCCATAAGATGGTATTAAAATAAAAAATGCAACTTCCATATGTTAGCATGTCTCTTTGTCTGTTGTAATAGGCATTGTAGTGCAGTTTTTCCCAACTTCATGAGTTTCAGGTGTTTTGGATTACAACTCTCAGTATTCCTGACCGTTGGCCATTCTTTCTGACAGGACTTGGTCCACAACGTCTGGAAGGCTGCTGTGAATAGTTCTCTATCTCTGTTTGACTGAACCATTAAAGTGTTCAGTTCTTTCTTGTATATTGTTTTATCCAAGCAGGAAATAAATTACATTCTTTGTTGTGTTTTCTTTTAGTGTGCAATTCTGTCCCCAGCTTTTAAAGTTAGAGAAATCTCCATCACAGATGCAGTTCCATACCCAATATCACTGCAGTGGAATACAGAATCTGAAGATGCCGAGGGGTAAGTGACAACCTAAAGCTGCATGTTTTGACACAATTCACCTGTACTGTTAACAGGTAACTCAAGTTGAAACCAGCTTTCCAGGTGTTATCATACTAACGGAATCAGTCATACATTATCTTCTCATAAGACCCATGCTGGATCACATCAAGGTGCATCATGCACTTGCTGAACAGATGCTCGTGGAAAATAGAACAGTGTGAGTGCAACAGCTCCCTCCCACTCAGGTTCCCAAGCAACTAGCATACACAGGCCTGCTTCTGATGCTGATAGTAGCCTACTGCCATCAGGACTGGCCACCATTGATACTATGGTTCTCCATGGATTTGTCCAAGCCCTTTTCAAACCATCCAGTCTGGTGATCATCACTACGTCTTGTGGAAGTGAAAGCCATAGTTTAACTGGGTGCCATGGGAAGAATTACTTTAATCTGAATCAACTTTACAGGGTAAAAACCATGATAGAGAAAAATGTATTTCTATGCACTTTCTCCATACCATGCATAATTATGTACACCTCTATCATATCTCCTCTTGTCTTTTCTTAGCTAAATTGTCTCAGATGTTATAACCTTTCCTCATGGGGAGTTGCCTTCTTCTCTTTCTGTCTCCCTTATAAGATCTAGTAATGTCACTGTATGGTTTTTTTTCCTTTTCCAAGTCATTGGTTGCCACTTAAGTGGTGACAAATGCATAGCCTGCATGTATACAAATACATAGTGCATTACTACAAGTTACAAGCAGACTTCTTTTCCCCCTATGTTCTCCTGTATCAGAGCAGAAGCCACATATGTACTGACACATATCTGTTCAGGTATGGCTTTCATTATGAAAGCCAGCATGGTGTAAGCATGGGGACAGCTTGGATGAGGAAGAACAAATTGAAATTGTATCCAAACAAAATGGAGATGCTTGCTGTTAAGGGTTTGAGTCCAAGAGGTCATAGTCCCCCTGAAAGATCATGTTCACAGTTGAGGGGTGTGGCTTGACCCAGCCCTTGAGATTTCAGCATGGATAGAAGTCATGGTCACGAGTGTCTTAGCAGCTTTGGCTGATTTGCTAACTGCATTCCTTTCTGGAGGAGTGTAAACTGCAAACAGTAGCTAGGCTCAATTTAGGCAATGTGTTCTACATAGGGTTATCTTTGTGCCTGTTCCAGGAATTATAATTAGTATAAAATATGGCAGCCAGGTTGATCTCTAGGTCATCATGGAGAAACCATATATCATCAATACTAAAGTCTCTGCACTGGCTGCAAGAACATTTCCAGATACAGTATAGGGTGTAGGAAATTACCTTTTAAAGCCTTTCATGGCTTGGGTCCAAAATACTTTCAGGGAGTTCCTTTGTCCATATATTCGGCCTTGCCTGCAATAATCTTCTAGCAATCTTCTGTAACTACTACTAATGTCTACTATCCAAAGGACTTTTTCAGTGGTTGTCCCTAAACTATGGAATAGTCTATTGAGAGAAATGAGGCAGTTATCCCAGATTGCTACCTCTGAGGGAGTTAAAGATATATCTCTTCCAGCAGGTGTTTCCAGATTAGTTTTACTTAATACGGTTGTGAAATTTTAACTGTTGTTAGTTGAAATCTCTTTTAAACTGCTTAGAGCCTATGGAAGGCTAAATCTAGGAATGAACCTAGGCTAGTGAGGGCTGCTAAGTAACAAAAAAGCCTTCTTCCAATATGTTCAAATTAAAAGACAGAGGAAAGAAACAAGGATTCAGCTACTCAATATGGATGACAAAATGGTAATGGAGTACAAGGAAAAGGTAGACGTGCTCAATTCCTACTTTGGTTCAGTCTTCTTCCAAAAGCAGCTCTATAACCTTCCTGAATGAGGGGAAGTAAAAGCTGATGGAACAGGATGGCAGCTCAAGATTGATAGGTCATCTAATTGGGCCTGATGAACTCCATCCAAGAGTTGGAGCTGGTGGAACTCTCAGAACCACTGTCTCTTATCTTTGGGAAATCATGGAGGACAGGGGAAGTGCAGGACATGGAATAATGGTTCAAGTTACAAGAAGCCAGGTTCTGGCTGAATGTCGGGAAGAAATTTTGACTTGTTAGAGCACTGCAACAATGAAACAAATGACCTAGGGATGTTGTAGGGTGTTGCAGACTAGAAGCATTCAAGATGCAACTGGACAGCCATCTGAGAGGGATGGTTTAACTGGGAGTACTGTACTGAGTAGGGCTTAGTGGCCCTCTGGCCCCTTCCAACTCTTATGATTTTGTGGGATAATTTAATCTGGCAGACTAAAGTTCTATTAATTGCTGAATGTCAGCAAATAGCTGTTATGCATTAAAGTCCTTTGTATAATATGTATTTTCACATTCAGTAGGATATGGAAGACCAATTGCAATAAGAAATAAGGCTGCTTCTATTCAAGCTCATCTCTAGTTCATCTTTCTGTCCCTTTGTTTCAATTGCAGAATTCATGAAGTTTTCAGCAGGCATCATGCAGCACCTTTTTCCAAAGTCCTCACTTTTTACAGAAAAGGCCCATTTGAACTCCAGGCTTTCTATTCTGATCCCAGTAGTGTCCCTTACCCTGAAAAAAATATTGGTAAGTGGTTGCCTGTCTTTGTAGGAAGAGAGCCTGTCTCTTCTCAAAGATTATCATTCCTTTATGTTACTTAATAGTCTAATACTAGCAGATTGGATTGAAAAGTTGCTTCCTGATTCATTGGTCAGTCGACTTTTAACTTTTTAAAATATTTTTAACACAAAAACCTGCAAGAGCTGTTTGCCATGAAGACGGATGTGCTGGTGTTGCAGTCTCTGCTGCTATTTCAAGCCATCTGTAACACAGTTGCAGAAAATGATAGATGGTATATATTAGAGGAATGATAGATTTCTGGCCCAGAAAGGCAGTGGAGGGTCAAGGATCAATTAATCCTAATTCAAGGTGATGAATGCATCCTTTTCCATCAATGGGTGCATCACATTTGTCGGAAATAATGTTTTGCTGCTGAACAACACAATTGAAACATCGAAGAATTAATGCCTGCAGATTTGCTACTTACATTAGAATCTTTGTATTTGACCCTTCATGACTTTCAGAATCAGAACATGACTTCTGAACATGTTCTGAAAGCATGCCATTTCCGTGTTTTGGTATTCTGGGACATAGAGGAATAATTACTGAACATTACTGTGATTGTTTAAGTTTTGTTTATGGTTTGTTATGGTCAGTGTGAGATTTCTTTAGTCATGTGTTGAAGATGCCATTTTTTGCAACTTCAAAGAACATTCTAAAAATTACATGTTTTGATGAATGATTTTAAGAATTCAGTGTTTACTTTAGGATAATTTTCTTGTTTTTAGGAAAATACGTTATCCAGAATATTGCAGCTCAGAAGGATGGAGAAAGAACTAAAGTTAAGGTCAAAGTCCGTATCAATAATCATGGCATTTTTGGTATCTCAACTGCCTCTATGGTGGAGCAGATGAAAATGGAAGAGAATGAAGATCCCAGTGTCGAAGCTGAAGTGGATTCTCAGAACCAAAATAATCCTGAGAGTAGTGATGTAAGTTGGTTTCTTCACTTAGAATACTCAGAGTGCCTTCTAACAAAACTAGTTTTGTTGGTACTTCAGGAAAGGATAGGATAGGATAGGAAACACTGCTAGGTTCTGGTGGGGTTGAGGAATTTTGTTTCTGATTTAGCTATAGAGATGCATCTAAGCCAGCAGTGGAGGAGGAACCATAGCTCAGTGTTTGTTCCTGGCATCTCTGTTTAAAAGGGTCAGGTAGCAGTTGAAGTGAAAGACCTGTGCTTGAGTGTGTGTTAAGAGCGGCTCACAGTAGGTGATACTGGGGTGGATTAACAAATAACTGGACTTAACAAATAGCTTACAGACATAGAGGAGTTTCTTCCCATAAATAACTGCCTGGACCCTAAGTTCAACTTTAGAGGCCTTCTTTCAGGTGCCCCCACCAAATGAAGTGAGGCAAGTGGCTACCAAGGAGAGGCGGGGCACCCCAGTTGTGGAACGCTCTCCCCAGAGAGGCTCACCTGGAGTCTACATTTTGGCTGTTTTGGCCCCTGATGAAGATCATCTTATTTTCCCCAGCATTTTTATTCCTCAGCTTTGACTTTTATGCATTGTTAGATAATTTTTTACATCTTTTCCTCCTGCTGGCTTTTATTTGGGTTTAAACATTCGAAGTCTTTGACATTGTATTAGGTATCCTTGTGCTCTGTTGTAGAGTTTACATTTTTGTGCATGTCCCAGGGGACTTTGGTAGTATAAAACAGTAACAAATATAGTAAAAATGTTTCCTCCTAGGCATTGGCAAGATAGGGAATACTGCAGCCTCAAGGGGATAGTGAGAGATTGTGATAGACTATCCGATTTGCTCGACTAGAGTGCTTCATCCAACTGGAAATGCCAGAGAGATCCTCAGTACTGCTGTGCTCTCATGTAACAAGTGTACATCCTTTTTATAATGCTAATATGTGTGGAGAGCATCTCAAGGTCATTCTTACAGTTTTAGATGTATCAGCCATTAAATTTATTGTTGATCCTGAGTGCATGTATTTCTCACATCTTTTGTGCCTGGGCTCCCATTTCAGAAAAAAATCCAGCAAGACAACAATGAGGCTGGAGCTCAGTCCCAGGTACAAACAGATGGTCAGGAAACATCACAGTCTCCCCTCTCTCCTGAGGCTCCCTCTGAAGAAAACAAAATCCCAGATGCTGAAAAAGTGAGTGACCCTTTAAATGCATTCTACTAGATGAAAAACTCTATTTAACTATGTGTAAAAATAATTCACATTGCTATTTGTTTCTCTGGCAGTTTTTATCAGCCACTTTGTTTAAAAGTTGTTCAAGCCTAGTGAAATTGAGATTGTATCAAGAAAAAGTGTTAAGAAACTCTGCTTTCTGTTAAAGAGCTTGCTAAGAAAATGTCTATCAGTTCTCCTTTGATTTAATGTTCTTCTCTACTGTCCATCCCAGGGAAACGGAAAGAAAAGCGATCAGCCTCCGGAAGCTAAAAAGCCCAAGATTAAAGTAAGGAACATTGAATTGCCAATTGAAGCAAATTTGGTGTGGCAGCTTGGAAAAGACCTGCTCAACATGTACATTGAAACAGAGGTATGAATGTTGATCAACTTATACTTGAGATGCATCTTTGGCTCCTGGGGTCATAACATGAGAGATCTCTTAATGCCACATTCCTTGATAGTGGCAAAATCTTTGACTACAGTAATTCCATGAATAGTTTTGACATTCTTTATTGTGGTTAAGAAACCAAAATTTAAAATCTACAAAAGCAGTAATCTCACTTACACAACCTGTTATACATTAGACATGCAGTTTGAGGATGTTTAAGTTTTATAAGACGAATTGTCCTAAAATATCCCCCACTATCAAGTCCATAGTTGCTTTTTCATTTTGCATTGCCACTGGCAAAAAGCCTGATTACTTTTTTTAAAAAGTAAACCACACAAGGGCTTCTGTCGTTTGGACAGAACTGAAATGGAAATAGTTCCCTTTTACATGGGTGATAAGTTGTTGTTTGAAGTAAGGGTTATTGACATTGTTTAAACAGTATGATCCCACCCATGTTTTCTCAAACATAATTGGTTTCAGTGTTACCTGTTATGGTTGCTGTCATTGGCACTTATGTGAAGACACTTCTATGTAATCTAGAAAATAGAGGCTGAGTTCAAAGATGCATAGACAACACTTGAGTTCTCTTTATTTGATGCCAGCAGCTGAATTCATATAGACTCATTGAAAAAGATGGCATTTGAACTGGTGTGAAAATTCTGCGATTTGATCTGTAGCAGCCTATTCCTATACGCAAGTCATTGCTTCATGCTGTTGGTGACTGCCTTCATTGAAATCCTGTACTATTTCAAAATCTGGCATCTAGTCTAATGTAACAAATGGCTTGTTTTTGGTAATCAAACAGGGCAAAATGATTATGCAAGACAAACTAGAGAAAGAAAGGAATGATGCAAAGAATGCTGTTGAAGAATACGTTTATGAGTTCAGGGACAAGCTGTCTGGACCCTATGAGAAATTTGTCTGTGAAACGGTATTGATTTTACATAAAATATTTCTGTACTCCCTTTCTTAGGAATGCCTCCCACACTAACACTGCATACGTTTGATGTTGTAATTGTTTACTAAGCAATGGCTTCAAACATTTCCTTTCCTGTTTCCTATTCTAGGCAGTTTCAAGATGACATAAATTCCAAATTTTTCCAGAACTGAATCTAGATGCATGCCCTCCTCAATTGAATGCTTTGTTTTTGGACTTAGAAGTAAATTATATAAATGAGTTGAAAGTCAGTTAGTCATGGTGAATTAAAATGTTTCAATGCCTCTGTATTAGTTAATATCAGGGTTGGAAAAGATATTCCTAGTATCAACAAACTTCTTGGTGCTGTCGTGTTTTCACTGTTTCTCTCAAATCAAAGTTTTTGAAGGATCATGCAACTTGGCAAGCTGTATTTATGTAGTCCCTTCTAAAACACCCTCTAGGATTGTGCTGTTGGGTTTTAAGACCATGAATCGCATAGAAGGGGACCAGCATTTGGAGTTCCCAGTACCAAACCCAAGAGTGTGCAGTCCCAGGTCCATTGCCAATCTAGACCTCCAGGAGTCTCAGTCTGGCACTCAGGGGTTGCCTAGAAATCCATACTTTCCTTCCCTCAAACACCAATGCTTTAGTGGTTGTGTAGTTCTCCCTGCCTTCCTAAAATGTTGCAGTAGACAGCCCACCACCCTCTATTTTTCTGCACAGAGTGACTGACCTGTTAAAGTAGCTGTTGGTGGGTACTAAATCTCAGCTTGTTGGATCAGAGATAAAATGTTTTCTCCAGGTTACCATCTCTATTTTTCCCCTTCTGCATGTTGCTGAAAGCTTCTTAAGATGTAACTCTGTGCATGCACAGAAAGAAAAAAGGCACTGGCTGTGGAAAGCTGGGAGTTGCATGACCTTGATCTCTAAAGATGCATATAATTGTGCCTTTAAGAACATAGGAGGAGCCCTGCATGATCAGATCAAAAACCTGTCTCATTAAGTATTCTGTTCTGCATAAGCCTATGGGAAGCCCACAAAGCAGGACATAAGCAATTGGTATACATAGCCATACTGCCTCTGACCCTGGAAGACAGCATATTGCCATCATGTCTAATAGAATTATTTTTACTACTACAACATCTTTATCATGCCTTTATTACTCTTACAAGAAGTTCAATCTGTCTTATCCTTACAACATAGAATGACAGAAATGGGTAATGTTGAGAGTCAGTAACTGGCTCAAAAGCACCCCTTTTTCACCTTTTCAACAATGCTTTAATATCTGAGGACTTAATTTTACAAGAAGTTGAGAATGTTGATTTATTTTGCTTAGAATCGCCAGAGTTTTTCCATGCTCCTGTCAGAAATAGAAGACTGGTTATATGAAGAGGGAGAAGATCAACCAAAACAGGTCTATATGGACAAACTGGCTGACTTAAAGGTATGGCTACTTTCATTGGGGTAGAAATGCATGAATGACCTTCTATTGCATAACATTCAACAGGACTGTCTCCCTTCATTTTCCCCCAACACCTTCCCCTCTGCTGTAGATAGTTTCATAAAAATCAGGGGAATTATTTATTTATTTTCTGTACTGTCCCTTGACAGAGGTCTCAAGATGGTTTACAACAGAGTAATACAATAGAATAAAAACAGAAATACAAGTAGCAGTTGCATAGCATCCAATGTTAAATATAAAACCACCAATTAAAACAGGTTGACAATTAAAATATTGGTAGAAAGGGTTTTTCCTGATGCCCAAAGGAAGCAGCGTTGGTACCAACGCTGGGGAGTGTGTTCCACAGTGTTTCAGTTTTTAAGGATATAGAGTGTATTGCATGGAAGACAGAGAATCATGTCCTTCCCAAGAGGAGGTCCATTAACAAAAAACTGAATTGGGTTTCACCTGCTGTGCCCTGCATTAAGAAGTGCTTACTGATGCTAAAAAATTGCAATCATATACCAACTTTGAGTAAATCCTATTGAATGTAGCATGGTTTGCATGCATAGAATTGTACTTCAAATGTATGTTAAATCAGTTTAATCTCTTTAGAAATTTGGGACTCCTATTGAAATCAGATATCAAGAAGCCGCAGAACGGCCGAAGCTGCTGGAAGAGCTAGGGCATAAGGCTCAACATTATGCCAGGATTATAGAAGAATACAGGAACAAAGTATGTAACACCCAGTGGAGTTCACTTTCTTTTTCTAGTGTGTATTTCAGGTGATCTTTTTCACAAATTGGAAGATGGAACAAATGCCTTATACATTAATTTTCTTTTGCCTAAAATAGTTTCCTTAAATCAAGTTCTAGGTATTACATTACCTAATAAGTTACATTATTATTGATCAGTTTTTGTTGCAACATGTCTAATATAACATACACAACACTGCACCGTATCAGGAAGAAACCCCTACCTTTAGAAGGGTTATTATACTATCCATTATTATTCTGACAAATAGTTTTTATCAAAGTAGATTTCTACTAGCAAAGCAAAAAGAAAAAAAAGTAGGTAATACTCTGGTCTACCATGCTACTGTTTGGTTAATCTTTAGTAATGTCACAGTTTTAATCTGGCCAGATGACCATTTGGTTTCCATGTGCAACATAATTTTCCAGCTTCATTGAATAGGGATAGCCTATTTCCTCACACAGCATTTGCCTCTCTCTCCCCTTTAAAATGCTGTTTTGATAAACCAGGTTTACTGATGCAATAAACATTCATGTAAATGTGCAAGATCTAGTACAGGATATAGTGGAGTGCTTCTACTACCACTTATTCTCTTGTTCGAGATTCTGTTGTTCAAGCTGCAGGTCCCAGCAATTCCATTCCACATGTAGGACCCACTCCTTACACAACAGATTTAACACTTCTGGAGAAAGCAACAAAGTCAACATTTTCAGTAGTTTCTGGTTGCCTCCAGAAGCACTGTATCTTCATTCCACAAATTCAAGGTGTTGCTTGCAGGAAAGGAATTAGAGAGGATGTAAGAGCTCTGTTAGATATAGTCCACTGAATTTAAAAGGTAGTTTTCCAAACAGAATCCTTCTCCACATCCCCCTCACCCAAAAACAAAACAAAACAGGAATTCTTTGAAGTCAATTCTGCTGCCTTTTTCATGTGAACCTCAGTCATATTTCCACTTGGAACCTTGGTAGCCTACTGACTTAACTGGCCTTGATAATGTCTGAAAATCGCTTCCATTAACATGCATGCTATCTCTGCCATGATTTTAAGCTGAGTGCAGAGACCAAGGGTGATCTTGTTTAGCTTCAGTGAGGCTTATTTCTGATCATGAAGCTATGAGACATCTCAAATTTCAACTCAGGCCTAATATTTGCAGGTTCCAGAGCTATTTCACATAATTTGTATTTTCCCAGTTTGTGAACAGAGTCCAAATCTCTGCTATTCACAAGAGTCATGGAAGATGGGAGAAGAGGAAGTACATTAAGACTTTGTTTCATCACTTTGATGTGAATGTGCAAAATGGCCCTTAGTGAACAGGAATAGTTAAACCCACCCAATTCTTGGTGCTTGAGGAAGGCATGAAAAATTGTACTGTTATGATAATGGGTCAATATACCTCCTTATTTCAGGATGAGAAGTACATTCATATTGATGAAAGTGAAATGAATAAAGTAGGGAAATGCATCAGTGACACAATGGAATGGCTGCACAACATACTGGATGCCCAGGCGAAACAGAGCCTTGATCAGGATCCTGTAGTTCGTGTAAATGAAATCAGAGGAAAGCTGGGAGTAAGTATTAATTATGGTACACATTTAATCACTTGAAGGAAATGCTAATGTCCTAGAAACTGAATGTGTGTCTTCCTGCAAACAAAGGGCAAATTTCCACAAGTGTAGAAATTGTAGAAACTATGTGTGGTAGGGAAACCTGGGAAATTAATTTGTTTTGCAATTTTAAGCAAACTCATCGAAGACTACCCAAACTTCGCCATAAAGCAGAACATAGATCAATGTTGAAATGTATTTAAATGTGCATGAAAATATGAATGTATTTTCATGTGGAACAAAAATATTTGCTGTCTTGATAGAGAAACAACAAAATTAAAAGTCCATGAAATGGAGCTTGACAGATTTACCCATCACTAGATTCCAGCACAGGATTTACCCAAATTCCTTATTTTAGTCCATTTAATGTGGGAGTAAGAAATTTGCACTTGCTCACAGCTGTAATATGAAGAGGGAAAAGATGCAGGACTGCTGTTTCAAGTTAGCAGCTGTGCTTATGCTGTAGTTATGTTTGTTCTTACTTTCAGAATTGAAACATCTGGTTCTGGTCTATACAGAGCAATGCTTTTCAGCTTACAGAGCTAAGTAGTACCAGCTCAGAAAAACAACTGTTTTTATTAGCCTCAAAAAATTATTTAAAGTATATGTCTGTGTGTTGTGTTGCAGGAGCTACAGAATGTGTGTGAGCCCATTGTAAACCAGCCTAAGCCAAAAGTCGATTCTCCTAAAAGGGAAGAGTCACTAGATTCACCTTCTATTTATAAACATGAAGATTTAGAAGAAGAAATTAAAAACATTGAGACAGCACAGCAAAATGGTGATTGTCACATGAATGAGAGCCCCATTAATGACTTGGACTAGACCATTGCATTTCAATGAACAATTTCATCAAGGAAAAAGACTGCAACTGTATTATGTTATATGGGAAACATGTAATGTTTTGGGGGAGCTATTTATATCTTGGAGTTCTGTTATTATGTGGGAAAAGGATCAGTTAAAAAGGGTAGAGATTGAGATCATGATAATCCTAGGAGGAAAATTGCCTTGGTAACTTTCAGATTCCTGTGGAATTGTGAACATTTACTGAAATCTTCTGTGCGGGAATTTAACCTTTTGTATCAATTATAAGTCTAATATCAAGGGATTGTTACAAAAGGTACTGCTCCTTTAAAAGGGTTGCACCTAGAGCTTTTGTAGATGCCAAGGTAGTTTTTCTTTCTTCTCCATTTTTGTTATGTTTCTTTCATTGATAATAGCATTCAGTCAAAAGCCTACATGGCAACCAAATTTAAAGTGTTCTTTGTATCATTGTCCAAAATGTTTGCTAGAAGAAGCAAAATGTGCAGCAGCATGATGAATTGTTTTAAGTTTTAGTCTCTTGCTCAACAAGAATGTTCTCATGTGTGGGAAACCAAAAGAAGGTAATATGCTGATCCTGTCATAAGTTCCTGTGATGCCTTTAGTGAGCTTTAATAAAGTTCATTTAAATGGTTACAGTTCTTACAATGTTGGCTTCATGTGTGTTTGTAATATTCAGTGTCTACTGTTGCTGTTTACCTTGGTCATGAAAGCCAGATGTTAACATAGAACTTTTATGAAGCCTCATCATTTAGAACACAGACAGAGCCCAGTCAAAGTTAAAACACTTAACACTCTATTGATTTCCATGGGAAAATGAAATACATGGCCTTTAAATTTCTCCCAATGAAAACAATGGGTTGGTTCCACAACTCAATTTGTACTTTGTTCCCATTGAAATTAAGGCATTTAAGTAATTTACTGCATTAGATAAAGCTGGAAACACTTCTAAATCTTAAGAACTGTGGCCAGGTCAGGGAAGGCAAATGTAGTTAGGCTTTAGAGCAGTTGAGAAAAAACCCTAAAGGGAATAATACAATCTTTATGGATTTGAGGAGGAACAGAAAAGAATGGTAGTTCTACATAAAAGTGAGAACAGGAGGTGTCCTTCAAGAACAGTTAAATGCTAATTGTTGGAGAAGGAAAGGTTGCTGGCATGGTTGAAGTGGGAAATAACAGAAGAAGGGTAGGAAGGGAGCAAGGCCATTTGTAACCGCTGAGTGAAATATTTTGTGGTGAACAGAGCATCAAAGTAACTCAAGGAGAAGGTTGCAGTAAGCAAGGCAGGAACATGAAGCAGAGTTGGAGGAAATAAGAGAGGAGTGGATGTTTATAACACAACTTGATGACAGGCCAAAAATGGGAAGCAAACAGAGGCTAAGCAAAGCCCAGCCAGTTTCGTGGTCCTCAATAGTCTAGATAACCCTGTCAATACAGAGGTTTGCTGAAGAGAATGACTGACATTCCAGATAGAGAAGCAGTACTCCATTACCCTAACTACAATTGGCTCTTTGTGATACAGGAAAATGCTATTTCAAATGCAGGAAATGAAGCCACGGAATCAGGAAGCTGACACTTGCTTACTGTATAGACTTTTAATGGCCTGTCTGTTAAAAAAGATGTAAACATAAAATTATTGTCCACAAATTGCACCATCAAACAATCCAAAATATGTCATTTTCATCTACAATAACCTGAAAAGCCCATCAGAAAAGTACTTTCTAGCCTGCTGAAAAACAAGTGACAGGGCTAGGCAAGACTTGCTTCAAACATTCTTGAATTATAGCTCCCGCAATAGGAAAAAACTTTCCAGACACCTACTGAAGATCTGACAAAAGGGAGACTTGGAGCAGAGTCTCAAATGCTAGGGGAAGGCCTGATTTCCCACACAGCCCTGATACCAGATTGGCACTGGCATAGCTGCTCAGCACCTAGCAAGCAGGGGGTAGTAGGAGCTCACTGGCAGCACTACTGAGCACTTGCAAGAGCCTGGCACCAGCCTGCTACCTCATGGCAAAATTATACAACTCGTTTCCCTCCAGATGTGCGGACCACCATTCTCATTATGGCTGACCCATGCTGGTTGGGGGCAAAAGGACTTGGCTTCCAATATCACCTGGCAAACCAAAGATAAAGGATGGGGACACATTGTGCATGGTCTGCATTTTTAAGTAAATAAACCTACCTCACACTTTCCAGGATAATATGCAGATCAGAGCACAAGTTAACTTTCAGAGCTGGTACGCCTCCAAATGTTACAATTCAGTTCTCCCCAAAGTGCAGGAGGTAGCTAGCTTTGGGGGAAGCCCCACCTTGTGAGATGGGAAGGCAGACCTTGATCTGAACTTCCTGGAGGAGGCAGGTCTCTCTGGAAGTTCTGTTCTTACAGCATCATGATGGAAATTTGACCTCTGTTGTTCTCTGTGAACACAATCCCTTTCTAAAAAGTGAAAGATAAGGGGAAGGATAGGAACTGGGAAAAGGAAGTCCCAGAACATCATTTGGCTACAGGACGGGAGGTCCCATTGCATCCCCAGCCTTCCACAGAAGCACTGGGAAAGTCTGGACTTTGGGCCTTGTATTCCTGCCAAGCTGTACAAGCCAGAGACTTGAAAGAAGGAAACCCATGCATCTCTAGCTTGCTGCACCTGCTCATATGCTGGCATGCGGGTGTCCCTGCAGACAAGCTGGAGAAGCACTTCAGAGCTGCTGCCACCTAGGTATAGCAGCTTGCTAAAGCCCCCCAGCTTTTCACAGCTGGTTCCACAGAGTGCTGTTCCTGGTGCCGGCAGCAGATCCTGAAAGGAAAGTGACCAAGACCAGGGCAGTCAGCATCAAGCTTCCTGGATAAGATAGGTTACTGCCCCTTCATTCCTTGCCCATCATATTAAGACTGGAGGGCTGGGAGAAGCCACTAAGCCAGGACTCTCCCCGCAAGTGCCTAAGCCCTTTGGGTTCCTTCCTAGGACCTATGAGCAGTCGCTGGTAATTCCAGCTGCCTTTTCCCCACCTCAGCACCAGCAGAAGGTGAATCCCCACATTGTTCCCTGAGCCTCACTTCAGCCTTGGCAGCTGTGAGGTTTGGAGCTTCCCACAAGGGGCCACAAGGAGTCAAGTGGTAGAAAAAAGGGTTCCATTAAGATTAGACCTAGCTCCTGAAGGAGGGATTCCCCTATGCACTCCCAGGGGCAGGATTCTCCCCCTCCTCCACAGACTGACCTTCTCATGAAGATCCTGAGGACTATCTTCCAGACTAAATTCACTGGAACAGCCAACTGGGTTTTCAGGGGAGCTCCTACATCCTCCAGAAAGTTCAAATCAATGTCTGCCTTCCCAGCCGTGAAGGCAGGGTTCCCCACAAAGCTAGCCAGTTTCCCCAGAAACTAGCTAGAGAACAGAAATTTGGCAGAGTACAGAGGGTGGACATGACTTCGCGACTAACAACAACACAGAATTTCCATTCTTAGCTCAAAAGGCGCACACAAATGCATGCAATAGAGAAAACTACATACAAAATGTGTTCCCCCATTCCTGAGATTCTTTGGGGGGGGGGATACCATTTGAGCTGAAATGAAAGCACTTCATTTTCTGCTCCATTTCTGAAATACCATGAATTTATGCCTCAAGAGCACCCGTAATTTAAGACAATTAATTGGCTGTATATACTTAAATGACTACAACTCAGTCTTATGCAAACTAGAGTTGCAGAATCTTGGAGCTAAAGTGGTCCCCAGGGGCCTCAACTTCTTAAAGTCAGTAAGACCCTCTTGTCTGGTCTGTGAGATTAATTCTGCAAAGGAACACCTATATTAGTTTTTAAAAGGAGGATTAAGCTGCCAGGGTTATTTATTCATTTATTTATGGTCAAATTTGCTATGCACTATTTTCTTAAGAGAAGAAAAAAAGAAAGTGACACCAGGACATTTCAGCAGGTCTCATTCCAGTGATGGGTGTTGTGTCTCACTGCTCAGCTGTTCCTTGATAATTAGCACTGAAAATGTCTGTACCAAGAACAGACAAATCAGGCTTCTTGCAGTTTCCTGGGAAACTGTCAATTTCATAATAGTTGATTGTGTGGTAAGTGTTTGGTCCCCCATGGTTACTCCGTCTGTTTAAAAGCTTGGATCGCTCATGCTTCAGCCTAGAAAAAGGAAATTACAGGTGGGAATGGTAAACTCCCTGGGAAGGCATCAGATGGTTTGCTGGCCTAGGTTCCACTTACCTCCTGCTTGAAGCTTGTTTGTAAAACCGCTTGTTAATTTCTTCTTTAATATCCTCATCGGTAACAGTAACTTGGAAGGGCTGGGAATTATAGCTTGCTTCCTGATGAAAAAGGGACAGCTGTTGCATTATTCATATATCTTACTGTTGTCAGAAGAGTAATAGCAGCCGTCACCAATGCTGCTGTTTTACCTTCCACCATGCAAGTTTGGAGAGCTATTATGGTGAAACAGATGGCAAAAGATTAGTACATGAGCTGAGAATGGTTATTTGCATTCTGTACTTTTTTAATTACTATGCTGCTAAGTTGTTATCTGTATATCAAGGTTTCACTTACATGCAAATTCACTGCAAAAATCCCTCTTAACAAGCTATTTCAGCAGGATACACACACATCTGTTTAAAGGGATGTAGTTCCCCCCCCCTTTGCAGGATTTGTGATTTGAATATTTTGGAAAAGGTACATTTAGAATCTGAATGCAGATCGGGAGTGGTGGCAGCTGCTGTTTTTCACACATGAATTACAACAGCAGGCTTTGTCTCCAAGCCTTCTCCCTCCTCTAATCTGCTCCCTTGCTGAAGATTTCTGACCTCCCACACTCTGTTACCTGAGACATTTTCAGAAAGCTACCATGGAGGAAAAAGGAACTTCCCTGGCAAGTAGAAACTGTCTATACATAAGTCCAGTCCCAGAGCAGAGGTGGGCAAATTCGGGGGGGGGGGGGATTTTTGCCTGATGGAAAGTTTTAAAGATTTCTTTTTAATTGTTCCAGCAGAAACATAGCCTGAAAGAAAAGCTGGAGGAGGAAAATGAGTTGATCTGTTTCCCCACTGGTAAGAACTTTGTGTGTGAACTTTTGGTCAAGGAAAAACTGGTGGGACAGGTCTCATTCAGAGGTGGGGAAACTATGGTCCTCCAGATGCTGTTGGGTTGCAAATGTCACCATCCTGGAGCATAAGCCATGCTGGCTGGGCCTGACAGGAACTGGGAGTTCCACAGTATCCTGAGGGCAGCAGGTTTTCCCCATTAGCTATGCCAGACCACACTCTGATAGGTTTACAGTTGGCATACAGACCTTAGGTGTGGAAACATCCTGTGTCATATTCTCTTGGAGTATGCATTGTGAGTCCTCAGAGGACTTGTCTTCCAGCACAGGGTGAGTGGGCATACTTTGTGGATCTATCAGAATTTCATAAGGAACCATAGGATGCTTCCAGGAGGATGGGGTCAAAATTTCCCAAGGTTCTGCTTGTCCAAAGGTTCCTAATGGAGAAAGCAGCGAGGGTGAATTCATACCAGAAAGATGGCATTCCATGGAAACAGCTTTTTCAATAATTATAGTGACAACAACCAACCATAGTTCTGCAGAAAGAAATAATACCCAGGAACCCAAGTCAAAGGGTGTTTTAATATGGAATACTAGTTATATAGCAGTACTTGCACACCATTTCAAAAACACTCATAACAACAATAGGTTGAAACCAGATATAGTCATGTGCAACCGGGTTAGTGAAAGCAGACTTTCCTGTCCGATCCTCCCCTGGAAGCCCCTCCAGTCTCCTGAAAATGCAACACAGAAGGTTGTAGAACCCAGGTGAGTGGGGTGAGTCGAGGTGAGTCACTTACACATTGCCAAAAAGAGGGCAAAAGAGAACACAGATTTGCATGTGCTAATCTATATGCAGGTGCACAATTTCAGAAACACCCTAGCAAGTTAGATGGACCTCTTCTGCCTTCTGTCAAGGTACTGACTGTTGATGGGCTACTTCAAGGCCCCAATCCCTTATTAAGGTTCTTTGTTTTTAAACCAATCTTGGGCAGGCTAGCCCTTCAAATAGGAAACTGTTCCCTGATAGTCATTCAAGCAGAGGAATTTTAGACACATGGAGACCCTAGGTGCTGCGAGGAAGAACCCAAAAATTCAGACAGAGCACCTTAGGAATATAGGAAGCTTCCACGTATCAAGTCCAATCACTGAGCCATATAGTCCAGTATTGCAACACTGACTGGCAGAGGCTCTCCAAGACTTCAGGAAGCATTATCTTCTAGCATTCCTTGAAGATACTGGGAATTAGGCCTGGGCGCAAAGCCTGCATTCTTACCAATGCGCTGTGGCCCCACCTTCCATATGCAGAGTACTTTCATCCACAGAAGGCAGATATTGCATCCTATCCACTGACTGCTGGAGAACACGGGATATACTTTATTTATTATTATTTATTTATTAAAACATTTTTATGCCACCCCATTCGCTGAAGCCTCGGGGCAGCTTACAACAATAAGTTAAAAATAATTATAATATTAAATTAAAAATATAAACATTAAATTAAAAATACAAAAATACCAATATAAAATAAGCCACCCTGGCCAGATAAAATCCAATAATATTAACAGTTAAAATGCCGCTTAAATAAAAAGGTCTTCGCCTGGCACCGAAAAACAAATAACGACGGGAGAGCATTCCATAACTTAACAAGCATCTCCCTAGTCACTCAGAGGTCAATGGCAGATAGGCATTCATTCATTCTTATTTCTAAGCTCTCTGGGCAGTTTACAACACATACAAAACACAATATAAAACAAACAGCAGGATGCTGCCTATTTATACTCAGTTGCAGTGTGAATACCTATTGTTTATCAAGCAACCTGTTGCAATACTTTGCATGTGGACACTTCATTAGTACAAGAGACTGTACATAGTTAGACTGATATACAATAGAGCTAGGGTGATCAGGTTTTGCATAATGCTACATATGACCTGCAGGATTTAAGGCTACAATCCTATACCCACTGGCCTGGGAATACAACCTGAGAAGACATGTATAAGATTGCATTCTACAATTGATTTCTTCCATTGGGCCACAGGCACCAAAACCATGATCAAAAGAATTAATGAATTCCACAAATGGAAAGAGCTTCTGATCAAAGTAAGAGGGCTGTGCTCTTAAAAAAGACCCCTTCTGTGACCGGAACTCCTTTTCTGTAACAGAATCGCCTTCTCTTTGTGGAGCCAAGACATTGATTGATTGCATTAGCTTCCATTGAAATCATTTAGGCTTTAGCCATGGATGAATGAATCCTATTAATTTCAGTGGGACCTAAGTGGTAGATTTTGGTCTGGATCCAAACCATTATGTTCAAGAAGCTCACTGAGAAACATTTGAACACATTTATTTCAGTAGATTCAAAATCAAATCATTCATTGCAGTGGACTGCAAGAGAACAAGCACTAAAGCACCCTTATTGGTATGCAGTTATGACTTGTTCCTCTCTCCCCATCTCCCCAATGTTTAGGCAGAGGTACAATAAAAAGTGAGGATGAAGAAAAGGAAATAAAACTTCCATTCAATGGTGTACAAATTTCAAAGGAGCAGGAGTATTATTTGGTTATGGCAAAACCAACTATTCCACCTATCCTTTATATATAATTTTAGATAATTATGCATAATGGGTTAATGCTGGGAACAACTGACAGCAAAAGAAGGGGACGACAGAGGATGAGGTGGCTAGATGGAGTCACTGAAGCAGTCGGTGTGGGCTTAAGTGGACTCTGGGGGATGGTGGAGGACAGGAAGGCCTTGAGGAATGTTGTCCATGGGGTCACGAGTTGGGCGCAACTTCACAACTAACAGCAACAAATAATGGGTTGCACCCAGGGTCTGCCTTCCATTGATAGAATGACTCCATTCATGGACAATGTCTCTACCTGAATTTTTGAGGATCCCTCACATCACAGTTCCTTCCATCTGGCAGGGGTCCTTCACTCTCTGCATAGTATATTCAGGGGGCTAGAGGGGTTTCCATAGAGAGGAGTGGGTGGGGAAGTCTACTTCTACCAGAAGAGTTGTATACAATTGAATCTAGATCCAACCCAGTATGATATAAGGTAGCCTTCCCCAAACTGGTACCCTCCAGAAATGTTTAGACTGCAATTCCTATAATGGTTAGGTTCACCAGGAACCATGGAAGTTGTAGTCCAACATACCTGGAGAGTAGCAGCTTGGTGACATTAATATATACTGCTATATATAGTAGCAGTATATATTAATAGAAATTCTCCTGGTGCTAATATTGCTTTCTTTTCAGTGCCAAGCAAAAAACATTCCTCTTTAGATGCTTTAATAATTGATTTTGACTTGCTTTCAATATGTTGTTGTACATGGTTGTCCCTTCACTTGATACAGTTTTAAATGACCATTATTAAAGTGTTGTTTTATATATCATTGGGTTTATTGTATTAATGTTTGTAATTTTGATTATTTATTGTAAGTCACTTAGACTCCTGTTGGAATAGTTTGGCAGCAAGCACACACACAAATAATGAATAAATAAAGGACATAATAGGCACTCTTTTATTAGCACACATGCTGGTGTCATTTTCTGCCTCATCAGAACTCCAGCTTCTCTCTAAGCTTAGCTATAGAGTCACAATAAGAGAAGGGGTGAGTGGTGAGAAATGAATTTCCTCCACAACAATATATAGTTGCAAGCTATCCCTACTGTAACACAACGTATTTTGGGGTGGCCTGGTCTAAAATGTGCAATGAAGACCCAATAACTTTGTAAAAATCATGTTCCTGATAGAGATGGAAACACTGCTGCCTTGATTTTTGAACTCTATTGAGGAGTGGCTACGGAGACCAACATGATGAGTACCTGCACATCTACATTTTCTAAGACACCACTGCTTCTATAAGGAGTTACTTTATGGGTTTGATGAAAGAGCCTGTGCACTCATGTATGTGTTAATCTTTCAATTGCTACAAGGCCAAACTTTAGAAGTCAACCTGAAAACAGCCCTTTGACAGTTCTGTGAAAATGCACTGGCTGATAATAATGACAAAGAACTGTCAATGTTTAATATTACATCTGTCAGGTTTCTGTTCCATTCAATGGCAGTTCCAATTAAGTCGTAATACAGTCCGCACACTTTGCAAATGTATCATTTACCAATGTATTCTCCATTGAGGCTCCACAAACGAACAGTCTGATCAACGGAACAGGATAACAGGATGTTATCTTCATCTATAATCTCTAACCTGTTTGTTAACCAGAGAGGAGAATTTATTAATATATTGCTAATACTTGCATACCACTTACTCTAGTAAAGTGTTTAAAGGATCCCAACATTGCCAGGGAGACTATAGGATCTTTTGGCATCTGAGCACTGAAGACCTCTGACCACAGTCTTTGGACTCCCAAGACCAACTCACCAACCTACTCCTCTTCCTCACAGCAAGTGCAGAAACAGCTGTGCTCCAAGACTGCAACTGGCCTTCAGAAAAAGAAAAAAGGGGCATGCTGTGGGGTGGACATGGGAGGAGGCTGGGGCCATGGCATTGTGTCAGTTCCAATCAACACCACTGTCTCCCTCCCCTTTCTCTCACTGATTCTAAATCTACCCAGCTGAATACAGTTTCCAGATAAAATGCAGGGCTCAGACAGTAACAGCAAAGACTGCTGCTGCTGTTCCTCGTGTTTTGCATTTGATGCTCATAAACCTCTGCATTTGCAAGTTTATGAGCATCCGCCTTGAAGACAGAAGGACTGTATCTTAAGTGGCATAAACATGTTAAAAATCCGAGTTCAAAACAGGTAACACTAAAACATTTCAACTTTCAAAAACAACTGCAAGATAAAAAGAATGGGGAAATGGAACAGCATCAAGATGATCTGTACTAAGTCAGGGAAAGCTTGCATGAATAAGTCTATTTTAGGACGTGTTTAAAGCAAGCCACATTTCCTGAAAATGGAGGCTGTTCCAGAGGGTGGACAATGCTACTGAGAACCCCTGCTTTTGAGATGCTATATGGCCAACAGCCAGCAAGCCCATCTTTGACGCTCTTAGAAATTGGTTTTGTGTATATAAGGCAAGATCAGTGATCTTTTGGAATGCCAGGATTATTTGGACACAACCATCAACTGGCTGTCTCATGGAGGACTAGTCACAAATCACAAGTCATCTTCTCAAAAACATGCATGGGAAATCAAGATGGCAACAACTAGAGGTTCCACTTTGACAGAATACTAGCTGACAATAAGAAAATATAGAAATATTTTAAAATAAAATTTGGGAGGGGTAGGATGTTCTGGTGAGCACAAACAGGCATCACATAGTCTTCTCCTGATAGGTAGGAAGGTGTTCTGTTAGTTACATGCATAAGTCAACAAGGTTACATTAACACTTACGACAGAACCAAATTCACATGAGCTCTCCAGTAATTCACATCTGTAGCAACATAAAGGAAAATAATATGCATAGAATGTTCACTGATATTTTCACCAATGTGCAAACACACCATGGTTTAACTTCAGTTCCTATCTGAATATGACACATATTCCATAAGCTAAAGGCAAAGATGCTAAGGATGGATGCAGTTCTATCAAATGCACTCTCTGTGATTGGGAACCCGTAGACTGTGTTATCTGCTCATCCATTATAGACTGCGAGGAACAAAAGAAGTGATCTTTGCCTCCCCACCAGCCCACCCTAGTCAGGTTTCTCAGCTGGTATAGCAAGGCTGTTTTGGAGTGGGGAGGGAAGGAGACTGGAGGAGGTTCTGGATAAATTGTATCCTGGCCTTGCTCATCTCCTCTTCTCCCACCCCCAGAATGCCCCATTATTCAATACTTATCCAACCTTGGAAGAAGTCAACATACTCCTTTCTATTGCATTTTTCGGGGAGGAAAGTCAGATTTCTGACTCTCCCTTCCAGGGTTGCAGCAGAGTCTCTAGGCTCATAAGAAGTCACCCAAACAATCTTATGGGTCCTTGGATGCTTGCCCAGAAACCATGGGATTGCTCTCTAAATGCTTCCACTACAGGAACAGAATAAAATTTATCCAAGGCATATGTTTAAATACAGAATGGTGCCAGAATTTCTCCTGAAAATAGCAAGCTTAAATATAACTAAATGAGGAGCAAAAGCTAAAGAAATACATATTTAAAAAAAAAAAAAACAAACCTTGAATGGCCCCACCTGAATTAATAGGATCTGAATCAGTCATCACTAACTTAGCCATTGATTTCATTAGGTCTACCCCTAAGTATGATCACTGGTATTGATTTGCAGTGGTTCCGCTCCTATCTCAATGGCCGATTCCAGAAGGTGGTGCTGGTGGATTATGGCTCTGCACCATGGCAGCTATGCCATGGAGTACTGCAGGGGTCCATTTTGTCCCCTTTGCTGTTTAACATCTACATGAAACCGCTGGGAGAGGTCATCAGGAGGTGTGGGCTGTGGAATCATCAGTACACTGATGATACCCAGCTCTACCTCTCGTTTTCCACCAATCCAGGTGAGGCAGTGGCTGCACTGAACTGGTGCCTGGCTGAGGTAATGGGCTGGATGAGGGCCAATAAACTGAAGCTCAATCCAGACAAGACGGAGGTCCTGTTGGTGGGTGGATCGGGCTTCGGAGAGGGTGAATTGAACTTAGTCCTGAATGGGGTTGCACTCCCTCTTAGGGACAAGGTCCGCAGCTTGGGAGTGCTCCTCGACCCAGAGCTTTCATTGGAAGCTCAGGTGACAGCAGTGGCGAGGAGCGCTTTCCTTCAGCTTCGGCTGATCCATCAGCTGCGCCCCTACCTGGAGTACGGCTGCCTGGCGACAGTGACACACGTGCTGGTGACTTCCCGCCTTGACTTCTGTAATGCGCTCCACGTGGGGCTACCCTTGAAGACGGTCCGGATACTTCAATTGGTTCAAAATAGAGCTGCCAGGCTGCTGACGGGGACTGGGCATTATGTTCACATGACTCCAGTCCTCCATCAGCTTCACTGGCTTCCCATTGAAGTCCGGGCCCAATTCAAGGTGTTGGTGATGACCTATAAAGCCCTAAACGGCTTGGGTCCTGTTCACCTGAAGGAGCGCTTACATCTATATACGCCCGCCCGCCCCTTGAGATCTGCAGGAGAGGCCCTTCTCCGGGAACCCTCTGTGAAAGAAATTAGGAGGGTAGGTACTTGGAGGAGGGCTTTCTCTGCGGTGGCGCCCAATCTATGGAATGCGCTCCCCAGAGAGGTCCACCTGGCGCCGTCATTATTTGTTTTTCGGCGCCAGGCGAACACCTTTTTATTTAAACGTCATTTTAATTGTTAATATTATTTGCTTATTTTATCTGGCCAGGGCGACTTATTTTATATTGTTAATTTGTTTTATATTTTGAATGTATTATATTTTAATTTTATGTTGTGAGCCGCCCCAAGGGTTCGGCGAATGGGGTGGCATAGAAATGTTTTAAATAAATAAATAAATTTATTGAAAAGGTTTCTAAATTGCTGCGTGCAATTTACCCTCAAAAAAATATACAATTTCAAACAAGAACATAGTAACAATACAACAAAGTAAACACAAAAGCAAATATTCAAAGCAAGCTAGATCATTATAAAAAGATGTAAATCAGAACATTTTTTACTGCTCATGTAAACTCAGTAGGGATTAAGCCAACCTGGCCTCCTTCAGAAGAGCATTTTACAGACCAGGCATTGATTGCATTTATCTAATAAATGCATTTATCTAATAAACACACACTAGCATTTACAGTCCACATGCACACGCGCCCACACGTACATTTTGGTGCACTGTGTTCTGGATCCTGAAGTGCATAATCTTTGATGTCATGGATGTACACATACCCATCCTCATCTGCTGCATAGAGATACGAGTCATCCACAGTCACGGCAATGCTGCTGATTGGAGATTTCCCTCTAGACTGGAACACACATCCATTAAGGCCAAACTGTTAGCTAATCATTTGTTCACTGACTGGCCAATGCCAGCATTGCCAAGGGCGCTCCAATCTCTAGAGCAGGGTGGGATGTTTTGGCCTACCACTGCCATGACCATTTGCTTTGCTAGCTCATGGGATCTGTAGAAGACATTTTGGCGTGTGTACATTTATACTAACCATGCATTCATAGGAGCTGAAATTTCCCTCTTTTGTATGACTGTTAATACAGGATTTCTACCTTGCTTTGCTGCTCATCATTCTAAATAGCCAGTGGAATCTGGTGGTTGAAATGATGAACTAGGGAAATGCAATTTGCTGCATTTAGACACCCCACCCCCAAAATGGAGTTTTAAGAACTAGCCAGAAGTCTGGAGGTTTTATCATTACATCCAATGATTTCTTTTTTCGCCAAACTTACAGGTGTAAAATTTGCTATAAGTGGATCTTCAGTGAACAGACTCCAGAAGTGCAGATAACCTGATGAAGGAGAGGTAATAACATAAGAAGAAAGATCTGGTAGCAAAAAACTGTTTATGTTCATAGCAACCAAGCATTCATAGCAACTGATGTGTCTGAAGGCCCATTATACAACTGCAGGCAGCACAGTGAACATGTGGGTTGGCAGACACCAAGTTAAAGGCACACCATGAAACTACTGTAAGGTTGTTTCATCCTACATACCCTGCCCGGAATCCTCAATCACCCAGAGTATTTCAGCACTATACACTTGTCAAACCAGGACAGGTGTGGTCAACAAGCACTAAAAGTGAAATCCCATGGCTTTCCAACATTCTTTAGGGAGCCATAGGATTATTCAGAGTCCCAGCTCTGAGCCACTGCAACCTAGGAGCTGGGAGTCTGAACACAGCCCTCTGCTCTGCTCCTTTGCAGGAGGCAAGGAAAAACTACGCCGACTGCCTCTCCGAGGCTGGCAATTAGTCCTGAAGAGGACCAACTGGCACGCTGGGGAGTTGGGTGCAGGGACTGATGGCTTATGCTGTATCCAAATGATGCCCCAGCCTCCTTCCATCCCTCTTTGAGGCACTTCACCTAGATGGTCAAAATCAGCCATCCAAATGAAATGCAGGGTGTGAGGTGGAGGGCAGGGGAGATCATTGCCACTGTACTCACACTCTGCACTCCATGCATGTGAGCCTCTGTGTCTGAAGCTTTACATGCATCCTGGGTGGAGGACACGGGGCTGCAGCCTATGTTGTTAGCTGGCTGTGTGAAAGTGCTGTTGACCAACAGTTAAGTATGTGCGGAATGTAGGGCTGCTCCATCCACTCTGTGCTCTCAGCATGCTCACTGGACAGTGTGGATGGATTCTGTCATGATCACCCCGCCACCAGGAAGCCTTGCAGTGAATACAGGCAGGCTCTGATTATTGGCTACAAGGTAGTCTCAGGTGACTTGTAGTGAAAGTTTATCTACACAGACTGGCAATACAAAGAAAAATCCTTTCTATCAGCATTCTTGCATTAAGGTGTAAGTGGACACATGCCACCAAGAACTGGCCATTCAAATCAGAGGGTGACAGTTATGCTAGGGGGTGTGGGAGAGAGAGTGTGTTTTATAGAGTGTGCCTCAGTCTTTGAAGGAATGCCAGAAGACTGCCTTCCTTCTGAATCAATTCTGGTTTAAAGATGATTGGGAGCCATCGAGAGGAAGGGGTGGCCCTTGAAGTGCCCAACACCAGCATCTGGGCAGCAGACTAAGCAGGCAGACACACTGGGCATGTGGCACATCCTTCCTGGCTAGGGTGGAATACACTGCATTCCTATTTAAATTTAAATCATTATGTATACATTTGCATTTATTCCCATAAGCTTGCATATGTGAACCACTGTCCTCATTTGTCCTCTTTTTGAGTGACGCCTTTAACCTTTTAGGGTGCTTTTTAAGCAGCCACCCTTGGCAACACCCTACAGCCTTCTGGCCACACTACCTCCTTGTCCTTCTGAATGCCTCCTAGTTTTATCTTTACTACTGTGATCTCTCTCATCATAGTTACAAGTTGCTTGCTTAAGAAGCAGGGAGCAACCAGGCAGTGGCACCTGCTGCCACCCCTGCTCACCACTGCCATGCTGGGCCAGAACAGCCAGAAGGTGAACATACAGGTTTGCTTGTTTAATTTCTATACTGCCCAATCAATCGCTGGAGCTTTCTGGGATGTTTACACCAACACATACAAATACAATATAAAGGTGCAAACATTAATGGCATTAAAAACATGATTAAAAATGATCACACAAAAATTAAAATTAAAATGGATATAAAAACTTTCAATACTCTATATGAATTAATCAGACAACCCAATTAAGCAGCTAACAAAGTCCCAGTAAACTGATTCAGTGCCCTGACAGTGAACGGTATAAACCTGGAGCTAAAAAGATGCTAAATTTGGTGCCAGACAGCCTCAGTGGGAGGTCATTCCATAACTGGGAGGCCACCACTGAGAAGGTATTTCTTCTTACCACCAACTGAATCTCCCTTGGAAGTGGCAATCGGAGGCTAGCTCCAAAGCTTGACTGCAGTGTTCAGGATTGAGACTGGGAGAGGCACTCTTGTCAGATATTGCGGTCCCAAGTCATGTGGGGCTTTTTAGGTCAAACCAGCACCTTGAACTGGGCTCAGAGCAATGCAGAATGGCTTCATTCTTGGCTTCATTGCTCGGTTGCAATGGACAAGTCCAGGGGGCTCTTGTCAGTAGGCTACTGCTGGGATGTGGTCCCTCTGAAATGGCCCAATTATGCCTGCTCTTCATGCTTCGCATTCATCTCACTGCTCCCGCAGAAGGCCCTAAGTTTGGGCTAGTAACTAGGTCAACTTCAAGGTGCCATGTTGCTTCCCCACTGAATTCAATAGGAGTGGGGGGGATTCAAAGCAATATAACTCTACCAGGTTCCCCCCCCCCCACCAAAGAAAATACCGCATCTCCATCTCTTGCACTGTTCAGCACAAGCTGGCAGGCTGTGGACATTATGCCCCTCATTCTCCCTCCCCACTGGTAGGAAGGCTCTTCATGTTAATGTCCAGAGTTGGCAACAACCACCATATTTCATTCTCCTACCTTGTGGCCCATTGGAGACGAGGGAGGCTGCAGCCGATTCGAGTTTTACAGCACGAGTCTTTAGAAAGATTACTTGAGTGACACTCGCATCAACCACTGAAGAAAGTAAAAAGAATATGCATTCATTCAAATAAGTTTACAACATTTATATTTCATGACAGAAAACTGTACCCAAGCATTTATATCATTAATTTTTCCAACATTTAAATTTAATCCATCATCCATGGATTTCTGAAGAAAAATTCTGTATCTTCTCCTTTATCTGTGTAGAGAAAAGGTGCTCTGTCATTTGGGTTTTACACCCTTTGAGTATTCCTTTTGTACTGCCTTTCAAGTCTTCCTCCATTTTGTGTATGTCTGAAAAAAAATATATCTATGCTGTATTCAAATTATTTTCCTGAATTGTGTTTGGTTAGGACAGAAAGAAAGGCATACTTAATTACTTAACCCAGGTTTGGAGAATTTCCCTCTTTGTGTTTTGGGTCTTATTCCCTTGCTCTTTGACTTCCTACACAATATAAATATTTTATTGTTTCATCAAGCTTTCAATCTGTCAACTGGCTAAAAGATTAATCTGTTTATCATTGTTGCCTGCTTTTTTGTTCTTCTGTTGTAGCCACATTAACATTTTAATTGCATCTAATTGTAGGAACTACCTTGAGTATTTTTATGGAAAGGTGTGATTTAAAAAAAATATTACAAAAATAAATAAAGTGGGTGGGAAATGAAAACAAGTGAGATAAAAGGGATTTTTCACTAGGTGATTAGAACCTGCTAACTCTTTTTTCCCTGGATTGCCAAAGAACCTTATGGGGATAAACCAAACTGTACAGGTAGTAAGAGCAGCAGACTATATAAAGAAATGATGCAGGTGGCCTACATGAACACCTCACAACAAATCCACTGAGGAGCAGGTGAGCAGGGAAAAAGTTTTTCCTTTTTTTCATATAAAACGAACCTGCAGTTATCCCACAAAGAATGAAGAGCAATTCAGGATAGATAAAAGGAAGTAGTTCATTTAACAGGACATTGATAGACTATGGTATTGTTTACATCCAAGATGTAGTGATGATCACCAACTTGGATGACTTTAGAAGAGGGCTGGAGAGAAGGCTAAAGCTATCATTTGCTACTAAGCAGGATCATGGATACAATAACTGATATTAGAGGCAATATTCCTTTCTATGCCCATTGTCTGGGAACATGAAGAGAAACAGCTCTTGTACTCATGTTCTGCTTGTGGGACTGTGTGAACAGAATATAGAACTTGATAGGTCTTTGTGGCAATCCAACGTGGCTCTTCTTACATTCTTATGAGGCTTGCTCTATACAGGCAGAAGGATAAGTTGGCAGAATTCTGAAATGGTAGAATGGAATGCACCCCTTTGGATGTAGGTAGGTTATTACAGTTGCAAATGGCACCTTACATCAATACCTCCTTGAAAGCAGAAAACCAGTGGCAGATAAGAGTGAAGATAGATGTTTTAATCCTTGTCAGGTTATTAAAATATACTGTATTAGGAAGGTAGGAAGCTGAGTCCAACCTTGATCCATCTAGCCCAGTATTGTTGACACTGATGGGCAAAGCACTCCAGGAATTCAGGCGGAATTTCTTCTAGTCCCACAGAGAGATCCCAGGGGTTGAACTGAGGACTTTCTACATGCAAATTGTGTGCTGTATCACTGAGCTACACTGGAATAATGGTCCTCTCCCTAAACAATCACAGCCCCTCTCTAATATCCTAGATCATTTTTCCATGCCACATTTTTCTAAGCTCTTTTACCTAAATCCCCTTTTTAAGTTAAACCTTTCCACCCATTTCTAAATTCTTTGTCTAAGCCAGACTTTTTACCTGGTTCCTCCCTGGCAAAACCAAACAATCCTAGCCATTGTATTCCACCCAGGATTTAAGCCAAGATGACTTCTGCATGGCCTGTAGCTTTATCCTATGCCTGCAGTATAGTTTCCACAACCCAAAATGTTGTTTGTGCTACAGCAGCTCAAATGACATCTGGAGAACTTGCGCAGCAGCATTATTTAAAAGTCCTAACTCCTAGCTTGTAAACCAAAGCTTGTTTTTCTGCAAGCTGCTAAAGAAATCTTAGCAGAAGTTTGCTTGGAAAGGCTGCATAGGACAAATAGCTTAAAGGACTAGATTTAAGTGACCAGCTGAAGGATCGCTTCCTGTCCACCCATCTGTAAATTAAGAAATGACATAATGAGAAAGGAAGTATAAAAACCAATAACCCATCCGTGTATCACACCCTTGTGTGGTAAAGACTGGTGTGTTTTAATGAAACTAGACCTATTAGACTATAAAACAACCAAGGAGGGACTTCACCTTTGAACTTTCTCCCAAATTTCCATTTCTGTTCATTCCATTTACAAAATGATTCATGCCAGCAGCAATGCTGGTCTGATCAAGTATGCCAAGTTCTCCTTGAGATACCTCTTCTTTAAGAAAAACAAATTCATTTCAGAGTATTTACTTAATCTTACAGATGCTCTCTAGAAAGGCATACAGATGTCAGCACTTCAGTCTAAGCCCTTGGCATAACTTGAGGGCAGATTCTGCCAAGTCCCTGTGGAGCTGCGCCTTTGCTCCTATGGTCAGGGACAAGTGGAAGTCATTAAACAGTATGTCCTACATTGCTTTATGACACAGCTAGAGGTAAAACACTGGGCCAGATCATAGGCCAATCCTCAGGCTCGGAAGCAGAATGTGCTCACTATTTGCTGTCTGAAGTGCTTCCATACGTTACCTACCAAGTAGCCATTTAGACTCCTCTGACTCTTAAAAGCAGAAAGAGAATTGTATTCACCCATTTTGTCAGACCTTATTAAACAGTATTCAGTGTTTTTAGTATTAGCATTATTTTTATTATAGATGTAACCGATGCTAAGAACTTCAGATTTTATTATTCTGTTTTTTCTTTACTTAATCATTCTTCTTCTTATGTATGTAAATATGATGTATTCTTATTGCATTATAACTTATGGTTACAAAAATAAATTCTTACTACTACTACAGAATGATTCATAGTGATGTGCAGATTGTATTCTACAGACTTTCTAAGATCAGTGAACTTACTTTTGGTATCAACAGAGGTAGTGGCCAGGGGAGTGTAGAAATTATGACATATATGACCAGAAATCATATTCCAAACAATAATTTCACCATCATAACTGCAGGTGGCAAGGAGAGCTGGTGGACACTGAGCAATGCACAGAATATCTTCTTTGTGTCCCTGGTTCTAGATAAGAAAAGAAAAAGATAATGAAAGAATCTACAATACCCCATGCATTTCATTGTTTTACAGGTGTACTTTATGCAGTGCACTAATCAACAGGCAGTTCATGCCATGCAAACTAACACCACAGAAGAATGAGCTGTGGTCAACTACAAGACTTAAAATGTCGGTCTAATGTTAGCCCATGTTAGAGAAGACCCTTTGAAATGAACGGGGCTCAAATCAGTCATGACTTAGGTTCAGTTCATTGAATGGGTCACTCAAAGGTTGTACCTGCCAAAAGATACAACCCCATGTGTGTTCTAAACAAACCTACCACACAGTAGAGAAGGCAGTTGCTTTTATTGGACCAACTTTTAATAATGAGAACACATGGGATTTCTAAGCTCTACTGAGTTTGCTTGCTTATTAGGTAGTCTAACTGTATAATAAAATATACTGAGAGTGACTGGGTTAGAAAGCATTGGAATTTGCCAACTACTAGAATTTGAACTATTATGTGATATGTTGAACTGGATGAATTTGCATGGTCTAATTCTTGATGCGTTGTCAATCCAACAGTGATCTCTCTACAAAATTTAGAGCTGCTACAGGACAATGGTTTGCTTGCTTGTTTGTGAGTTTTAGGCTGAAGTGTTTTTTAGGCTCTGAATTACTTCCAATCCATGACTGCATTTTCTTTACTGGAATGCATCAGGATGGAGTAGGAAAAGCAATGCCCTGCATTTTTAAACTTTTCTAACCAACTTTTAAATTGTCTGCTTATAAAACACCTGGCTACTGGAGAATGAATTTCCACAAGTTCATGGATATAGGCCTTTTTGCACCTAGTCAATCAATGAAATTACTTGGCTGAAGTATATTAATTAGCATCTTGGATTGCTGCTAGTATTAAAACTTCTACCTGCACTGCATGGTCCATATTACAGTGACATTTTTCTTCTAAGCTGGACACCAAGTACAGTACCTTGTGCCCAAATCCAACTAATAAGTTCAAAGTATACACAATAATATTAGTATCTGAAGTTGGTTAAGAAGGAGTCTTACTATATCGTCCATCCAGTGGGGCTGAGGTTTTCGAAAGTGATGGAAGTTGTCTGTGGAATCCTGCACCAAGCAAACATTGAAATAAAAGGATATAAAATCAGATTTGTATCAGTTTGACTGCTATGGCAAAGGTCATGGTTCTTCTTGCTTCCTTCGTTTTGACAGAGATTGCTGGCCAGACATGCAACAGGGAGAGTGGCCTTATGTCTGCAATTCCCTTGTAAGAATTCAAGGTGGATTCACCCATTACCCATGCCAAGGTTCTATACATGAATTACAAACCATTATTACCGTATTTGAGGCTGTTGAAAAATGGGGTAGAAATCTGTCCATCCCTAAATTCACCCTTTTGTAGCATTATGTGACGCAAAACACAGTTATCTTTTGAAATTCAGATACACACAGAAAAATGCACACACTGTGCAAATTGCTTGCATAAATGGGCATTTTAGGCATACAAAAAGGCGAAACCGCTGGGAGAGGTCATCAGGAGGTGTGGGCTGCGGAATCATCAATACACTGATGATACCCAGCTCTACCTCTCATTTTCCACTAATCCAGGTGAGGCAGTGGCTGTGCTGAACCGGTGCTTGGCCGAGGTAAGGGAATGGATGAGGGACAATAAACTGAAACTCAACCCAGACAAGACGGAGGTCCTGTTGGTTGGCGGATCGGGTTTCGGAGAGGGTGGATTTGACCTGGTCCTGAATGGTGCAACACTCCCTCTTAGGGATAAGGTCCGCAGCTTAGGAGTACTCCTCAACCCAGAGCTTTCTTTGGAAGCTCAGGTGACAGCGGTGGCGAGGAACGCCTTCTTTCAGCTTCGGCTGATTAATCAGCTGCTCCTCTACCTGGAGTACGACTGCCTGGCGACGGTGACACACGCGCTGGTGACTTCCCGCCTAGACTTTTGTAACGCGCTTTACGTGGGGCTTCCCCTGAAGACAGTCCGAACACTTCAATTGGTGCAAAATAGAGCTGCCAGGTTGCTGACGGGGACGGGGCGCTATGTTCACATGACTCCAGTCCTCCGTCAGCTTCACTGGCTTCCCATTGAAGCCCGGGCCCAATTCAAGGTGTTGATTATGACCTATAAAGCCCTAAACGGCTTGGGTCCTGGCTACCTGAATGAGCGCTTACGTCCGTATATGCCCGACTGCCCTTTGAGATCTGTGGGAGAGCCCCTTCTCTGGGAACCCTCCATGAAAGAAATTAGGAGAGTAAGTACTCGGAGGAGGGCTTTCTCTGCGGTGGCGCCCAACCTATGGAATTCACTCCCCAAAGAGGTCCGCCTGGCACCGTCGTTACTGGTTTTTCGGCGCCAGGTAAAGACCTTTTTATTTAAACATCATTTTAATTGTTAAAACATATGATCTGGCCAGGGCAACTTCTTCTTCCTTCTCTTTTCTCCTCCTATATTTTTATTTACTTATTTTATACTGATAATTTTAATTTTATATTTGTAACTCAGTGTATTTTTTGTATTTTTGTATTTAATGGTAATTCATTATGTTCTATTGTATTTCAATGTATTTTATTGTGTTGTAAGCCGCCCCGAGGTTTCGGCAAGGGGCGGCATAGAAATGTAATAATAATAATAATAATAATAATAATAATAATAATAATAATAGAAACATGGACAAAATTATTTATGCAGTATCATGAACACCAAAAAACAAAACTAAGTTCAGGAGGAGCTGAGCCCAAGAGATTAAAATTGACTATTCCTCTATTCCCAGTCATGTCCTGTCTCTTGTCCTAGTTCATCCTTTTACTTTGCTGACAAAAGAATCCTTGTCTTTGGATGGACCTTGTTTCTCCTGTAGTACCTGAATCACCATCATAGCAAAACCAAATAAAATAAGCAAAATAAAATACTCCTTCCCGAGCAAGCTGTCCTGGTGTTGCAGTGTACTGCCTTGCTGCTTTTGGTCATACCAGAATTATTGCTAAGATTATTAGCAATCTGTGTTTGTGTAAGTACTGTAAGGGAATTGGAACTGATGTGTGCAGAGGTCCCTACTGTGTCTCTCTTTCCAAGCTTTTACTTACTGCACCAAAACAGAGAACTTTCCGTTGCCAGTGCTGAGGACACTCTGCTATCCAAGTATGAGTTGCATCATGTATATGTAATGGAATAGGATTATGTTGTACAGGTGCCACCTCATCACAGTGAGTGGACTAGCTCCATCTACGCATGCCTAACACAGACATTAACTATTAGCATGCTGCTATGTAACTGACGCAGGTCACTGTTCTTGTCCTGGACACTAGGGGATTAAATAGCAATGTTACCCTATTACTGTATGTTGGAAGGCTGTTTTCTTCTTAAGTGAACTGGATGTTCAGAAGATCCAAAATATGAAATGCCAATGTCATGGGGAACAGATGTGTGCCGGAGGGTGTGAAGTGATGTCCCTCCAGTCTGGATTGTGTGCTTCCCACAGGCATCTGGGTCCCCACAGATGAAACAAAATGGTGGCCAAGGAAGGCCTTTTGTCTGATACAACCTGGCTCCTCTACATTCTTATGTGCTTGCTCACAGAAGCTGTCTTCCTCCCCCAGCTTGTTAGGACAAAAGGACTCCTCAGTCAAGCATGGAACACAATGGTGCTGATTGGTCACAATCTGAGAAAGTTAAGTGTATGCAAAACTGTACCCTCAAGGGGCAGAGTAAGCCCCCTCAGAAGGGTGGGAAGTGCTCATATGACAAGGCCAAAGGGATGACACAGCATTACACTTCAATAATATATTAAAGGCACAATATAGTAAATGCACAATTCTGTGCATGTTTGGACAGAATAAAGACCTACAGTTCTCAAGAGGCCCTGGCCAGCTGGATGGGGCATGCTGGGACACGTAGACCTTTTTTTCTGGGGCATGCAGAGTTGTAGACTTTTTCTATCAAAGCAGACATAGGATGGTGCCGTAAAATTATTTATTTCTTCTTATTTTTTTTCCATTCAGTTTTGCTACTTACATAAAACATGTTTATCCTTCTATCCCATCCAACACCTACAATATACCTGGAAGCAAGATAAGCCAATCAATATTAACCAAGAGTAGATTATTTTCTAGATGATGCACAACAAGCAACCCCATTAAGTGCGGAGTTCTTTAAAGGTGGAATGTATAAACTAGGATTCAAGGAATTATGCAATGTAAGAAATTAAAGAGATAGTAAGGGCCAAATCCAGTCTTCTTGGGATTCCAATACAGCTCTAAGGGATTCCCCAGATGAACATACCCTATCACCTGGCACTGCCACCTGTCTTGAAGCTTGTGATCATTTGGACATTTCCCAGCTTCTGTACTATCTTCCTCCATTCAAAAATATTAAAATGGCAGTAAGTGCTTTCAACTAAAACATTCTGGTCTCTTTTCCATTTGGTTGCATGCCTATTATCTTCAGGCCCACCCACTAGTGGAATGTGGCCCCTAAGAACTCTGAAAATGGGTTTGGCCCTCAGGCTGAGGTCCTACATCCCAATATACTGGTCGACTGAATAGAAGGCAGTATAAACGCTTCAATATAATAAGGAAGCCCTTTTGCTAGGCAACATCGACATTTATCTGCAGCATGAGTGCTCTGAACGGGCCTGCTAGCCTGACAAAAATACATTTCCAGCCAATAATGTGACAAGGGCTGGACCTCCAGCTGAAGTGCATGACCCCACCAGCTGAGACCGTTTGCAAATGATCATCCAAACAGCAGCAGGCGATGGAGCATGAAACTAACTGGGTGACTTTGGGCCAGCCACAGACTCTCAGTCCAACCTACTTCACAGCGTTGTTGTTGTGAGGATAAGATTGGGAGGAGGAGAGCTTTGTAAGCTACCTTGAGTTCCTTGAAAGGAAAAAAAATAAATAATAAACAGGCAAGGAGTCAACAATTGGGCTGGTACTGGTCACTGCAGCATCCTTTCTTTTATTTTTAAAAACATTTAAAAATAGTAGGGGCTAGTTGGCCAGAATTGTATCTAGCTATGGTCACTTATTTTGTTGTTTTTACTTCTAAAAAGCATTTTTATTTTTCTACAACCAATCAGTGCTTTCTCCCAAAGGATTATATTTAGCATATTGCTGTGATGGTGGTGCTATGATTTAACTAAGTTTGAAATGCAAAACTGCACAAGCCCAGAGTAGTAGTTGTTTAAAAAAATCAGTATCAACAAAGCAGGTTTACTGGTTTTTGATCTAACACATGGGGAATGTTGAAGTAGTTGTAAACATGATGATGGGGGAGAATGAAATGCATTGCTTCACAACTGAACTAAAAGAACATGCCTGTCTTTGATTATGGGATCCTGGCTGACTGGGGATTGCTGGAAGTTGTAGGGCTTCTTCTACCTAAGCATGCATAGAATTGCAGCCTATGTCCTGCTTCTAACATTACCTAACTGCACCACTGCATTTGGCACTCAGGTTGCCATCTGGCAAACAGACTAACTCTCGATCATACAGAAGCTGGCTATCTCTGCCCAAGGATGTCACCTCTTGTGGCAAGGTCTCACTAAGATGTGATTTGCTTACTTGTTTCTATTGATCTCCACATAGGTACAATCGCAGACTTCATCCCATTTGTCTTCTGCAGGGAAGGGAAATGCAGCGACATTGTAACATCCAAACAGTACTAGTTTTCTGTTGACATGATGTTTCTGAGGAATGGTCAGCATGCTGCTTACCTCTTTTCAAAGTGTGCAAGCAATGCCCATTGTTGTAATTCCATATTTTCAAACAGCCATCCCTTCCTCCCGTAACAAGCCTGGAATGTGATAAAAGTACAACATGATCCCTCTCACATGGATATGGGGAATGGGTTGCAATACCTAAAATGCATACTGGAGATTTTAAAAGGCACGTTGGAAAACATACCTTCTTCCAGTAGAATCAAAGGTGAGGCAAGTGATTGCAGAGCCACTGTGAGCATCAACAAATTCAAACAAGTGCTTTCCACTGTCAAAATCCCACACCTTCACCACCTTTAAAATGTGCACATACATAGAAAAACATTGGAATGAGTATTACTAGGATTCAAAGGCTCATGTCTGAAAAAGAGATCACAATTATCCCTGTTCTAGGCACAGATAAAATGCTACAAGCAATTCAGCCAGGAAACGGATGTGTGTTGGCACATGAAAAACTAACGTGGTGTAGGGGTTAATGTTGGACTGGGGATTCAGGAGATCTGGGATGTGGTTTCCACTCAGCTCTGAAGATCACTGGGTGATTTGGGGTCAATCCCTCACTCTCAGTCTCATCTATCCCACAGAATTGTTGTTGTGATGATAAAAATGAGTGGAGGAGAAACTTAAAATATTATATCCAAAATTAATCTAACATCAGTCCCATCCATTCCTACTTTAAATAGGACTAACACTAGCTACAATCCAAATTATTGGTTAAATAGCACCACTTCAAGTTGGAAAATAAACAAAGTATTCTGTCTTGCAGTAGTGTTTCACTTACAGAATCTTCCGAACAGCTCACAACATGCCTGAAGACTTTGTTGAATTTGCAACACAAAACTGGTTTCTTGTGAGAAGTCACCAAGTAAGGATCTGGAGCTGATCTGCCTCGTGGAGAAAATAAAAAAGAAATGATTGAATATTGACATCTAGATTTGTTTAGCTTAGGAAAAAGGGCTAGCCAGGGGAGACATGAAAGAGAGATACAAAAGTATGCATGGTGTACAGAAGGGTATAGGAAGGCATTTTTCCTCTCTCTTGCATAATACTAGAGCCTGAGGTCACTTCATGAAACTGATTCATAATAACATAATAAAGAACAGATCTTGGAAAGACATTTGACAGACTTTCTTCTCAAAACATCTAAAAGAAGATGAGCACCCCTGATGAAGGAACAGTTATTTTCTGAGACATGTTAGATGTAATAACCATCTCTAATAGACATTTGAGATTTCCTTTTCTTCTCATTTGGGAGGCTGACACCTGAAATATTCCACCAGCAAAAACCCTTACAATATGCTATTATAACTGTTTTGTCAACCCCTGACTCATGAGAGCTCCAGAGCTTTTGCTAACTGCATGGCAACTACTGGCATCAGATGAGGGTATGTAGCCTCAGCAGACATATCCCTGGACAGATATCAGAATATACCGATACATCAGTTTTGCCCCCTTATCTCTCTCGCTATATCAGGGCAAAGTTGTCAAAGATGGCATTTGCATCTGATGAAGGGGACAGTGTTGTTAAAAAAGACTAATGCATTTATTCTGACAAAAGTTAAGTTGCTAAAAGACTGTCGTTTTAACATTAGGCAATAAGATGTAAAATTTCCGTCCAGCATTAAGATTTTCTTAAGATTCCCCCCAAGCTGAATTTCAAAGGGAAAAATTGAAAGTGTTTGAAATGAAAAGTCTTATTAATGTTTCATTTCAGCACTTTAAATTAACCCATTTGCAGAAGAAATGGTAGAAAATATGCCTATTGATGTTTCAAGTATTCCATTATTTACTACACTCAAGTCTCAAAATGTACATTATACCTTTTTCATAAAATCCCAAGAATTCTGTGTGCAATTTTTGGTGTGATGGGTTTTCCATGAACACAAATCTTAGATGTTTAAGATTATGAATATGATCACTTTTCTATTTACCGTAATCTTAGATGGAGAACAGCCAGTGTGTCAGTAGCAACACAGAGTGATCTAGTGCCTGATACATAGTGGCAAGCACTAATCTCTCCTTTAATTCCATTGTTTTTTGAACAAGCTGTGAATAAGCATATCTGGTCTTCCATATCCCAGATCTGCAAGGAAGGAATGGATATCAAACTGAAAGCATGGGAAATGGAATAAGTATAACTCAGTATATCCAAAACATCAGGAGACCTTAACTGTGTTGTCTGTTGACATGGAAAATATTTTATCCTCTTCAGATATGTAGACATAGAAGACTGGAGCCATGTGGCTTCTAAGGATGCCTGTTGGCCTTCTGCAATTTGATCAGAACACAAGACACTGACACTTTCAAACATATAATGTAATCAAATACAGACATCAATTAAAACTTACATTTCTATAATTAAAAGGCACACACCAAGATTCTATTTTTGCCTCCACATCTCAGATTTTTTAAAAATGTTGTGGGTACCAGATGAATTCAAATACCATAAATGTGAAAAATCCTATGTCAGCACAAGCATGGTGTGCCTTGATGTCAACATGAGACATCATGTTAGATTGCTACATCTTGGATTGCTAGAAATCAAGGTGCAGTTCATCATTTGAGCCTCAAATACTTATTTGTATTAAGTATAGCACTTAACATGATAAATTTTCAAAGTGGCTGTTGTAAACAACTTCTTCTGACCTCAACAAGGAACCAGCATTAGTTGCACTGGATGCTATTTTTGATCCCAATTATTTTGAATTCTTCAGGCAAGAAAAGAAAAACTTCATTCTGGTTGGAACTTTTCCCCAGGAAGTTTCAATTAGGATTGGGAAGAGCAAAAGCAGAATCTGGCCCTCTAGTATTCATGAAATGAAGTTCACACAACTGGCTGCACAAAGGCTGCTGCAGGTAGATGGCACAGGCAGGCTGCTTGTGCAGGGCTCCATTCCTGGCAAACCCCGTGGCAGGTCTACAGCCTTTTGGACTGCTGCTGACGGTGTGGAAGAGGGACCCTGCTTGTGCAGCATGTAGGACTTGATTCCTGGTGAGTACCCTGCAAACAGTGGCCAAGCTCACCAGGAACTCAGACCCAAATCCAAAGCAGACTGAAGTCCAGGAAGCCAAGCCCAGAGAATCTGACAGAATCCCATCTGGAAACAGATTCCTCACACAGTCTTAGTTTCAAGCGAAGTAAGAATGGTTTCCAGCTATCAGCCAGTACAGGTGATTTAAGGGTGTATATTTCTTGAGGTTACGCAAATCTGCAGAACAATGCTTTCGTTGACTTTGTCGTTGCATAGCAAGTTTGGCCTACAATCTTTTAACAAATCATAGCAAAGCTTTCCCTCTGTGTATTTTAATTCTGTTTGATGGGGGGTTTAGCTAAGAATGTTAGCTTTTAAAAGCGACCTGAACAATTTGTTCTGAACTTTCATTGTTCCTTTGTTAGGGATCTATTGTTTGGGGTATAAAAGTACTCCATACAATTATTCCAATGGAGATTCTGGGATACATTTGTGCTCCAAACATGTTTTTGCTTTATAGAAAAATGTAAGAGGAAGGAGACTCCAATTTGGGACATTTTGTGATAACTTCATAAGAGGAAAAGTTGGTAGGACTGCTTATGTGTAAGTTACAATACAGAAGAGAGCTGGGGGGATGCCAATTATTCCATGATGTGAGACAAGGGCTACACATTACTGTTTAAATTTGCTATTAATTCACAATAGCGTTCATATTTTGATAGCTAATGGGCAGACTCAAAGATCAATAACAGACTTTTTGAAGAAAAGCTGTAATAACTTCTTACCCAGGCATATATGGATTCCACATCCGGATGATTCGATCCATGCCACCAGTTACGATGAGATTGCTCTTTTTACTGAGTGCAAATGTTTTCACTCCTTTGTGGACTTGAAAAACAATCTGATCTCCTTTGGCTCTATGGGATGAAGCTCCTAAGATAGGCTGCTGTTTCCTTGTCTTGGAATCTTCTCTGTGCTGTTTTATTTCTTTCATCTGTTGTTCAACATTGGTAGCTCCCACAACACAACCTGCAGAAGGACACAAGTGCTTATTAAACTGTCATTTAAAGCCTCTAGCTAAGAAATGTATGCAAAATAAATGACAATATGTTCTAGGACTTGAAATGATTCCTGCTTTCTTATAAGACAAGCTGCCTTTATAATGGATGTGGTACGTCCAGTAACAGACACAAATATGGTGGCCATGTGTCCTACTTTTCAGGGAACAGGCCTGTATTTCAAAGGTTGACCAACCCAAGCCCAACGCAAAGATAAAGAACCATCAAAAGGAAGAGCTGAACCTTGACGTTCAGAAGCATACAGAGTCTCTGGATTTTATCTCCCTAGCCCCCAGTTGGTATTACTTTAAAAAAATAAAGAAATTGTTCCTAAATATGCAACTATGCATATTAGGATATGCAATAGTTCTGCAAATCAATCCTCTTTTGTGGGGTTGGGGAATTTCCTCTCTTTGGGGGTACATGTTAAGTGGCTACCCTATACACAAAGGCCCCAGACCAGACTACAATTTCCAGTGATGTAATTTCCCAAATAGGGTTCTTTCTACCTCCTATTTCTAGTTTCTCCCAGCTCAGAGGAGGTAGCACATCATAGCCTGAAATCTCATGTAGTATGGAGTTTTGAGCATCTTTTTTAGCAGAAATCTGACTATGATACCATAACACGGAAAGAAAGTAGAGAAAGTGTGTAAACAACCTCCTAGATTAAAAAGTAGTGATATAATTACCTATTACTAAGGCAGTAGGTTCATGGCTTGAAGCAGAAATTACTGCTTTAATAGAATCATAGTAATTCAGCTAAGAAGACAGAAAAATAATATTGATTATCAAAACATGACAGTCTACTGGTTACAAAACAATGTTGAGATTGTGTTAGTCCTTTGTTGGCTTTGTAGTGCACTTTCATTCACAGCAACTCCTACCATTTACAACTGGCATATTGTTGCTGGGGAATGTTAGGGAAGGCTGCATTAAAAGGGCACAATGAAAACTATCAATTTCAAAGATTCGTAAGACAAATCAGTTCAATCCAAAGTCTATACAAAAGGGAAGGAGCAGCCAGTGATGTTTGATGAGGCAGGTATGGAGCAGCAGCGGGAGCAGGAGCAGCAAAACCCCTCATTCTGGGAAAACATGCCTTTTGTTTTTTGTCACTGGATTTAAAGAATCAGAAAGGCATTATAGGCACATTAGCAAAACATGAACTCCATGTTCATCACTGAACTATTCCTTCAGTCTAGGACAAAATGTCTAGTATGACTGCTTGGCTTTGTTGTAAGAAGTTTAAACCTGAAAGGTCATGTTTAAGAAATGTTAAACACAACTAACAGAGTCAGACTAAATAAACCCCTTCTTCTCTCTTGCAATATACTGATTTGTACAGAAACCATTTTCTTCCTCCCTAACATGACTCTAGGACAGGCAGGCTGAAAATAATCCCTTGTGTTGGATTTCGCAGTTGCTGCTCTACCTGCCTTTTCTCTCTTGTAATATATTGATTTGTAGGCGAACCTTTCTCTTTACCTGAGTAACCCAATCTCCATGAACTTTCCAACGGATGTAAGTGACATTTGGAGAAAGAACTGCATTCTCAAGACCAATATTAGGAAGGTTTTCTAATTTGGGAAGCTTCTTCCATGTCCTGAAACAGCCACAAGAAGATTATTTTTTTCCTTAGAAATATAACTAAGCATGACAATGCTTGATTTAGCTATTTATCTTCATAGGAAATACCAAATCTTTGATTTTGCAAAGCCTGTCATATTTATTCTATATTCCATGATGGTAAAACTAACCAAGATACTCCTAAAGCAATTGGTGTGCATATGGATGTCACAACAGGATCGCAACTGTGGGCGCTTTCTGGAGCCCCAGGAAGATTGATGGCTTACTTAGAGGCCCCTCAGAGTGAGGCATCAGAACTACTTCAGAGAACTGGACCAGCTCTCTTGCAGTGTAGTAACTGTCATGGCTCTCCAAGGCAGTCAAGGCCTTACCCAGAGAGGTCCTCAAAGTGAGGAATAAGGCAGGTGGCAGTGGCCATTCCAGAGAGATGCATCCATGCTTTACTGCTGTGGCACTGGCTTTAGCAAGAGAGTCTCCGAAGCATTTGGAGCTCTCTGAAGCAGCTGCCTTCAACAGTGGGATGGCAGAGGTAGAAGCACAGAGGCACAGGTGGCAGTGAGCTGTGTGGCCCTCCCACTGTGTGTGTGCACGCGCACGTGCAGCATGATCTGCTGCCCCTCAGGATGGCTTGTTACATGGAATTGGAGCACATGAGATCCAGGGCTCAAAGACAACCCACTGCTTATTTCTGTTTTCATTTCTCATTTTAAAAGTGCAAGTACTTGCCTTAAGACTTCTCCCACTGAACGTAAGAGCAAGATATTGACACATCCCTGCAATAGCAAAAGGAAAACAAACAGGGTACTCAAAGCACATAAAAGGAAGCTGCATGATTCTCTTCATGTTTGGATAAGAAACTGCAGTGAAGTTTTCACAATTGTACATCTCACCAGAAGCAGAACACACAGCCTTGAGAGGCATCTGATAGAGGCAAGTTGCCTTGCTATTGTTTGGGTTGAAAGAGACTCAGCGATGATTTGCTGCTTCTCATTCTGCCTCGGTACATTAAAAAAGTGTCCCAACTATGTTTGGCTGAAAAAACAAGTACTGTGAACTAGGTTCTTCCTTATTTTCCTTCCGCCTGCTGGCCTTGTTCCTGTATATAATGCTGATGACTGAACATCGCACAGACTTCTCAGTTTATGACACTTGGATGAACCTGGACACCAGCTCCTCATCAAAGAGAGCTCAAGGCATGTGCAGTAAAATCCTTTTCAAGTTTCTTGGAATGCATGAAATATTCTGCACCAGTATTCTTTCTAGCATCCTTCCTGGCATATGCAACTTGACTGGCACTCATAAAACATTGCAGCTTGCATTGTGCAGTCCTACCAGCTCTGCTTTGCTTGCTCCCAAATGGGTTCTACTACAGCACAAAGCTGTATAGCAGTACATATCCTTGCAAGCCAACATACCTTTAAACGAGAGGTAAGCAACTGGTGCCCTCCAGAAGTTTTGGACTACCGAGTTTATGGCTAAACTTCCCTTCTCTGTGCAATGTAGTTAATGTAAAAGGCAACAATAAATTATTACAAATCACATCATTAGTGTCAGGTGCAGTTAGGTTCTATGCTAAACTACGTTTTAAGACAAACTTTTCCTAGCACATCTTTTTGAAATACATACCTGGTCATCACCATAAAGAATCATACATTCATCATCATCTGTATAGCTGAATGGGAGGGAGAAAGGAAGAAAATGAATATGCTTTAAAATCAGTGTTTTGCTCAAAAATTACTGGACTTTCCAAGGTCTTCCAAGAAAAACAAACTGAACACATACCTAAAAGTTAGTCTGTAAAATGCCCAAGATTTTAGCACAAGCTAAGATGTGCAGAGCCTACTTCTTATGTAACGATGCACATTGAGGGACAGGCCTGTCATAACATGCTATCTCCTATAGGTTTGGGACCTTTGGGTTTCTGAAGCTTAAGCATGGAAAAACGCAAGAGCTGAGCTACACAGCAACACTTTATGTCATCAGCATCCAGCCACCTCGGGCAGCAGCTCTGGCTGTAATGCTCTGGTAGGGCCCATCAGCAATGCCTCTCTATAGCACCAATGCAGGATGTTGGGTCTGAGGGGCTGCCACTTTAATTTTTCTCCAGTGCCTTAGAATGCCCAGTGCAGCATCATTCCATGGCACTGTGAGACATTTCCAAGGCAGTTCCCAGAAGCCCACTCCCCCCACCCCCCTGCAAGCCTATGACTGGAGGGACAGAGTCTCTCTGATAGAGGAATGGCCCCACCAGGTGGCACTCTGCCAAGGGCTCCTTCAACCTTGGAGGGGTGAGTGTTCTGAATTGTATCTCCAAAGCTTTGTGTCCTGGTTCAAGCAACTTTCCAAAAATTATTTCCAAGATGTAGTGAGCCATGACTAAATATGTCAGTAGTATTTATAACATTGGTTCAACATGACAAAATATACACAATCAAGTTGCCTTTCAGAAACTGATTTCTATGAATCAGGATCTCACCTCAACCTTTCAGTCCTGGCCATTTCTGCACATCATTTCACTCCATCATAAGCCACACCTTTGTTCAGTTCTTAGCAAAGGAATTTAAAGATCCCAGTTCATTTATTACATAAATTAAATGCATTTATTTTTATTAAAATAATTGCACCTTGCTCTTTTACTATAAAGGGCTTCAGTATACTACAAAATGAACAACACAATTAAAACAAAACAATTTAACTTACTTTAAAATATAGTTAAAATCCAAAAGCAAACCACTGGTAGCAGAGCAGCAAGAACAACAGTTAATAATCTCCCCAACTGCTAATAATGCTGAAGGGCCTATTTTGCTAATCTCTGCCCTCTATTTTGATGATGCATTTCCTCTCTTTGGCAATGCAAAGTGGCCAACCTAAAAGAGAGCCTCTGTGTTTGGACAGGAATACATAAAAGAAAGTGATTCTTAAGATAAATTATCTGGGACCAGGTGAGGATTTAGAAGGTCAAAAGAAGTGCCTTACGTTGGTCCCAGAAACAAAGAAAGCACCAAATGAAAGTAAAATATTATCAATATTATCAAGATACTCCAAATTAAGGTGCTCCATACCATGGTTGTCATAGAATATTTAACACTGACATTGTATTAGGACATTGCAAGAAAATTAAAATGGTATTTCTAGTTGGTTCCTAACCAACGCAAGAAAGTCCAAGGCAGGCATCAGGGCTAGTGCATTTGTATGAAGATGCTAATGCCAGGAATGGTTAAAAGTCCCTCCATAAACTAATATGCCTTAAAAAGGAGGAGTGGGATAATAAATGTCATTGTAGGAACAGACCTATTCATAAAAGTATGTCATGATTATTTGCTGATTACCAGCATATGACGTAAACTCAGAACGGCTTACCAGTAATCCAGGTTCAAAGGTACAGCTTCCAAACCACTAATCTGAAGGTAGGGTTCAAAGTTGGAGCTTTCATAGAACTGCAGCTCATGATCCCTGTCACAAAATTAAAATATGATCTCTTTTATCTCCATGGATTGTACAGGTACATTTCCCACAAAGGGTTGAATAGCAATCAGCAGCAGGTATGAAAAGGGCAACTTCTATGTCAGTGATCATTAAGAAAGGATTGAACAGTAAAATGCCAACATCGTAATGCCTTTATGAAAATCTGTGGTCTGATCAGAAAGCTGTCAACAGTTCTGGTCCCTGCACCTCAAAAATGATATTGTGGTTCTGGAAAAGGGAACCCAAAATGACTGGGGGAGGATCTCCCTACAAGGAAAGCTTACTATGTTCAGGGATTTTTAGTTTAGTAAAAATAAGTAGAAGACATATTTTGTAAAACTATGGATGGCATGGAGGAATGAAAATATAGCTCATAAAACCAAAAGCCCACAATCATTCAATGAAGCTGGATGGTGGCAGATTCAAGACACACAAAAGGAAGTACGAATGTGGTGCAGAATAAAATTATGCAACGTGCTTCCACAATATATGGCAATGACCTTTTAAAGGGGGAATAGACAGATTGAGAAAGGCTTTGAATACAAATTGCTGGAGAACACCAGTTGGATGGGGCTGTTGCCCTCATGTCCTGCTTCTGGGCTCCCCAGGGACAACTGGTCAGTCACTGTGGGGAACAGGATGCATATATTCTGAGGGATTTCTGATCCACTCCAGTAGAATGGGTCTTATGTTACCTTTAGGAAGACTGTGTTCACTGGAAAAATGGTTTTAAGGTTAAAATTCCTTCCCTGACCCCTTGATCCTATCCAATCTCTGGAGTCTCTGTAGCTGCTCTTTGCTTAAATGGAGAAAGATTAACTCTGATCATATATCACAGTAATTACATCTAGTTAGGCCATGCATTACAGGGCATGATCTTATGCTAGTTTAGACAGAAAAAAGACTTACAAACCCTGGGCTGGTTTTTTTTGGGGGGGGGGGGAGTCTAAACTTGCTTAAGATTGGACCTCAAATTCACCAGCTTTTCCAGTGCAAGCCAAGAACCCAGATTATTTTGTTTATGCAGATATTTCCAGTGAATCCAAACCTCAAAAGGAATTCTGATAAAGGATTTATTTTATGTTTTGTGTACATAATACTTACCCAGTTCCGAGGATTAGCTTATTGTATGGCGTCATGACAGTGAAATCCATCAACCATTTGGATTTTCTGTGAGCTTTTTCCTAAAATACCCCTCCCCCACAAATAATAGTTAAATACTGCATGCCACTTCTGAATTACAAATGCTATAAATTTGTCGCACATCTTTCAAAAGAAAATTTGACAAAAGATGATGGGTACCAGAAGATGGTCTAGACAGCATACTAAAAAGCAGAGACATCACCCTGCTGACAAAAGTGCATATAGTCAAGGCTATGGTTTCCCAAGTTGCAATGTATGGCTGTGAAAGCTGAACCATAAGGAAGGCTGAGTGCCAAAGAATTGAGATCTCTAAATTATGGTGCTGGAGAAGACTCCTACAAGTCCCTAGGACTGCAAGGCAATCAAACCAGTCAGAGGAGATTAAGCCTGACTGCTCTCTAGAAGGCCAGATACTGAAGATGAAATTCAGATACTTTGGCCACCTAATAAGAAGGACTCCCTGGAGAAGAGCCTAATGCTGGGAACAACTGAGGGCAAAAGAAGGGGACGGCAGAGAATGAGGTGGTTAGATGGAGTCACTGAAGCAGTCGGCGTGAGCTTAAGTGGACTCTGGGGGATGGTGGAGGACAGGAGGGCCTGGAGGAATGTTGTCCATGGGGTCGCGATGGGTCGGACGTGACTTCACGACTAGCAACCAGAAGATGGAGAGAGCAGGATAAATGAAGAGGGATTTATTTATTTATTAAGATAAGTAGGTTGGAATGGAATGGCTAGAATAAGCCATTTTTTGATTCAGTAAAACCTTCAAGCAGTGTACACTCGTGTGAGTTACAGACATTATGCCCACCCTGTTTGAGTGAAGCCACACCAGCTGGCAATCTGGGCATGGCTCCTGCTATGGTACATGTCTGTAAGGATCTCCCTGCTCCACATTTGTGTGTGTGTGGGAGGGGATGCACAGTCCCACAGCAGGGAGGGGAGGGTAGGCACGTGAGTCTGTGTTGCAGCATGTTCTTCTCCCAGAGCTTCACAGAGCTGCAAGTGTGGCGTAGTGGTTAAGAGCATGGGACTGGGACTCAGATGATCTGGGTTCTAGTCCCCACTCGGCCATGGAGCCAACTGGGTGACTTTGGGCCAGTCACAGACTCTCAACCCAACCTACCTCACAGGGTTGTTGTTGTGGGGATAAGATGGAGGAGGAGATGTAAGCTGCCTTGACCCCTTTGTAGGAAAAAGGCAGGATATAAATCGAAAAATAAATAAAAATAAATAAATATATGTTGAGAGCTGCAAAACTATGTGCTAGTTAGGAACACCTGCCCCTAGTGGCTGAAAATGTTACTGCAGATTTAGCTGTATTACTGGACACACTTAATTTAAATTAGCTAATGCATTTTTAAAACAACCTTGAGGTGCATAATTCTAGGATGTCCTTAGTAGGAGACTGTCCTGGATCTAGCTTACTACAGTCAAGGATATCGAGTACCAAGTTCAGCTCAGTGTCTCATTCAGTCCAGGGCATGTGCCAAGCATACCCTGCACTAAGACCAGCCCTCTGAGAAAAGCAGAACTTTTAAATGTCAGCTTTCCTGAATCTAAGGTAGAGGGTGCAGTACCACAGAAATAAACAAAGAAAGAATCCTGAAAATGTGACATACAAACACCATCTTGCTTCGTTTTAACTTGAGTTCTGGTGACCAGAAGGAAATATTTCCATCTTCTCGGGCTGTTATTAATGTGCTATCTGGCAGTGAGCGAATGCGCAGCATGGGGTCCCCATGTGGAATCTCTTTTATTGATGCAGGAAGTGAAAAGGCCATCTCTTTCAGTCGGGCAGATGCCGCATCCTGTTCAGAGTATTCCAGCTGCATGTATGTGCAGAAGTCATGCTAGTTACAGGGGGAAACAGAGTCAGTTCTTAATTTAGTGTATGGGCAGTCTGATCCTATGTATGTTTACTAAGAAGGGAATCCAACTCACCCAATTCACACATCACAACCACCCATGGTAAACAAACCACGTATTATTAAAAATGAAGTAGGGCTGAACAAACATGCTAGTTCCCACCCAACCACCGCTTCTGCTGCAGTTAGGCAAGGCTAAACAACCAACAGTGTTCCATCGCTGGGTTGTCTAAATTCAGAACTCTTCAGTTTTTTGATGAGAGACAACCCAAAGTTCCAGTTTGGATGTAACCATAAACAAGCCAGGGACACAGCATCCTGCTTATCTCATGCTAGTTTATGGTGACACAAGGTGTCTCACATTTCTAGCCATGATATGTGAACTGGGCCACTGTACTCAGTGAAGCTTACTCACAAGTAAATGTGCATAGAAGAGCAAACCAAGGATACTTCCAGAAGTGACCTTTATTTTGCAATTCCCCAGGGGGTCCAGAGGTAGTCATCCTCTATTGCAATTCTCTTGTGATTGCCCAAGTCTTTTTCCATCTTACCAGAAAAAAAGCAATTATTTAAAGAGGAAAAGATGGAATAACTGCACAATGCCTTTTGGCAGTACTAGGAATTTTCTGTGTGTGCGCGTGTGTATGAAAGAGATATTTTTAGCTAATTCAAAGGAAAAATTAAGTAGTTACATATCAGTGTTTCAATTAACCCCTTGGTTGAAAAGAACTTATTCAGTGCCATCTATTACAGTGAAAGTTATTTCTCCCTCAGCCCCGCAGTCCTGGGAAGCTTGGTTTTGGCACCCTCTTTTTGGCCTTTCCAGCTAGCTTTGTGTTTTATTTATCTCCAGTAGACCCTTTTTCATTTCTTGCTTATCCACATCTTAGAAATTCTTTTTTCTTCTTAGATCTGCTTTTTCTACTGTTTCCAAAATATACACTTACCCACTGAATCCTGCCAGTTGCAGAATAGTCTATTTTCATAAAAAGCTTTTCTATTTGTTCATCGCTCTGCAGAGGCAAAGGAACATGCATAATAAACTTTTGATATGCATAGCATCAAGATTTCATGAGATACTTTCTAAGTGTAGTCCTTGAGAAAATTTATCAATAGGTTCATTCCCGTAAATGGGAATGTGAGAGCCAGTGCGGTGTAGTGGTTAAGCACATGAGACTGGGACTTAGGTGATCTGGGTTCTAGTCCCTGCTTGGTCATGGGACCAACTGGATGACTTGGACCAGTCACAGACTCTCAGCCCAACCTACCGCACAGGTTTATTGTTGTGGGGATACGATTGAGAGCAGCAGGAAGAGAATTATGTAAGTCACTTCGTGCTCATAAGAAAAAAGCAGGATAGAACTCAAATAATTACATAATAATGTGCAAACGTGGGAGCAGCAGCAAAGATTAAGGGCCAACAGGGCTGTGCATGGGAGACAGGCTCCATTTTGTTAACACAAGTAGAAACTAGGGTCCAAATTATGCACAAGAGAAGAATCCAACTCAAGTTATATTTGTGCATGCATGTATTGAGCATTACATGTGTGCAACCTGTTGTGCAACACTTGTACATAACACTTGTGTACCTGCTTTCAGAACACACTGTGCAATTGTATGCACATCTACTTGGGCAACGAATTGTGCAACAGAAAGACATGACAGAGCTCTGCTAGTGCTGACTTTGTGGAATGTTGCCAAGGAGTGCCAGCCACATGCAGGAAGCAAAAGCAGGAAGAACTTCCTAACCCATCCCTTCCCTCTGTAGGTCTGGCATACAGCTATCGCCATTAAATTTCCAATAGTGATTTGCTTACTGCATTATGTGATCCCACACATTTCTTTAAGATGTGCTTGAAGTTTTCCACATCCAAGGATTTATGCCCATTAATTTCTAACTCCTGGAAGAAGACAAGGTAAAAGGAAAACATTATGTGGTATTATAAAATAACAGACTTGACAAAGCCCAACTTCTCAAAGCAGAATTTCATAGTGTTACCAATTCTTTCTCCCTGAATAGTTCTAATGTGCAAGTGAAAGCTGAACATCAAATAAAGGCATTTCATATTCCCTCTCTTCCCCAAAAATGAGGCCAAGGGTTCAAAGGGACTCTGAACTGCTTTCAGTATAAGGCAGATCTGTTTCAACTCATAGGATTTCCTGTTTTTCACTTTATGCTGCAGCTGTTCCTTTAACAGCAGCTTGACATGCTGCAAAGCACATGACAGTTGTTAGCTCCTTGTCATGAGAAGCTTCACCTGCTTATTTCTGCTTTTCAGAATTATATCAAGTTAGGAGGACAAGTCACATTTTCTAGCTAGCTGGCAACCCTATTCTCTCCCCATGTAAAGCTTTTTACTGATGCAGAAGTGGTTATGAATGAGTTCAGCCAAGTTTGTGGAAGGAATTCTCTCTATCCCATGTCAAAGCCTGGATATACTCGAAAGAGTAAGCTAGAAGCCCATGAAGCTAGAACTTCTGGGGGAAATACCAAGTTTGATGAAACAGAGGTGTGCTAGACCATTCAGGATAAGTAGGTAGCTTCTACAGTAGTTGAATAAGGGCAAAAAGGGAGTGTGCTTAGTGGAAAAGAAGAGTAGTGGTCAGGAAAGTGGATGAGGACAAACAAGATGATCATGTGTCCCTCTTTATCAAGGACATTCCTCTATCTGAATGGTTTTAGAAGAAGTTTGAGGAGCTGCCCAGTTCAAAATTGATTTGAAGATAAAGAACCATAAGAAGAGAGTGTTCTGTTCTTGGTTGCCCCTCAGCCATTAACAACTGAACAGCAAACTAAGCAGACAGACAGGGTACCTGGTTATATTCTTCGATGTGATGAAGACATACTATATTTAACTTATTGTAATTTACATCTAAGCAGATAAATTAAGCAAAATTAATGCAAACTGTGTGTTCTTTCATGCTTTTTGGTGAAATATTTTCTCCTTTCTATTTATGTGCAAGCCACTGTACGACTTATCTGGGCCTAAAATCATATAACTGACTCATAAAATCTCGTTATGGATCATTTCTGTGTTAACAGAAATTGGATCTTGTAGAATCATTTTATGCTATACCAGCAATGATTATTGTCCTCTAATCATTATTAGTCCTCTAGCCTAACACAACTCTCAGCGACATCACGAGCTCTAACACAAGCCCCACCCTCAATATTTACTTATCTGAAGTGCAGAACAGTTCTGAGGTATGAATATAACAGTGTAATTGCAAATGAAAAAGAAATGACTGTGTTACTGGCATTAGAGGAAAGGCGTCTTTTTCAGTAAAATAATACATGCCAAAATATGTGATAGCCAAACCTGAAAGGCTGCATGGAGCTTCTGAAACTGATCAAGATTTAGCAGATGCTCAGCCTTGAGACAAAAAGCAACATGGAGTCATTAACACATTATATGCACAGGACTATTTTAAGAGTCAAAGGCACCCAAGGACTGAATGTTCTTTAACATGCCCCTACTATCTATCTATCTATCTATCTATCTATCTATCTATCTATTAAAACATTTTTATGCCGCCCCATTTGCCGAAGCCTCGGGGTGGCTTACAACACTACGTTAAAATAATTATAATATAAATCAAAAATATAAACATTAAATTAAAAAAACAAAAATATAGTATAAAATAAGCCGCCCTGGCCAGATAAAATCCAATAATATTAACAGTTAAAATGCCGCTTGAATAAAAAGGTCTTCGCCTGGCGCCGAAAAACAAATAACGACGGCGCCAGGCAGACCTCTCTGGGGAGCGCGTTCCATAACTTAGGCGCCACCACAGAGAAAGCCCTCCTCCGAGTACCTACCCTCCTAATTTCTTTCACGGAGGGTTCCCGGAGAAGGGCCTCTCCCGCAGATCTCAAGGGGCAGCTGGGCATATATGGATGCAAGTGCTCCTTCAGGTAACCAGGACCCAAGCCGTTTAGGGCTTTATAGGTCATCACCAACACCTTGAATTGGGCCCGGACTTCAATGGGAAGCCAGTGAAGCTGACGGAGGACTGGAGTCATGTGAACATAATGCCCAGTCCCTGTCAGCAGCCTGGCAGCTCTATTTTGAACCAATTGAAGTATCCGGACCGTCTTCAAGGGTAGCCCCACGTGGAGCGCGTTACAGAAGTCAAGGCGGGAAGTCACCAGTGCGTGTGTCGCTGTCGCCAGGCAGCTGTACTCCAGGTAGGGGCGCAGCTGATGGATCAGCCGAAGCTGAAGGAAAGCGCTCCTCGCCACTGCTGTCACCTGAGCTTCCAATGAAAGCTCTGGGTCGAGGAGCACTCCCAAGCTGCGGACCTTGTCCCTAAGAGGGAGTGCAACCCCATTCAGAACAAGGTTCAGTTCACCCTCTCCGAAGTCCGAACCACCAACCAACAGGACCTCTGTCTTGTCTGGACTGAGCTTCAGTTTTTTGGCCCTCATCCAGCCCATTACCTCGGCCAGGCACCGGTTCAGTACAGCCACTGCCTCACCTGGATTGGTGGAAAACGAGAGGTAGAGCTGGGTATCATCAGCGTACTGATGGTTCTGCAGCCCACACCTCCTGATGACCTCTCCCAGCGGTTTCATGTAGATGTTGAACAGCAACGGGGACAAAATGGACCCCTGCGGTACTCCATGGCATAACTGCCATGGCGCAGAGCCATAGTCCCCCAGCACCACCTTCTGGAACCGGCCATTGAGATAGGAGCAGAACCACTGCAAAGCAGTGCCTCCGACCCCCAATCCCGCAAGCCTATTCACTGCATAATTTATCAGTGTCTTTGGGGGGGACAAGTTAAGTGGTTTCCATATTCCCATTAAATCTGAGGAAGTGGGAGTATCCTTTTGCTCTATCAAGACCTACAATTAGGAGTAGTGCAGTGGAAAACTTGGAAGTTTAGGTACTTATCAAGGCAATCCCATAGCCTCTTCTCCAATGAGAGACCAAAACTCCAGGCAGCTGTATTGAACCGTGTGAACAAACCAGTTCTAAATTTTTTAGCTCCTCCACGAGGAATCTTTCTAAAACTACTCAGTCTCACTTTCCATTCAAGACCAAACCACCCCCAAATACTTTGTATTACAACAGGGAACAATATCCTGTTACTGGGAAAATTAATTCCCCATCTACTGCAAGGGTTGCAAATAAGGGAACAAACTTTTGAGATAGAAGTGTGGCAGATGACAGCAATGTCATTCATACTTGTGAGTCCAGGCTCCTTGACTCCACTGGTTTTCTGCCACAAATTTACCCAATCGTTTAAACCTGCAAGAATGTAGAAACCTCAGAAGGCAGGCCCCAAAACAAATAGGTCACATGAGCATTTATTTTTATGTGTATAAAAACATGAGCATTTTAATAAAACAAGCCCCTACAGTTTCCACTTCCCCATCCAATTACTGTATTTCCCCAGAATTTCAGAGGTGCCTATACTACAGAAACACATCAATAGAATCTTGTTCATGTGGAAAGCAGCTGGGACACAGGGTGGAGGTACTGAGGAAAAGCAGGGGTTGGGTTAAGTACTACCATCTAATATAATAATGTATTGTTTATATTCCATTTGTATCTGGAGTGGCGTATATTATAAGCACAAAACTACACAATATAGTATTTTTAACAATACAGTGCCAATTTCTTTTGCCTGCTGCTGCTTTCTCCTAAATCACCCCCTTCCTGACATAATTGTAGAGCAGATAAGCAACAGCTGAGCTTGTGCATTCATGAGTTTGTTTGCAACATGCCATTATGGCCCAGTCTTTGCTATGTTCTATCCCCTACTTGCATCTTTTAACAGATACAGCATGCACTTCACTGTATGTGGCATTTGCAGGTGTTATGAGTAATACACTGACACTTATTAATACTTATCACTGCAGCCTAGCATGCCTTACAAATGTACTTGCATGGCCGAAAAGAATAGTAGCATTTGTATTTGTTCCAAGGTTTATAATGGTCATACTCCTTTTCTAGTTAAAAAAAAACCCCAAAACTTTGGCTGCATTTGCACTAAATCTAAACTGTGGTTTAGGTTGGCCATGATTTGTTGCTTTAGCTATAAGTGGTCTTGCAGAAGAGCAGACAAACAAGCTTCTTTTCTCAATTTCTTTTTTGTTTTCCTTTTGCCCATTTTGTCGGTCCAGTTTCATTTTAGGCTCTTCTCACTGCTTATGTCCAGGGCAAATAGCTATGCAAACAAGCCAGGGAGAAACCATAATTTAAACAAGCCAGTTTTTATAAGCCAGCAACAAACCATGACTTTTATTTGTGATTTGTAGTTAAATTTCAACATGACAAGTCAGAGTTCAACAAACTACATCATGGTTAATAGCATGTGTTGTAAGCCGCCCCGAGGCTTTGGCAAGGGGCGGCATAGAAATGTTCTAATAATAATGATGATGATGATGATGATGATGATAATGATGTACAAACCAGGCCATTCTGAATATTGAAATATCTAGGAAGTCAGAATTTGCATGTTGGAAATTGTACATGTGTGTATCACATCCATCTTTCTAGGTTACAGGGAAATTATAATAGAAGGCAGTATTTTATTTTTAGTGTAGCACGTAAGAAACCACATCTCTATAACAGTTGGAACATATATTATTAGGAAACTGTTAAAATAGCTTCCTGCTGTCCAGTGATTTCTCTTGTGGCCAAAAAGTTTACAAGTATTTGGAACTACTATCTAAGAGCCTTTGCAGGTTTGTTTCATATTCCCAGTGGTGGTTTGTGTTTGAGAGGCTGGTTTTGGTGGCATACCAATGGCAGTTTTAATATGTTTCATGGTGCTAAATACACAGATACAGGGAGGTGTTCTCCAACATAACACATTTCTGTTTATCAAACAAATTTGACATGTAAAATCTTTCCAAGGCGTTTCTCTTTATGTGTTCTGCTGCTACTACCGCTACATTTTCTCACAGTTCTTCACAGCAGCATTCAAAAGCCCTTGGGGCCCAGAAAGAGAATTCACTATACCTTTCCTTTCCACTGACTTCTAGAAGGGTCAAGATGGTGATGGACACTTTCATTCTCTGCTATATTTTCCACCAGTCCAATGGAGTGACTCCTCTGCTGCCCTTTTAGCAGCTCCTTCATCAGCCATTCTGGAAGTTGGGGTGTCTCCTCCTGAGTGTCTGCAAAGCTGCCAGTGGAAACAGGAGATGCAGCCTGCAGCCTGAAGCCTCCCACTGAAGTCTGAGCCCGATGGAACAAAGGGTCTGTTGTAGCGGTGGACTCCTGCAGCTCAGCCAGAATGCTGTCGAGCACAAACACCAGGAGGTAGCCATGTGGCACTGCTATTATTATTATTCATTAATTAGTTGCTGGCAGCAGTAATAGTAACAGGAGAAGCACCAGTAGCTCCCTTTCAGACTGGGGTCAGAGCATACTGTACAAGACACTCATGGTATAGCTCTTTACATTCATATTCCACACATTGTTTAAAATGGGAAAAAACTAAGACATAAAAAGAGAAATGACTTGGTCCAATTCTTAGAAGCACTGTGTAACAGGAACACAAAAACAAGAAGGCAAATTGCATAGCTCCATTGTAGACATTTTCTTTATTAGGGTACACAGAAGGACATGATTTGAGAAGAGGGCCTCATAAATATTTCTTTTTATTTTCAGCCTTACTAACAGTTGCTAGAGAATAGAAAATCTGTATATATTTAAGTGAAATTATAGGCACATATAAAGTGTACAGTTAGTTTCTTCCTTGTCCTACCTAAAAGAACATTATGGAATTACACAGAAAAGCAGATTGAAATATTATTGTCTGTTTTGTGTTCCTATATCTCACTGTTGAAAATAACAAAAGAAGAGGTGGGGAATAAACAAAAAAGCAACCAGGCAGACCAGCTGGTTGCAAATGAACAGACGTAATCTTCTTCTCTGCACAGGAAACAAGGCGCCTAAATTAATGCCTAGCAAATTTTTTCGAATCATCCTGCAACAAGGCAGAATGAATTTTTGTAATGTTACATTGCCTCAGACGCTCTCCTACAGGACCGCAACGAAAAGTCCTTCAAATATGAGAACTTTCTTGTGGTATAGTCCTCACATGATTAGAATTGCATGAAGGGAGACCAGGGACACATGAGCTCCCCCCATTCTGCTGGTGCATTCCCATTACCCAGTCAAGGTACCCTGGGAAGCTCGGCCAGGGCCAGGGCCAAAGTAGTTATGATGGAACTGGGGGTGGGGGGGTCACACCTCAGCAGGACCCCACCAACAGGTGCCCCCAAGATTTGCTCCTCCTCTTCACCAATGCAACCTGCGTGTTCACCTGCCCCTCACTGCAGCCCAGGCAACATTAAAAAGGAGGAGCTGCAGTTACCACTGCCACCACTTCCTGGTTTTCTGCCTGTCAAGAGAAGTGGTGATGTCAAAGAATGATAAGAAAAAGGATGAAGAGCAACAGAAGCTGGTGACAATGGCAGTAAATAGGTAGGCTGGGCCTAATGAGGGTGTCTTACCCAAGGATTGTCAAAAACCTGCAACTGGCCTGAGTATGAGCCCATTGCTCCACCTGTTTCCCCCATGATCTAATGTTTGATGGTTTCCTAGAATTTGTACATCGTGCCTCCCATTCTTCCTTGTTTGAAATGCCTCTCCTAAGGCTTTATAACTGGAACTAAGGGAGTGCAGATGCCGTATGTGGGCACTTTAGGCCTTGAATCTTTTGCTTATTGCTTGCCTGGCACTGAAGTGTGGCTTCCGAGCACATCTCCAAAACTAACTGGGTTCTTGGGTTGAAAGGGTTTCAACAGCCCTGACGTACAGAATACCTCTATGGACCCACTGCAATTCTGAACATATTTATCTTAAAAGCACAGAATTATTTATGCAGTTGAAGATCAAACCAAATCTAAACACATTCTACAAAGGTGAATGGTAGATTTAATTGCCTTTCACTTTATGTTTACACTTAAATGTTGCTGGGCTACAGTTCTGCCTAGTGGAGTGCATAACTGTCTTTCCTGTAGGAGTCTCTCCTTCCCTAATATTTCTAACAGCAGAATTATTCAGAAAATAGTCTGGATGTAGTTCTGATATATAATAGTTCTGAAATAAAAGAGTTCATTTGTAATGCAGGTGCCTGCAGCAATAATAATAGTGTTAAAAAAACCCTTTCCCATTACTCAAGTAAATGTACCTCAGAGAGAGCACCAGGAAAATTTAGAAAATCCCAAGGCATAATTTGCATGTGGCCATATGGAACCTAAACATATCTGGGTCTCATCAATGCCTGGACGGGAGACTGCCTTGGTGAGAAGGGACCTTATATGAGTAATGTTAACCATATCCACATGAGCTTGGGGTGGGAGCAACAGCTCTTGAAAATGTATCTGCAGTGAATAAAAGGTTGCCTGTCATACAGGTCATAGCCAAATCATCTCTCTGTACTTTTGTCATTATTCATTGGGTTGGGTTTCAGGGGTTTATGATATGTTACCACAGCCAGTGTTCATCCGTAATACATTGGGTACATCCTTCACAGCCTAACAGTCTATTGTAAACTCTTTCTCAGTCTGTGTATAGCTGGTTTCTACATCAGTGAGGGACTTGGACACACATGCCGCTGGCTGCCAACAGTCATCATGTTTTTGCAAGAAAGCAGCCCCGTAACCAGACTGTGAAGAATTTGCTGAAATCTTGATAGGTATAGAACTTTAACACTGTCTGGTTTGTTAACAAATGACAATCAAACTGCAGAGATGTGATTTGGCTGTGGCCCATAAACCAGGCAAACATTTGTTCATTGTAGATGGACTTTCGGAGCTGTTCCTGTAAGTGGAAAAGGTTTTGGAGAGAGAAATGGAGCAACGTTTTTGCTTCCCAACTTTACCGAAGGCCTCCTCTTATGCACCCCAGCACCATTCATTTTTCTGTTCAAGAAGTCTCCAAAGAAGGGCTACCAATGAATACAGATTTCTGGAGGATAATTCACCACCCCAAACGTTGCTAACAGCATTCTTTGATTGTGCATGTATCATCGAGTTTATAGCCATTACTGCATGTCTGGTTTCACTCCTCCAGAAATAATGTCTCCCACAAATGATGTTCTCTAACAACAAAAAACATTTCTCCTTGTTCAGTTTCAGGTTTGCAGTTCTAGTCATGTTTGGGACTTAGTATAGTCATCCCTCATGTTCTTCTTGAATTGGACCCCCAAATTATGATATCCATGGAGTTGTCCACTCCACTGCTGTAGAGTATGTATATGGTTTTCAGGTAGACTTCTGGAGAACACTCTATACCAAATAGCAGGCATGAAAATCTTTAATGGAGTATTAAATGTTCACAATTTTATACTTTTTTAAATTAACCACAATTGTGAAAAAATTGAGGAAAAATCATATTTTCTAAAAAAAGAAAAAAAGAAAAAAAGGAAGCACACATTTGCAAACTTAACCATTATTTTCTCTTTAGTTTGTGATTTAAAAGTTCTCTTTATATGGCTTAAGGGCCCTTGGAGCGAAACACACACACAACTGGCCACTGTGTTTTCCCACTGATATCAATGAGCTTAGCCAGTCAGTGGATTTGTCTATTTCTATTACTTGTAAACCCACCATCCTAACAGTTTTAGATTATCCTGGAATTGTCTTTTCCCCTGTGGATGATAATTATGTCAGTTGTCTTCCAGCTGCCAATTCAAGTCCAGGCCCAGTTCAAAGCACTAGTACTAACATTCAGAGCCTGAAACAGCTTGGGATCAGGTTATCTGAAGGAACACCTCATCCTACATGTACCTACCTGACTCCAGAGGTCATCTTTGGGTGTACTTCTCTGGGTACCCCTTCCAAAAGAAGTGGGGTGGGTGGCTACCAGGAGGAGGGCCTTTTTAGTTGTGGCACCCCAGCTGTGGAATGAGCTCCTCAAAGAGGTGTGCCTGGCACCTATTTTATATTCTTCTCAACATCAAGTAAAGACCTTTTTATTTCCCCCACATTTTAACAATTTAACTTTTTAACTTTATTTTTAATATTGCATTTCACCCTGTATTGTTGTTATGCTTCTCTGCTGATTCTATGTCTCAATTGTCCATTCAAAACCAAGCCACCCTCAAGCATGTTAAATAATAATAGAGAGCAATATTGCATTGCTGGGAAAATTTATTTCTGCCAGCTGCACCTGAACTCAGAAGCAACATTGGCAGCCCAGGAAAAGAGAAAAGGGCCTGGATTGTATCCCCCTGTGCCTCACCTCTTCTAGCCACTGATTATGCTTGATTGACAGTGGTGGTTCCTAACACTTATGAAATTAACCTTCTTCTTGAGTTAGAATTTCACTGCTGTTCCAAATAGGGCAGAATTTGGATTTCCCCCCTTTTAATAAAAGTACTTTTGATAAGATCTACTATTTGTAGGGTGTTTGGCTATATCTAATCCTTGCAAGGAATTACACATGCAATTATTATTTTTAAAAGTACAACGTAATTTATTCGCAATTGCTTCAGCGATAGGAAGAGTAGCATTTTATTTTTAAATGTCTTTCTTTTCCTGCATGTTTTTAAACTTTTGTGATTTTTATTGCTTAAAGATACCACTTGGAGAAGCTTTCCCTTGTAGGCTCAGGGGGTAAAGCTAATTATAATCCACTGCACGTTCCCAAGCAAAGTAGGATAAGCAAACAAAGGGGGTGGGGGGACAGTGTGTTCTTCGCAGAAACAACATCAAGTGAAATATACTTGCTGAGGAGAGAAAAAGGTGACAGGATCATCGTTAAGAAGCTGAGCTGCTGGCTATGGAAAAATCACATTTCATAGGTCGGAAAAAGGACAGCTTTGGTTCCCTGACAACGGCAAGTAGCTTCCAAAACAATACTAATTAGCAGCCATTCTTGGCCTTGCATAGCAACTAAACTTTTATTCCAAAAATAAATAAAAGCCAGCAGTGTATTTATACATTATGCTCTTTCTCGTCCACTCTTTCTATATATGTATGTTAATATTTACACAAAGGCACACAAAACAGTGCATTTCCCATTTTCCCACCTCTTACCTGCTTAGCGTGTATGTTTCTAACTTCCCTGAAGCAGAACTTGGCCGCACTTTTTTCCTCAGAAGCAACATGGTACCAAAACACCAGCCTCCCAGTTTAAACGGTCGAATTGTGCAATTCCTCAACTGCTCCTGCTTCCCTAAGGCAGCAGCTTGTGCTCAGTTTGCTCCTAAGACTGGAGCCTGCGGGGCAGGTCTGCCTATTCAGACTTTGCTGCGACAGCTCAGGTTACCTCATGCTTTGCGCCTCCCTCAAGCATCCCAGAGAAGGTGATTGGCAATGCCCACGGGAGAACACTCACCACCTTTGCAAAAAACTGCATCACCGTGCAGTGCCTGCGTGGACGCTGCAGAAAATCCAGCAGGGCTGCCACTTATGAATGACCATGTGATTCAGACGGCATTTGTTCTCGAGCACGTCTCAGATGATCATGTGTAAGGCAAGCAGCCGCGGCAAATAGCCTTGTCTGGATTGCAACCCATGCACTCTTGTGGGACACTGATTATCCTGAATTGAGTCCATGGGATAGGCATTGAATGCACTGTGCTCCAATGTTTACAGTCTTACTTGCAGGGATGAGTTCAGACAGTAAACATGGATGACTATTTCTCAGAAACCCTGGCAATTGAGGCACGGGTTTCCACAGGGTCCATCCTTTTTCCTCAGTGTTTAACATCCCTCTGAAGCCACTGCGAGCAGTCATTCGGGGGCAAGCTTAGCGGTAAAAGACAGTATCACCTGAATCCTCTACAAATGTCTGTAAATGAGGCAGAACAATTGTCTTGTAGAGCCCTTGTCTGGAAGCACACTCTGCGTCAGTGCGCGCGCGCAACACAGTTACACAGTGAACACAGCTGATTGCCCAGAAAAGGGAATGGGGAGCCCACACACTCGTGTGCGCGAACGCATATAGAGAGAGCGCCCTAAACTTAAAAACGGGTACAGGTCTTCAAGCCTGAGAGGCAAATCTGGTCCTCCAGGGTCCCCCAGAAAGTCATGCTCCTTCTCCCTGGCCTCACCTCTTCCCCCCAACCACCAATTATTCAGTGTTTCCCCAGTTTATGTGCGGTTTCCCCCAATATAAAATGTTGAAATACCTCTCCTAAGGCTTTTTTTTTGTCAGTAAGAGCTTCAAGCAAAAAAAAAAAAAAAAGATATTGGGATGGCGACATTGGCTTTACCTCACTCATCCCACTCCTTGTCTTCAGCCCCACCCACAATTTTAAAATAGAATTTGTCTGAAAAAGGTCCTGCACGCCTGCCTAAGAGACTTCCCTTGCACAATATAATGTGCAAACATTTTACATATATATTTTCAAAATAAGTTTTATCCATCCATCTTGTACTTAAAGATCTTGTGACTTCGGGGCAGTCAACTGAGCAAACAAAAACAAAAACCAGCGTTCTTCTAAAACTGTTTTTGTGTACTGTAGGCTCTGTATCTATCCTGAAATTTTGTCAGCTTCTTATCTAGGAACAACCCTGACATATGCAAAGTAAATGCGAATTGCTCAGAGATTTCATTCATGGTGCAATGAGGAAACAAGTTCTTTTAACACTAAAGACTCCCATTATAGAAAAAGCTTTGCAGCTAGCCTTCTGATTGTTTAGGTTTCTTACATAAGGGCACATCTATGATGTATGCAATTTCCATACAATTTTCCCACAAAAAACACTGAGGTGGGGGAGTGGATTCTTTTTTCTTTTTTTTGAAAGCCGCTCAAACTTTATGTTCTTGCACAAATATCCTTACACCTAGCTTTCTGAAATTTGGGAACTGCCATCCCCTCAGAAAGGGCAGCTGTACCTGTAGTTTTCATACTATTTTGCCAAAAAATTGAATGGTTATATGAAGTTTCCTTTTCAAAATAAGATTTAAAGATTACTTGCAGAAAATACCTGCAGCTATTCACTTGAAATTTGACAGTATTCATCCCTCTCAGAAAGGACTGGTACACCTGAAATTTAATAAAATTCTGTAGAAAAGCAAGCATGTTGCAGTTGTATGTGAATTTCCTAATGAGGAGACAGAAAAGTTCACCTTTTCTAGAGCTAGATTCTGATTCAGCCCCAAGTCAAAGCAGCTGGCCTCCAATGCAGCCCTATCGAAGTTGGCCAGATTCTGAATTACTGAAGTTAGAACTGTGTCTTATAGTTAATGAACACCCTAACAACAGAGAAGGGGGATCAAGAAAAATTTTGGAATCTTCCTTTTTACCAGAGAAAAGCCATTGAATTCATACTGTCTTAGTCTATTCATTTCTCTTCTACTGTTGAAACAGGGATGGATAATTTTTGCACATCCACTTTGCACATTCTCTTCCCTGTGTCATAAGCAAATGCGCAAAACAGCTATCATTAATCCAGAAAGCCCTGTTCTGTTTTGTGAAATTTTTTCATACTTATTACTTATTGTATCTGTTTTAAAGAAAATAGGAATGTAGAACACCAGCCAACACATTCCAGAATGATTTGCAGAGTGGCTTACTTAGCAGGGCAAGAAACCAGCCACAAGTACCTCAAAGCTTGAAGGTGTGTTCTACTTAGTAAGTGGGATTTTTAAAAGTATTATTTTGAATAAAGCAATGGTGAAAAGGTCACATCATTGTATTCATGTAGTTTGACTAAAATTCCCATCACCTCTGATCACTGGCCATCTACTCCAGGCTCTTGGAATGTAACGCGCATTGCATAAACCAAGCACCCTTCAAGGAGGTATTCTATTTTCTCTTACATGGATATGAGGATGTCTCTTCATCACAAAACGAAGGAAGTATAATTTATTCCATAAAAGAACCTCTTATTCTTATTCATATTCAAATTTAATTGCTTGGCTTACTGAGTAAAAGTCATATGATTAACTGACTTAATGAATAAGGCCATGGCCTCAATCAAAATGCATGGTGTCCAGAAATCAATTTGATACTGTTGGAAGGAAAAGTTAAAGTGAGAATGAATGTTCTCATCTTCAAAAGAAAAGTTATATTCTTTTGATCCTTTTATTTAAATCAGTTTCTCAAAACTGCAGTGCAACAAGGAGAAAACAATAGAGTGGAGAAATTAAATCTTCGTGCAGCAAGAACTAGGCTTGTAATATATAAAACTTCCAGTAAAACGTCCATATTTCTAAGGTTAGTGGGGTAGTAATACTATTATTGTTTTTTAGAATTTCAAAAGAAAGCCTGAATTAGAAGAAAACTGGTGTAGCTCTTCAAATGGTTTTATTGTAAAGAGAAGCTATAATGGTATTTGTGCTTCAGCCACCTTGAATATTGCTGTATTTTTCCCTTAAAGTTATAAGGTGCATTTGACTGGATTTTCTTCTGGCTTCTTCGCGGAGGAAGGCCTATGAGATGCCATGTGCGTATTGACCTTGTCAAGGAAGTTCTGAAGGATTGATTTTTCTGTACAAACAATGGGAAGAAAGGTATTATTGAGTAAGAGGATCCATACAAAACAGACACCAAGAATTCACATTAGAATAGGGAATATCAAAGGCTTGTATAAGATGTCACTTTATTTAATTTCTGTACTGCCCAATAGTTAAAGGACACATTCCTATACACAGATAGGAAAAAATGTCCTACAACTCCCAACAAGCCCCAGCCAGCCATGAATCTGCATTTAACTTGCATGGCTGTTGTTTAAATGCAAATAGGTGGCAGTGGGCTGGATCTGGTCATTTTCAAGATCACAGCACATGGAGAGTAGAGAATATCCTTCCTTCCCTGCTGTGGTCCTGAGCCCTCTGAGATTTCTTTCCAATATAAATAACAGTTTTGGAGGAGCAATTTTCATCAAATGCACACCAGGGAAGGAAAGGGGTTAAATTCCCTCCATTCCTATCCCACCTTTTCCTCCCTACTGCCATCATCCTGGCCTCTTCCTGGAGCTGATACTACCAGTGGAGGCCTGTCGTAAGGCCTTCTGAATCAGACAATCCTTTTGTCATATATGCTTGATACAAGGAGGGGATTCTGAGAGCCAAAGCAGCTATGTGCTTACCCTGAAGCAGGGCTGTTGACCCTCATGTGCCTATGTGCCCAATCAAACCCCTGAGGGTTCCAGGAAGACTGCTTTCCCCCAATTTGCCCGTCACTGGATCATCTCCCAGCTTTTTTTTCCATTCCAAAAGATTTAAATACCTCTCCTAAGCAGTTTGAGCTTTAATCTAAAACATTTGGGGAAATTCTGGTCCCACCTACACTGAAATACAAGCCACATCCCTACTCCAAGAGCTTCTATGGAAGTGAATCTGGCAGTTGTGCTTAAAAGCTCACTGCCCTTGCTCTGGAGTATGCAAGCGTGGACCAGGACTCATGTAAGAGGCAGGAAAGCTCGACTCCTTTCCTCTCCACTGCTCAATTACCCAGATTGGGTTCCCCACACCAGCAGTATAAAATTGCCAAATAATAATTTGTTTGTTCCATGGATCTGTATTTCAAGCTATAAACTGCAGGTGCAGGGACCCCTTCCAGTTCAGAACTGCAGCAGGGGAAACAAACACACACCTTCCCCCCGCCAAAGCACCCTACTTGACATGGTGCATCCCAATCCAGATTGGAACCCATACACTTCCTCTAGGGTAGAGAAGATAAACAGAGGTTGCTGCTTGCTATATCGGTAAAGAACAACTTGCTCAAGGGCAAAATAAAACATAATATGCCCAGAAAAAGGAGAATTTTTCTGCTCTAGATTTTTGTGTGGTAGGACAAGTCATAATGATTGTCACCTTTCTAGTTGTCAGCACCATCCTCTAACAACACACAGGCCACTTCTGGATCCAAAATGGTGCTTCTCACCCTTCCCACCATGCTTCAGGTGGTGCACCTGCTTTGTTTTAGTCTTCAGGTCCCTTCCTGTTTATCTGCTCTAATGTTTCTTCAGCACTTTAGGCAGCATAGCACCCATGTGTGCCAGTGTGTCCCCAGACATGTCCCACAGGTTTTTTTTTTAAATATTCCTTAATTTTCTTACCTGCAGCTAGAATGGCTTCAGAAAGAACCAGGAAGAGAGAATGTGTGCAAGAAAAAGAGATGTACAGAGAGGAGAATGAGTCAACTGGTGGAGAAGGAAAACTTGCCCTCTGAAATAGGTGCTGAATGCTGAACTCTAAGGGATTTATTTTAGTATGTTGAGGCTCAGATGCCAGTTCTACCTTGTACTGTCTTGTGTGCTGTTTTCTTGTTGTCCTGGCCTAACAACATGGCAGCCATTTTGGTGTCCCCAAGAGCTTTTTAAATGGCCAAATGTACCCGCAGGCCCCAAACAGTCAGTGCTTTGCACAACCCTGCTTTGTAACTGATGCAACAGCTTTTGCAGCACTGTGTATATCTGGCTTCTGCTGAAAACCAGATTATGTTTCATCAGAAACTGGTCTGCAGGAAGGGGCTGTATCATCTTCCCCAACTGGTACCCTCCAGACGTGTTGGGCCACTACCCAGCCAGCACAGTCAATGGCGAAAGAAGCGGTAAGAGAGTTTAGCAGGCTCACTGCTAAAAAGATGCACATCTTCAATTACTTCTAGCAGCTCCATAATTTCTCCTGCCTTTCTTGCTACTCTCCATGCCCAGTCAACCTGGGAGGAGCAACACAGAGACAACAGCCATGAAAATCAGTACATTAGCACAGGTCATTACATACATTTTTTCAGGAGAAATCCTTGTGGACTTCCTACAGGAAATACCTGGAAAAATAAAACATAGGATTGCAGCCTTTTCCCCTTGACAGAGGCTCTGTGCCTTGAGCACATGGATGGGGAACTGGCAGCTCTCTGGACCTTGTTTGACTCCATCTCCCATCAGCCCCAGACTGCATGACTGATGGACAGACCAGTACTCCAGCAACACCTAGAGGGCGTCAGGTTCTCCACCCCTGTGGCTGCATGGCAGGCAGAAGTCCAAAAGATGCAGCTTCACATGTATTACTGAATGTCCATGCTGAGGGAAATGGAGTCAACAGAATTTCTGCCATAAAACTATCAAAATGCCCAGAGCCTCTTTCAGGGAAAGAGAGAAGATGGCAATCAGTACAGAACAATTAAAAAGGGAAAGAGCAGTGCCATATACACCTATGAAGCAACCCTAGAAAAAGGAAATTCTTACCAATGGGGGTCCAGGAACAACCCCATTGACTCCATATATAGTCACGAAAAACATCCAAACAATTCAGCTACAATATCACACTGAATAGGAGGAAATTGGAATACCTGATGTGATTCTTTTCCAAAGCAGGGCTGGACCTAGTCAGCCCTACAGATGGCAACAGCTAGGATATATGTTGTAAGCTGCCCTGAGGCTTCGGCAAATGGGGCGGCATAAAAATGTTTTAATAAATAAAATAAAATAAAATAAAATAAAATAAAATAAAATAAAATAAAAATACAGTGGTACCTTGGCTCACGAACTTAATCTGTGCCACAACTCTGGTTGTGACCCAAATTGGCTGTGATCCAAGTCAAATTTCCCCATAGGCTTCAATATAAATAAGGTTAATCCGTTCTGTAACTATTTTTTTAATCAAAAAAATTTGAAACAAAGTGACAAAGAACAACTAAGTAACAAAGTACTGTACAGTACAGTGGAGAACACTAACCTGGGGTGGGGGGGAGGTTATTGTTTTGAAGGAGAGTCCCCCTCCATAAGGACATTGGGGAGATCTCTTTCAGGGGTTTCCTCTCTTCTTTGTCTCTTAGCTGCAGGGTCAATTTTGGTGAAAAATCTGTTTATAGTCTGTTTTTTCCTGCACTGCATAACCCTCTGGAAATGAGAGACCACGTTATCGTTCATCAGATTCAACACTCTGTTACAGTTATGTTGGGGTGGTGCTTCTCAAAGAAATCCTGGCACTCATCCCATTTTTTCATAACGGATTGTATCACATCACACCTCCTCCCTGTCTTCCTCTTTCTCAGTGGAATCCTCCTTGGCAAGTGCCTTCTGCTGCTCACTCTGGAGTTCAGCAAGTAGTTCCGTCATCAGTTCCTCTATGTCTTCCCTGCACGAACACAACTGCGATTGTGGCCATCTCCACACTTGGGGGGGGGGAGAGGGGGGGAGATGGCCGCAATCTTGGTTGCCACCCAATGCGGAGTTTGCGATCCAAGTCAAAATTGTCATGAAATTTTTGTTCGTGACCCGATTTAGTTGTGAACCAAGGCATTCGTGAGCCAAGGCACCACTGTAATTCTAGTGATACCTTATTTTATATTTTAATTCTGATCCAATTCTCCAACTGCTGTTTCTACTAAGAGGCAAGAGCTATGCACCCAAGTGAAGTCTGCAGGGGTGAGGACCCACCCACCAGGGCAGACCTGCAAAACAGTCCAGTGAGGGCTGAGCATGCAATGTCCACAGAATGCTGACTTGACTACAGAGAAGAAAAACCCTGAAAACCAGCTAGGAGGAAGAACAGGATGGCTGGAAAAGCAGGATGGAGGATGAGGCAAAAAGAGATAAAGGTACACCTGCACCACGCACTTATGCATTCTTTCACCATCCAGCACCTGCCCATTCACTCACTCTCACCACCTGATGCTTGCCCACTCATTCACTCTCTCACCAGCCAGGGCCTGAAGGTTCTTTCCCACTAGCATGGGCCCACTGGCTTATGCTGGGCAGCTGAGGAGACAGAACTTCGAAGCCATCTTTCCCACTGGCCAACCAGCTGCCAACATGAAACCACAAGCAGGACAGGAATGCAATGACCATGCAACATCTTGTTTTGAAGCACTATTTGTTCCTTCTTTTGCTCATCTTCAGACAGAAGTACACACACTTGTATAGCTCAAACAGCGTCACGCGCACATGTATGACTCACACACACGGCTCAGCAGACTTAGGGAAATGCAGAGGTTTTGAGGTTAAAAAGGACCTGGGGGGAATGTAAGGATGAGGTTAAGACTGAGTGTGTTCAATGATCACAAAAAACTAGCTGACTGTTGAAAAGAGGAAAACCAGAATGGAAGAAAATGGAATGGAGTAGTCTGGAAAAAGGCAGAGGAAGAAGTCTACAGATATGAAAAATGTTAAGGGAACCCTCCCATATCTAGGCAGGTCATAGGAAGAGCCCTGCTGGATCAGACCAAGGGCCCCTCTAATTCAGCATTCTGTACACAGTGGCCAACCAACTAATTAGCATTCCTAATATGGAATTTACCATTTTCATAGCAGCTGCACACTAGGTTGACATTTTGTCAAACTATCCTCTACAACCCCAAGATCGCTTTCTTGGTCTGTCACATCTAGCTCAGATCCCATCAGTTTAAGTTTGAATTTGGGAATTTTGCCCCAGTGTTCATCACTTTACACCACATTTCTTCCAGTCTGGAGAGCTCTTTTTATGCTTTTCACAATCCCTTTCATTTTAAACATCTTAAGAGATTGGTGTTGTCAATACACTTGGCTACTTCACTGCTCTTAATTCCAGTTCATTTAATGAAAAGCAATCTTCTCAACTTAGAACCCTGTGGGACCCCAGCATTTGTATCCCTTCACAAGGAGAATGTATCATTTAGTCATTCTCCCTGCTTTCTGTTCTTTTCCTGTTAAGTGACCCATATGAAGACTTCATTTCCATTCCATTACTGCTGAGTTTGCTCAGGATTCTGTGGTAGTGATTTTTGTGAAAGACTTTTGGAAGTTCAAATAAACAATGTTTACTGGATCACTGCTGTACATGTTTACTGACATGTTCAAAGAACTCTAAAAAGTTAGTGAGATGGAACTTACCTTTGTGGAAGCGATGTTGATTCTTTCTCAGCAGGGCTTATCCTTCTATATACTTAAAATGTTGTCTTTAATAATGTTTTTAACCAATTCTTCTAGAACAGATGTTAAACCAACCAGTTTCCTTGATCCCCTTTGAATCCGTTTTTATAAATTAGCGATACATTAACCATTCTCTAGTCTGCCAGTATAGAGGCTGATCTTAGGGACATATTGCCTGTTTTTGTTAGCAGATCAGCACTGTAATTTTTGAGTTCTTTAAGAACTCTAGGATGGATACCACTGATATTGTTAACTTTCAATTTGTCGAAAAGGCTGAGAACTACATCTTTTGTCACTACTATTTGTGTTAGTTCCTCAGCCTCCTGAAAGCATCAGTTCAGGCACTGGGGTCTATCCTGTGTCTTCTGCAGTGAAAACAAATTATAGGAATTCATTTAGCTGCTCTGTAATCTCCTTATTTTCCTTCAATATTCCTTTATCATCCAATGGTCCAGATGCCTCCCTAGCTGATTTCCTGCCTTTGAAATAGCTTAAGAATTCCTTATTGTTGGCCTTGATGTTGTTTGCAATAGGCTTCTCAAATTTCTTTTGCATTTCTTATTCTGTGTTCAGCAACGACTACTACATGTTGTACTAAGTATTTAGGATCAAATCCAGGGTCACCTTCCCTCTGGTTGGTTTCTTGACCAACTATTCTTGAGCAGCTCATCCTCCCTGCACTGCAGGTTGGAAGTGACTGCCATTGAGCAAGAGTGGCCGATGACAGCACTGCAGTGTGGTCCACACTGAACAATATGGGTCAGGCTCTGAAGCCTGCGGTCTTATCCAGAGCTATCAGATCCCCATTACAGGTTGGGAGTTGAGCTGAAGCTAAACGGTTTGCTTACAAATACTCTGTAATGCTATCCATTGCTTTTCCCCCTGCACTGCATTCAGAAAGCAGTGCAATTCACTTATACCCCTACCGCACGTTAGAAGCCTGTGTTGAGACTGTAGATCACACCAGCTCTGCAGTGGAGTGCACTGTTAATATAGCAGGCCAAAGGCAAGCCCAAAGCTGGTTTGGACCCTCAGTCAGAAAGCTTCCACATCTTTCAGGTTGCAGCAAAGATCAACCTATGTTCTCTCAGAACTCTTCCAGCCCAAAATCTAACATTCAAGTACATGAAGAAGTTGCCTGCTTCACTGTCTTGCACACCAAATACATTTACTTTTAATTTTTTAAAAAACTAAAGCCAAAACACACCAATCCATTTGCACATGTTCAGCAAGAGCAAGGAGTCCTGTCTTTGTCAACACGTGAACACACACAACAGAGATATACCACATCAGTTTGTTACAGAGCCCCATTTACATATTTTAATCTCCTTGTTGATGGGAGAGCTTGGAAATACAATGAATAATCAGATCATATCAGCTGTTCAATTTATGCTGGTCGTGCAGTCCTCCCAATTTACAGGGTAGGTATACAGGCTCAACAATGCTTGAAATTGCATGTTGAAAGTCTCAGAACTGTCAAGTAATTCCTTTAGCTGGGCAAGGGAGAGGCAAATGCAAAGTTTAGAATTCATGTTACAGGTATAAAAACAAGCTTGCTACCCAGGAAGTCTTACAATTTTTAGCATCAGCAACACATATGAACCCCTTGCTGAATGTCTTTCTCACTCTCTCACCTACCTGGATTAGGGGCTCTTTCCACATATGCTTTAATTTCTTCTGGGTCTAGAGAATTCAAAACTGATATAATTTCATGATAATCATTCCCAAAATCTCTCTGGTAAGTAGACAGCTGTTTACTGTGTTCATGATTCCAGATTTGAGCAAGTGACACTGAAGGAACTGTGAGACAAGCAAGGAAGAGACATGTGAAACTAGGAAATAACGACTTATTCATTTTCTATATTTCCCTCCTTGCATACCCTGTGGATTATTATGCTCTTCCTTTGGAAGACACTATGTTTCCTATGGCCTCCCCAGCCTAGTTTCCTCCCTTAGCCACACATCCTCTCTAGATAGTCCAAAATGCATCTAGAGGAAAACAAAATGCAAAACAAAGAGGATGGAGATGTCAAAATGGCCCCCATTTTTCCTCCCATCCTTCTGGTGCCAACTCAGCAGGACAACAGATGCACAGCAGCCTTTGAATTAGGAGTCTTCCATCTTATGAAGGTGCCAACCATAGGACTACACCTTTATGCTTAATGAGAGTTTTTGGCTAAATCACAGAATAGTGGAGTTGGAAGGGACCAATAAGGTCATTGGGTCCAGCCCCTGATCAATGCAAGGATCCAGGTCAAAGCATCCCTGGCAGATGATTCTCCAGGTGCATCTTAAATGCCTCCAGTGTGGGAAAGCCCATAACCTCCAGAGGTAATTGGTTTCATTATCCTTTTGCTCTAAGAAAGAGTTTTTCCTTATGTTCAGATGTAATCAGGTTTCCAGAACTTGAGCTCATTATTCCATGTCCTGCACTATAAGATGATTGAGAAGAGATCTTGGCCTCCTTCTGTGAGACAAGCTTTCAAGTACTTGAACAAAGCTACCACATCTCCCTTCAGTCTTCTCTTCTCAGGGCTAAACAGGCCCCGTTCTTCCAATCTTTCTTCATAAAGCTGCTTCCAGTCACCTTTTACCTGAACTTTTTCCAGTTTATCTGCATCATTCTTAAACTGTGGTACCCACAACAGGATACAGTACTTACCATGAGGTCTGACCAGTGTTAAGTAGAGGAGAAATTTGTAAGTGATACAGCCCAAAATAGCATTTGCCTTTTTTGCAGCCACATCACATTGTTGACTCATGACTCAGCTTGTGATTTGTAACAGTTCCAAGATCCTTCTCTCTTGTAGTATTAAGCCATTACAATCATTTTGTAATGATTCATTGGTTTGTTTTTCCTAGGTGCAGAACTTGGTATTTGCCCTTATTACATTTCATTTTGTTGTTTTTAGCCCAGCACTCCAACTTACCAAGAATACTTTGAATTGTGTTTCTTATTTCTATGTTATTAGCTATCCCATTCAATTTTGTGCATCTACAACTTTTGATAAGAATTTCCTATACCTCCTCATCCAAATCATTAATAAAAATGTTGAAGAGTAGGTCCAGGACTGAACTAAGTCTGAGAAGATGCCATTGAGAATCAATCTCTAAGTCTAGTTCTGTAGCCAACTGTGGATCCTCCTGATAACCCATGTGGATCCTCCATGTAACCCACTTTGAGCTAGTGTGCTAATCCCAGAATACCATGAGACACTTTGTCAGAAGATTTGCATAAGTCAAGATATATTATGTCCACAGTATTCCTTCAGTCCACCAGGAAGGTTACTTGAACAAAAATGAGATCAAGTTAGTCTGGGAGAGGTTGTTCTGGCCTCCAAAACCATTTTGCATGAGATGGGCTCCTGACTCCATCTAGCACTGATCTTGCTGGGGTTAGGTGTGATGACTGGGAGGCCTCTGGATCTGGCCTCTCCTTGTCCCTCTCTGCTCCATTCACTGATAATACCCCTTCCTCCTCCTCTTCTCCGTTCCAAAGTTGGTATTTGGATTTCAGCAGAGGCATGTGCTGCAGAGTTTTCCACAGCAGCTGAGAGGGACATGGGCGAACAAGGTGGGAACTGCCACTCAAATTTTCTGCCTCAATGTTGTAGATCAGTTGATGGGACAATCCAAGCACCCCATGGTCTCTCAGACACTATCTGGGGGCTATAATATTGTACTAATTCTTACAAACTCTCAACTGGTCAAAGCAGTTCTTGGTGCAGAAACTGCTTCATTCCCATTTTCTTAGAAACCTGAGCATTACTAATAGAATACTGCATGCCTAGGTTCCCAGAGAAATAGGATCCAGTAAACCATATTCTAAAAGTTTCATCCAGGATTCAAACTTCATGCTTCAGAAATCATCACGCCCCAAGATAATTCTCACCAGCGCCTTTCACTGGAAGATGGCGCTTTGCATTGCATCCATATTTCCACGTAAAGTCCATTAAATCAGGAGCATGGGCTTGGGGCCCATAGTTACGCCTGAATTCAGTATCAGGAGGCCTTGGGACTAACGTCTTCCAATCTGGAGGAGCTGGTACACTATCTCGGACAGCACCTGTAAAAGTTAAACAGAAATAAACAATATATATAAGGATCTAATGCATTCCTTTTTGTGGAAAGGGCATTAGGATATGATTAGAGGGTCAACTGGGTGAAAAGCAAATGGCACTGAGGCTGCAATCTTATACACATGTGCTTGGGAGTTAGTCCCATCAAGCACAATAGGGCTTGCTTTTTAGCAGAGCTGTATAGGATGGCACTGTTAGTCCTATGCCAGCAGGACTAAAGTGTGCATGGAAACAATGAAAACTTCAACAGTCCTGGGAGACTAGTTAAGGATCGTAGTATGAGCTTTTCTGCATGGGGCACTGACGTGCACTCTTGATTGTTTACTCACAGTTGTTAACAATTTTTTTAGATGATGTCATGACCTTCCAGTTAAACTTCTGCTTTTTCAGAGCACTTTCTGGTTTTCTTTTTTTAACAAAAGGGGTAATATTTCTGGAAGCAACAGAAGTACTTGTATATTTTGCACTGTTCTGCTATAGCACAGCACTATCTAGAGGTTACATAGCAGAAATGCTGGAAGAGAAAAGTTCTTTTTTGGAAAGCTCAGATCACAACTCTGTGACGAAACTGAAAGATAAAGCAATTAACAGCCACATGTAGAGAAGCTCTGGATCTCAGAGACAGATGAATGAACTGCCTGACAAATGCCAGATAAGTTCAAGGAGATGGAAACCACCTTCACAAAACTAACCGGACCTCTCCTGACTGCTGATATATTTCATGACTCAAACCTGCATCAACCTGCCATAATTACATTTAAATCCAATCTTTCTCCCAAGGAGCTCAGGGCATCATGCGATTAGGTCGTATATGAAAGTGGCTGAGCAAGAGTTCAGGAATGAGAACCTGGTGCCATGGTGTGACTAATAATTGATGCTAGACAGAATAAGTGTGGGAATGATAAATATTTATATTTAAATGTCCTTATGCAAACTAGAATTGAATGTGCCAAACCCCTTACTGAATCTTTATCAGCCTCAACTAGATTCAAAACACTTTAATTCAGGCGTGGGCAACATACAGGCCACATACCCCCTCCCCGCCACCCTCTGTACAGCTAAAAGCAGCCGTGGGAGAGGAGTGGTTTGGATCAGGGCCACAGGACTGATGCGGGAGAGGCAGCCCTTTCCTCCACCCAAAGCTACTTTCTGCATTGCTCCCCACTCAGACTTACCGCATGGCAAAGAGCACCTTTGGATGAGTGCTTTAATTCAGGAAAGTTAACTCCCCCTCCTCAGTACTGCAGCTGTAATCCAAATTGGGTTCCCAAAGGTGGCTTTGATCCAAAGACAAAGAAATCAGGAGATCCAGATCTGATCATGGATCTTTGCCCTCATATAGCCCTTAGGATGGCTTAACTCTCAGGTCTCCAAGGCGCAGCCCATCGTTTCCAATATGCCCCTGGACTTGGTATCTCTTGGCATCTACCCAGCTTCCTGCCCTCCTGATTTTTATTTCATTTGCTAAGATTTTTTTTCATTTTAAAAAATCAACAGGGAGACTGGTATGCTCCAAACCAAAGAGTTACCCTTCAGATTCATCTTTACTTGGGTTCAAAAGAGTGGTTTTGTGTTTTAGTGGCCAAACCTAAACTTTATATCTAGGTTCTGGGAGGCTTTCTTTTCTTACAGTCCTGCCAGTTTGTATTCTGGTACAAAAGCATTTTGTGGCAGGTGTTTTATGAATCGGCACCTCCCCACCCCTCCATGGCTGCCATTTAATTAGAGTTTCCACAATATTCTCTCAAAATTCCAGATATGTCCACAGGCCCGAAAAAGGCAGCAGATCCTAACTATAACTTTTTAGGAAATGGAAATGCATACTATTTGCTTATCACCGCAGTGATTCTGTTCATAGGAAGAGGAAAAGCTATATAAAACCTAAGTTAAATGTTGGCTTTCATTCCACAAAACAAGCTGGGAAATGTCTCTGGATGAAACATATCTCTTTTTCCTCAGTTCCAGAAGCTGTCATAAACTTCCACATGATCTTTATTACAGCATTTCAAAAGAAGCATGGAAAGCGGAAGTTCTTACTTGGTTGTATCCCTAAATAATCTCTTGCATATGCTGTTTTATATTGTTTTTTTAATATTTCCTCAATCTCTTGTTTAGTAATAGGTTTTGTCCAAGGTGAAAAACTGTCTGTAGGTAATGGTGATTGTTCTTGAGGCAGTTGCCAAATCAGGAAACGCTAAGAATACAGGGAGGAAAAAGACAATGCATTAAAATCTTAAACTGTTTTTTCACTTAAACCAATCTTCAAATTCTACTATTCTTTTTTCCCTTTTAAAAATCTATTTTTCTTTCTCTAGAAGATGCCTATGAACACTTCTTCTTTTTGGCCATTCTATCACTTCTATTATATATTTATTCCTTTCTTTAACATTGCAACTGATTTTATAAATATCCACCTTTGCAGTAATTCCTAGCAGCAGACACCACTTTCCTTTCCTAGTGAAAAAGGTTTTGCTTCTAACCCTGCAAATCCTAATGGCTTTCCTGCTCCACCTGAGGTCCCTCCTGCCCAGTACTCCAGAGGTGGGCTGGCCACAGACTTAGGGGACTGTGTGTGTCCGTGTGTGTGTGTGCATGTGTGAATAGAAATCCAAAATTCACCAACCAAAGCCTAGGCCAAAGACAGACTTAAAATCAAAAAGTTCTGAGCCCAGGAATTTGGTTTGAGTATCAGAACTGTAGTCAGCTCATAGTCCTTCCTCACAATCATCTACTCCTAGTTACAGTGAGCTTTCTTCAGTTCAGCAGCATAATATGAATATAATTAACTGTTTTATTTATACTATTGTTAAGCAATTGGGAGTCAGAAATCATTGTTGATCACCCAAAGATCTACCACTGCATCCAGCTGTACTTTTGCTCACCTCTTTGGTACACTAGTAGCATGTGTACATTAGGCATATGCACTACTGTACTGTACGAGCATATGTACAAACGCCTGGGTACCATTTTCTACATCATCAGCATAGCTGGGTGCACAGTCACATATGCATATATTCAGTACTATGACTGCCTTGATGGTTTAACTAAGAGCAGCAGTCCCATAGTGGGAAAGTGTGAGTATAGAAACTCAAGAATTGTATTACTGCAAAAGCAAAACATTAAGTATTGCAGGAAGAGATTACACATAAGCACATGGTATGTTTTAAATGGGGATGTGTCTACCAGATGGCACCATCCTTTTAAAGGATTCTGAGGATATTGGGACAGGAGGATACCTACACTTCTATATATAATTGTTATTCTTCCCTTGTACCACTGCCATTTTAAATGCACAGTGCAGACACACACACACACAGAGTACACCTCAAACAGTGCTCCAGAAAGATAGCTGCAACAATACCATGATATGTTAAGGAGCCCAGGATCTTGGAAAGAAATCAAGACATAGATCAAAGTATGGGCACTGAATCCTTATCCTACCAGGTGGGGCAGGGACTACTTGAATCCCTTCCATGTACATTCCAGTTCAAATTCTAGCAAGGGCTGGACTAGTTGTAATCTTAGGCATGTGGCTGGCACTCACATAACAGCTGCTGCAGAAATACACACTCAGTTTGGAAGAGGACTCTAGCTTGAGGGAAGAGGGAATTTCATCTTTTGCCTCAGCAATGGTTCTGATCGGGATTGGGGGCCACGTGGCTAATTGCCCCAGGAAGAAAGCAACTAAGTGCATTTACTCAGAGCAGGGCAGACAGCCACAGGCCAGGGGCCAGTTCCAGCCCTCCAAGGATCCCTCTGGGGTTCTCAGATGGTCTTGCCCTCTTCCACTGGGCCTAGTTTTTTGGTGGTTTCTCAGCTTTTGGGGCTGTTTTCCCCATTCTTGAAGGCTGAGAAAAGCAGTTAAGAGTGTTAAACTAAAATATGCTGGTGTTTTAGCCCCACCCACTACTGGAGTATGGTTCCCAAAGGTTTCTCCAAACTGGATTTCTGACCAAACGATGTTTCCCACCCCTTGGAGTGTTATTGGATTCCATGAAGACTAGGCTGCACCTGTCTTGTTGCTGTGTTTTTTCTTCCCTTCTCCACTCTGGGGAGCATCCACAGCTCAGTAGCAGAGTGCATGCTTTGCATGCAGAGGCCCCAGACTCAATCCTTGGCATCCTCAGGTAAAGCAGGCAAAACTACAGCCTGGAAATCTGGATCCAGTTGGTGTAGGCATTACTGAACTAGGTGAACCAGTGGTCTGATTCAGTATAAAGCAGCTTCTTACATTCCTAGCCTTTTTGAGGAACCATTCCAAACAGAAACTGCTGATGAAATAAGATGCACAAAATATGTGGAACTACACCAGTAAAATATGTGAATTCACAAATGAGTGATGACAAGAACTGCATTTCTTACATCTCCAGGCTGAGGATTGTTTCTCCTTATTCCTGATGCAGATCCACTCCTTATTGGTTCTGCTTTGGAATAAGGCTTCCAGCAGAACTCATCTCTGTAGATATTAGTTCCAGTTGGTTCATCTACATGAAAGGGAATGACGTGATCTTTCCCTGCTCTGGCACTACAACAAATCATATAGATAATCACATCACTACCTTTAAAATATTTAGATTTCCTTTTATTTCCTCCACCTATTCTGCTCCTGTTTCAAGTCCAGGACATGCAAATGCAATACAGGGCTCATTCCTATAAATGAGGAGCAGGAAACAGGTCCCCTCCGGTACAGGCTTCAACTGCAGTTCTCATAATCCTGACCATGGCCATGCTGGTTAGAACTGAGTGGCCTGTAGCCCAAAACATACAGAGTGCACCAGGTTGGCTGCCTACCTGGTTTAAATAAATAGCAACTTAGTCTTTTAGCTCAGTTTTGCCTACAACAGTTCAGCAGCAGCTCACCAATGTTACAGACGGTAGTCTTTCCCAGCTCTGGCCAGAGATAACAAGGGCTTAGCCTAGGACATTCCACATGCAAAGCAAGTGCTCGATTACTGACCTATGGTCTTTCAACCATTGCTTGGAGAATAGAAAGGTGAAAGAACCAGAGTTCTGAAGGGAGGCACCATAGCTTACTGGTGCTTTGCATGTAGAAAGTCTCAGATTCAGTTCTGGGTTCCAGTTAGGAGGAGGAGGAGGAGGGATCAGAAACAGAGACCATGGCAAGCAGCCATCACAGCAGGCTAATGCACAACTAACAGGATTGACAGCCTGACCAGGCAATTTTCCAGGATCCCCATGACCTGCATGGGCCAGAAATTTTTCAGGGCCCTTATCCTTGCCACTTGCTTGCTCGACAGGCATTGAGCCAGTGAGCAAAAGGGCAGCAGCATCTATGGATCCTCCTCCCCTCCACCATCATCAGCATTGTCGCTTGGCCTTGAGCAGCAGCCAGGCGAACCACCATGTTGCCATGGTAAAAGTGAGTAGCAACTCCAGGGAGTTGTTAATGGGCCCCTGCTGGGATTTGAGCCCTCCGCAGTCACCCATCTGTGCTTGCCCTTGACCTCAGCCCTGCCTATGACATTTCCCCACTGACTGCTAATATTATAAGAAGTTCCAGTGGGAGGGTAAGTTACCCCAGACGAAGGACTTTTGATCAGTAAGTCATTGCAGGATCAGAAGCAGTCTAATTATGAGGCAGTTTAAACTATTTGGAGGCAGCCCAGCAGCCTGTTGAAAGGCACCCTCAGTAATTTCAGAGGAAAGATGCTATAAAAGGAGGATATGGGAGATGGAGGTAATGAAGGTCACAGTTTCTGGGAGGCTGGATAGCTAAGAGGAAAAGGATCCTGTGGGCCTTCTTGCAGATCATGGATTCTCATGATCTGGATGTGGGCCCTCAGCATATGCCTGATCATGCCTTTCCTTGCTGCTGACCCTGGACAGAAGGCCACTTTGCAAAACTGCCAGTTCCAACTGTGGCTTAAATAAGACATAGTAGGAAGTGGCATGTCCAAGCCCCTATTGTAAACATTCAAGCCTGGCAGGTTGTCACCACAGCTTAACGTGACATGCAAATCTGGGCCACAGCTCGCTGAATCATACTGCAGCCCATCAATTCCAGGTGGCTTGTCACCCATGGCAACAACCCACCCTGTCCAGTTTCACATGTCACACTAGGCTGAGACTTGAATCTTCACAGTGTTGGCCACCATGCACTGCAATCCACTGTGAGCACCAGCACACAACTCAACTGGGTCATTGAGTTTACTGAATACTGAAAGAATCTTGGGGTCCAGTGTTCTTTTCTCTGGAGATCTGACAAGCAAGTTCAATACCCCTGTTGCTCTCCCTCCTTTCAGTTCTCTATCTTTAAACTGAACTTGGGCTGGCAAGCCCTTCAAACAACCCATCAAATAAAGGACTGAAAGCAGGACACACAGCCACTCTAACCCGTGCTTATTTCCAAAAAGCACACCCTTGGCTGCTATTTACTTCACACCCCCCCCCCCCAACACAAACCCCAGTAAACTACACCTTCAGGAACAAATAGCAGAGTTGGAGTATCTGGAAGAAACTGGCATGGGGACTGGATAAAGTTCAGAAGTTCATCCTATGGCAGCTCCTTCTTCAAATAAGAGGGGCACAAGATCTTAAATAGCATAAATAACAGGTTGTTTGGTCTATACATTGCCATGCAGACAAAGTGAATGTTTCAACCTACCTTGCGAGCTTTTGATGAGGAAGGTGCCATTACAAGAATACTAAACTAGTGTGCCAATCTGCAAATTTAAAAAGTAGTCTTATTCTGAATCAAAACAGCATTTTGCTTGAAAAAAACCTAAACAGTTGTTCTTAAAAGCAGCTATTTTATTTTCTAGCTGGAGTAGCCTTGGTGCCAGGAAGGGAAGACTTTGGTCACAAATTAATAAAAGTCATCAAGGAGCAAAGGTGTTTTAAAGTGTCAAAAAAGAAAATCCAAATATCACAGCAAAGTTTAAATTAGTTAAATCAGTGTTATCTTACCAATCTGCATCAGGATCTGTTGCAGGTTTATAGACAAAATCGTGTTTCATGGTTGATTCATATGGATCCCACTTTATGCTACCTACTGAAAACAGTACTTTGTAAGTGCTATAAGTAAGCCTAGCCTATGTTTAATTTTTACTAAGCAGTAATGAGAAAAATGGTGGTCCAGCTGTTTTTCTAAGACTTTTCCAAGTCTCTTGGCACCAATGACAACTTTCTTTCCAAAGCAAAGAGCAGTTCTCCAGAGGCAGGGCCCAGAGCAGCACAGCTGGTGAGGCAACACATGCCTCCCACATATCATGGGCCTTATCTAAATCACTCTGTGAGTACCGCTTACTTAATGACTGTGCAACAGCTCATTACATGATTATCATCATATCTCATTTATTGCTCTGTTTAAAAAAATACTCTTACAGTTTAGCCAGTTCACGAAACTTTCTGTTTTGCATTTCCTCTTCTCTCAGAATTGCCAACTGGCATTCATAGAATTTTTACAAAGCAACATTCAGGGTTCATTCTACTTGATTTAAAGAGATAACACCCATATATTTTTTTCTCATTTATCAATGTGGCAAGAGCCCATTCACATTATTCCAATTGCTCAATTATAAGCACAACAATCCCCATAACTGCGAAAATGAACTGTGATGTGTTCATTCATAAGGCATTTTGCTCTTTTTGCTGTTAACTGCCTCTAAATGTTTTCATGCTCTAAGCACTAACGATGAAATTGTAACGTGCAACTGTTCTGTCTTTTCTTCCCATAGGGTTGAATCCTATGCCTATTTAGACAGAAAAAATAATAATCGTACAACTCCCAGAGTTCTCAGCCACTTATAAGTCTTATTGGATTTTGTTCCCGATTTAAAAAGGAGATAGAAGAAAAATGTGGGCTACAAATCAAGGTCATGACATCTGGACTCCCTGTGAAATTCCATGCATGTGTGATTGCATGATGAAAGCCTTAACATGACTATCCCTCTAGAAATTGTTTTTCTTACCCATCCTTCAAATAAAAAATTTAAATAAAGTGTTGTTCTGTAAATCAACTGGACTTCAAGTACTGAATTTTTAGAGAACTACACCCATAGGCAGGCTGTGTGCCAATTCCATGATGTAAAAGAATTACATTTAGTACATGTAAGCATTTTCTTTTAAAGTTTAGCCTGCAATGTCTACAAGGCAAGGCTTACAACTGGGTAGAACAAAAATCCTAGATTTGCTATTGGATGGTTGCAACTTTTTTCCAGCCTGTAACAGGTACTTGAGTGGTAGAAGTACAACCAGGTGCAACGTTTCCAGGCATTGAAACCCTACTCACCTTACGTAGGTTTCAGAGGCCCTTAGACAAGACGTCTTAAGTGGGTCATTTCCTTTCTGCCACAGTCACTGCTGCCCACTTGGCTTATTCTTTCCATTTGCACTCAAGTTTGCTCCACGGCACTCATGGAGAACATGAGAAGAGTGGAAGATGCTTCCCCTCCTCTTTGCTTTTATGGTTAAATAAGGCAATGAACTGATAGTGATAGCAAGAAGGAAAGGAGCAGGAAGTTCTGGAAGTCAGTGGTGGGCATCCTGCTGGGGTGCGGGCCAAAGCAGGTGCCTCACTATGCTGACTTGCAGCACCAGCCCTGAATTACAAGCACTGGAATTCTTTCAGAAAAAGATGGCAGTCACAATTTTGTGTGATCCAGGCTACCCACCTGCAGAGATATTTGGTTAGGGGTCACCTTGGCCATATCATGCCATTGGCTCTCATAAGTCCAAAGGACAATTAGCAAAAACACTACTGCATCCATTGGGCAATTTCTGGCTTGTTTGAAACATCTCAGACCTTCCAACTATGTTATGAAATATTCAAAACATTCCAGCTATGCCTAATCAACCTCTCCTTGTCTGAGCTCCTGTGCTCAGTCCCGGTTCCTCCCCGTGCGTTTTGCAAGGTCTTCTGGCAGAGTTTAAAACGTGGGACCAAATTGAGGGTGAGCGGTTTCCCTGAGTGCTTATGCGTTTGCAGCCACTCTAGGTTGCGTTTCCTCGGAACGGACACGTAAGTCAGTTCTGGGGGCGCGTCCAAAAACGCGGGACGTTCATCTGGTTCGCAAGTCAAAATGATAAACTTTCTATTATTTGCTTGAGAACAAACTGAAGGGGAACTTTAGGGGGCATCCGCCTCCCCCAGCGACAGGCCCACCTGCGAGCAAGGGGAGAATGGGATCTTACCGACAGGCGGCGCGGCTCGAGCGGATCTGGGTCTCCAGGGGGGCATAGCAGAGACCGAGGCGGGAGCGGCGGCCGGCGCCGCCCCGTTAATTGGAGGGAGGAGAAGGCTTCGCTCACGCTCCAAGGGCTCCATGCCCAGGCTGACTGGTCCCCGAGCACAGACTCCGTCCCGTGGGCCTTCTCCTGCCGGAACGTAAAAGCGGCAGCCTCGAGGAGAAAGCCAGGCCGGAGGCAGAGCCGCTTGGAAATAAAGGGTGCGATGGCGACGGCCGCCGCCGCCCTCCCTTCGCGGTTGCCTCGGTACCAGGCTGTTATTATGACCAAGGGAGAGAGCCAGTTACACCCTTCCTGCCTCACCAAGGCAGTGCGTCTTTCACACGAAGGCGGACAGGCTGCCATTGCGCGCAGAGGGGAACGCCGCTGCACAGAGAGAAACAGGAGCGAGTTCCTGCTGCTTCCATAAATTGCGTCGTCAGGACGCGATTCTGAGCCTTCCGAGACGGAACAAAAAGGGTTCTGCAACTCCGAGCATCCCTTAGTCAGGGGAATGCTGCGAGCTGTAGGATTTTTATATGCCTAAACGTGCACAGGGTCGCACCTTGAAGTTTGTTTGCAGCAAAACCTTGTAAGGCAGGCAAAAAAATTATGCCATAAGCTTTGGTGGACGCTGCCCACTTCAGTTGCATGAAGTGGCAAATAAACGAAGTTCTTCATGGAAGGGGCCGTCCGCCAAAGTCTTCACCAGAACAAAAACACAACCCTTCCCATCTCCTCCCCCACCCTCTCTCTCTCTCTCTCTCTCTCTCTCTCTCTCTCTCTCTCTCTCTCTCTCTCTCTCTCACACACACACACACACACACACACACACACACACACGTACGTCTTCCCATTCCCAGCGTCCCCCAGCCAGTTATGGTTGTTGAGGTATATGGGGAGTTGTAGGGCCTTTTGTTTCACTATGCATTGGATTGTGCCCTTCCTGTGTAGCCTTTAAGATGCCCCAAGACGTTTTCCATAAAGCAGAATCCTATGGCACTCTAAAGGCAAACGTTTGCTGTGGGCAGGCTAAGGTTGCTTACAATCTCTCACGTAAACTACCTGTTCTTCTGATAGAGGTGTTTTTCTTGGAATTAGCATGTGCTCATATCCAAAGTTCTCTGCTGCATTTTGGTATGTATCCTGCTGTTAAAATAACAAATCCTGCCAGGGAGGGTGGAATCCAGAAACAGGGTGACGGTGAGGACTTCAGCTGGGCATTTGAACTTACGTAGCCACTCCCTTGCAGCTCAATCATGGGTTATACTCGAAATGTATGAGGGATTGACTTGGGAACTTTTAGAGGGAGGGAGTTTTACAGGCATTAATAGTCATGTTTCTGCCAAACCTTATTCAGTGTTTTCCTAAACCATTCTAAAGGCCATCTGACTTCAGTCAACCTTTCAAAATAAAACCAAATGAATCCATCCTTTGACGTTACTTGTGAGAACTGATCTCAATCTGTGGTCATGCTTGCGTGATGGAGAAATGGACATCATTCTAAACTCTAAATGGCCATGCTATCTAAACTCTAACATTTAATAGGCAGTACTACTTGGGAATGTGTATCAAGGCAGGGGAAAGAGAACCATCAGAAATAATTCCTTCTAAGAACAAACTCAGCTGAGTGCCAACTGTACTACAGGCAAAACAGCCACTACAAGGAGGAAACTATCAGCATGTCTTCGGTATATTTGGTAGTCTTGTACCAATAGGTTTTAAATAATATAGAGGAATCTCTACCTCCCACCATAAGCAGCTCAGTAAGGACAAAGCATATTCAGTGTATGTTAAAAAGAGAAAAAACAGAGCAAGAGTACAGAATTGTGTTTCCTATGGCTGATTGGAAAGCTGAGCAGAAGTATGCCACACTGCAATGTTTTGTTCAAATTGCCTTATACGCTAGTACATGGGTCCTCAAACCATGCCCATTTGGACCCACCGCTCCTCGCCTTGTGCGGGGGAAACAGCGGTTTGCTCGCTTGGAGAAAACGATCTTCAAGCGAACAAGCTGCTGCCTCGTGTGCCCACCTTGTGGCGCATGCCTGCCCACATCTCACCTTGCCTCCCCGTGGGTGCTCGCCGCCTGCCCCCGCCTCCTCGCCGGCCTGCACCGCCAGCATCTTTCCGGCCTGCGCCCAACACCGGCAGCTTTCAACAGGCCCCCTGGTGAAAAAGTTTGAGGACCCCTGCGCTAGTATATATGGCAGGTACCATTTGTATTCTCTCAAGTGTATGGTTTTAAGAAAACACTCCAGCTACATTACTGGCTTCTAAATGCAGGTTACAGGAAGCTTTAATTTTTTCCATTGTTATATACTGTTACAGCCTCACCCAAGTGCATGGATTCCCTCAGTAAGTATTAGTCAAGTAAATATGTGCACCACTGAAGCCCAAAGCAGGCAATCAAATTTTAAAACATGAATCTTTTTGTAATAGAAACCATGGCTCAAAATGCTCAGCATTTCTCAGAATCTTAAATGGAAATTGTATGTGAGGTCACGCTGATGGGTGGAATGACACAAAAGCCTTGACTTGCTGGCTTCTTTTATTCTCTCAAGCCACACCATGGACAACCTCAATTAACAAAAGTGGCTTGCTGGAGTTAAATCTGTCACATCTTCAGTGACAGAAGCAATACCAGGCATGTCTCTCAGTGTACCTACTTTAACAGAGTACAGATTATCACCTTCCTTGCTGCCTCTCCAAGAATGGCAGTGAACCACAATTTCCCTAAGTGTACAGAATTAAAGAATGCCTCTTCCTCTTGTTCTGACACTTAAAACCCACAATGGCCTTAGAACTCACATTTTACAGCCATGAGGAATTCCCCAGGTTCTTGAACAGATGGCGATTTGCATTTATCTGTTAACACTAGTTATATTTGCAAGCCTTAAGATTATTCAGTCTAGAAGGTATTTTCATGTTGTACAATAATTGTCCTAGCATAAATGTTCAGAAGCCTCTATTGTGCACATTGCAATAATGGAATATAGCAATAGCATGGATTGTTCTAGGCCCTGGATTAGAAAACATGAGTAATCTCCCTTTGAACCAGTGATTCATCCTGCTGTTGAAATATTTCAGTATGTCATGGTGAAAACATGTTTTTGAAGATATACAGTGTATCGGATTACAGTCTATTGAACAGTACAGTGTACTTGGTTGCATAATGTAGTTAATAAGCTACTATATTAATCTTGAAACAGCACTATGATTTTTTTGTCCAGTACTGGTGGATACAAGCTGTGCCTTTGACATAATGTAGACAGAACTGAATCAGATACTTAAATTTAGCTTTTGGTGTCATTGTCACTCATCTGTTGGAACATGATGCAACTACATGAAAAAAACATGAAAACATTTTATTAAAAAGTATCTTGCACTTTGCTGACGTGTCCCAGACAAATCTAGGATGTAATGTTCACCACTCTGCCACTAAGAGCCAGCCAGTTCCAAAATAGGAAAGTTGGACATCTAAATAACCTATCTATGTAAGGACACAGCCCTTAACAGCTAGAACTTTCCAGCATTTTGAAGCTTGAATGAAGATGGAAAGCCTCTAAAGTTGCTAAACCACCTTTTCTTTGCTAATTGAATTTTATTGTATTTTGATTAAGAATTACTGAATGAATCCCACTTCTTGCTACCTAGCACATGGTATCCAGAGATACCTGAGGAAGGTATATGAAATAAAGACATCCATTTATATTCCTCTTTTAGTATAAAACAAAGACATATAAAGACACAGAAAGGGCAATATATAAAGAGAGACTGACTAGTATTATTTAGAATGTTCTTTGGAATGCAGACATTCGAAATGATCGTGCCAAAAGCAGACGTGTGTGATGTTGCAGGCTTATTTATTCCAGTCCTAGAGGGTTCCATTCTCCAAAGCTTGGCCTTATACAAGATTAATTAAATATGGAGGGCCAGCATTTCCATGTTGAATGCATTATAATTTGCCAATATAAAGTGATAATGCATCAAATATCATGGCTTACAGAAAGGCAAAATATTCAGCAGCTAGTCCCAAAGTAATTACCATGTTGCCCACTCAAGTCTGCTAGATGGAAGTATATGGATTTTTTTTTAACCAAGGAACTTGCTTTATGTGGAATACTTATGATTAATCATTCTTTGGAATCTAAGATCATGAATGTCCAAGTCCCGGTCTCCATGCATTTATGTTCAGTTAGTGTATGAAGAAAACACTACGCCCCCCATGCTCTGCACACAAGATCAGGACAAACCTCAGAAACTCTAGCAGTGCGCTACATAGGGAGCAACTGAGTTCCAGATGCTTTTAAGAAATGTAGCCCACAGTCCTCAGGCCATACATACATAAAAGGGACAGATGAGCTTTTTGTAGCCAAGCAGACATACACCAGTATGACTGCAGTCACACCTACTCCACGTGATACATCAACACCATTGATTCAACTGACACCAAACTGGAAATTCCATGCATGGTTGATACAGGCTTTCCTATCCTGCATGACACAGCATCATATAGGAGTGTGGGAAAAGTGACTAACTTGACCTTTGTTGAAAGCCTGCTTTTTCACACTTACACCAACTTGCATAGATATTAATTTGAGAGTCGGTGCAACAGCTGAGTTCCTCTGGTGCTCCACAGCTGAGTGTGAAGAATCCTGAACAGAGCCATCTAGGCCATGACAACTTCTCTAATGCACTCCTTACACAAAAACAGAGACTGAGTGATAAAATCTAGACTTAGAACTGTATGTAGTCATTCTTCAGATTGGCCCTTCTGAATAACCTAAGATGTATTTATTCCAACAGTTGTACTTGAAGCATGACTAAGTCTGGATCTCATCTTTAATCCAATGACTTCACTGACTGGACTGCGCATATTCCATTTGCTGCTAAAATGGAATGTTCTTCTTACAAATTGTTTTGAAATAATAGGTATTTATCCCCAAGGACTGACATCGCATTTAAAAAAATTAAGACCTACCATGATACGCATATTACTGTTAAAATTTACATTAATACAAATGGTAAGGAAATGCAGCATTTTAGCCAACCTATATTTAGATTCATTTGCTTTTGGTTATATTTTTCCCTGTGTGGGCAATATGTGGCCTGCCAGATGTTTTGGCTGTCCTTCCGAGGCAGTACAGCTAATAGTCAGAGATCATGGGAGTTGTAGGTCAAAACTTCAGAAGGGCCACAAGTTGTCCATTCCTGGCCTATAAGAAGCAGCAGCCAGAAAATAAGTGATGTTGACTTTGGAAGGTATAACAAAGTTGTGCTGGAACAGAGAGTAATCACAAGTTTTCTGACCTGCCAAGTAGTTTTTATTTAGGGAGGTTTCTCCAATCTTGTACCCTCCAGATCTTGTATCCTCCAGACACTTCAGACTGCAATTCCCAAAATTCCTGATCACTGATTATGCTGGTGGAAGTTGAAGTCTGAAAGATCTGGAGGGCACCAGGTTGGGAAAGTTTGATCTAGGGTCATGTATGAAAATCTTTCAAAGCCAGAATGGAAATGCAGATCTCATCAATAGTTGTCAGTATACCATATAAAAAAGAGCATAAATTCAAGTAATCCTTCTTCAAATTCTTCTGAGCCATGATTAGTTATATTTTAAAAAACTGCAGCAAGTTTAGGGTAATACTATTATATTTACATTTTGAGCATTACAAAACATTTTAAGTTTTTTTATACTTGACATCAAACATAGTGGTGAGTAGTTGAGTGATTATAACAACAGCTTACTAGTCATGATTCCACTGATCCTTCTAACCTAATAATCTTGATTTTAAATCATTCATCACTTTAGCTATAAGTTTAAATGTAAGAACAAGAAGAAGAAAGCGTATGCTTCAAAAAACTTAACACTGAGTGAAGAACCAACTCTCCAAGTACCATTTCAAGAATCAGGAGAGGTCTTTCCTGACTCCAAGAAAACAGCTGGAACTCAATGAATACCCAACTATTTGAAGCAAGATGCAGAGGAGACCATCTTCCTCCTCTCAGTCACTTCTTGCATCCTGTGATAGGGATGATTTCATTGCTGTGCAATGCCTCATTTCCTGTGCTTCTTTCTGAGGCTTATGAAGATCAGATAGCAGTACTGGATTTGTCTTTAGCTTCTTGAGCTGCTGAAACTGTCCAAAGCATGAAAGGGGTTTCTGTCCCCAATGCCTGTAGTGTCAAGTTGCCATTAAACACGTCATCTACTGAGGCTGCAAGACAAGAAATGAAACAGAAGTCATGATATGTAATGAAAGAGAAAGGTGTGCATGTCCCTTTAGAATATGTATTTTTATTGAACATTGGCTCAAGTGCTTATTGAGGGTAAGAATTATCCAAAAATATTCTAAACCAACCATATGGTTTTAGGCTCCAATACTGAGTAACAGAGAAGTGTAAAGAAAAACAAAAGCAAGTAGTTTTTTGATGCTGCAAGAGGAAGAGATGGTAGGATCTTAAGATGTTCAAGGACAAATGTGAAGGGATGAAAATGGCAATTGGAAAGAGGAAACTAAGGCTGATTATGGAGTGCATATATTCAGATATGACAGCAGAGATGTTCAGTGATACATTGAATGCTGTGTATTTATGGGCCAGGAAACATTAGTGAGATATGAAGGACGGCTTTAAGATTTAAGTGACTTCTTGAACAACAAAAGTAGAGAGAGGGATAAAGGAGATGTACAGAGTGTTTTCATCCCTGCAGTCATCTAAGAAGTAACTGCTGTCAAAAGCACAACTGACCTCATGAGCTGGCCTTTTCCAGTTTCTCGCACTTGTATTTTCATCAAAATAAAATATTAGAAGGACAGACTTAACTCACTTTTCTAACAGAGAAAAACATACTATTTTAAAAAATAAAATCATACTTAACAGATCACCAACATACCTCTGGAGGTAACACTGAACTTTCGGTCTGAAAAACTGTTTGAACGTAGATTTGGTTCACTCATTTTATCCAGAAACTTGGTTATGATTTCTTTTTTCTCTGGATTGGTACTGGACAAATTAAGAACTTTCCCATTCACTGATACTGTGCTTTTACTGATTCCAAGCCAATAAAAGCAATCAAAGAGGGCATCAGCTTTGAACTCGTAGGAAAAGCTCAAGCTTTCTTCATTAGCCAGATGGGCTCCTGATGGAAAAAATCTTTTTACAACATCTTGAAAATCAAACTGTACAAAGACAAAAGGAGACATGTATTAAAATATGTTAACAAGTTGTGTACCAACAGATACATTCCAGCAGATCTAGTTATTACATTCAAAATATTTGTGTCTCAAGCTGCAGTAACTGCTGTCTTCAAAGCAACAGATATGCTACTGTTGTTTGAGTATGGGGCAGGGAGGAGGAAACTGGTGCATAATCCACCCATCTTAACTTGCATGATAGTTTTACCATTGTTTTCAAAGCTATGTCAATCACAATCCTAACAAGGTCAGACTCCATTTGCCAGACAAAAGGTTACTGAAAAGTGGAGAAACCCTATTGGTTGTTGCTGCCAGCACCAACATACAAAAATGCTCATCATTAGCAGCAGATACACTCCTTGCCTGAATGCCTAACATTTTACAGACTTTAAAAAAAAGGCTTAAAACCAATGTTCCAGGGGGGCTCTTTAGAGCATCAGAACTGCTAGCACCCATCAGGTTTTTTGTTTACAAAAATGCACTAGCAGAACATGCTCTTCCCCCTCCAACAGGCTTAAGCAGCTCAAAGTTTAACTAAAAGTCACTTTTGGAGCATGATTAACCCCAAGCACTCTCAAATCAGACTATATACACTGAAGCAAAGTACACACTGTGCTCAATTATCTATCTCAGTACTGGTGCTGAAGCTGGCGCCAGTGCTTGGCAAACAAAACAGAAATAGCATGCGTGCATCAAGTGGTTGTGCACATTTTGTAGAAGGACAAGATCTAATTAAGCTACTTCTTTTTGCTAATAGAACTCTTTATATAAGAGCATTATAGTAAGGGATTTTCAAACTCAAGATTGCCTCGAGAGCATACTAGTATTTGTAACTGCAGGGCAGAACAACAAAGAGTGAACAAATTGTTGGAAAACATTTATGTTTTGAATATATTTTGTAGTTTATAATGGTATGGATTTCAGCATCACAAACTCGCTTGCTTCTCAAATTTTATCCAGATGGTGGAATTGTAGCTTGAGAAGAAGGAAAGCCTCTTCCAGATGAATTGATATCATGTTCTTTCTTTGCCTTTAAAGACTCGCTTGCCTAATGCCTTTTCTTCAAGTGAAAAGACTACTGATTCAGAAATGTAATCCCGTATACTGGGTTGCATCTACTGCTGGTCTTCCTCAGAGTAAGCCTATTGAAATTTTTAGTGAGATTATCACTGAGTACAGCCCTAAGCATCCTTATGGGTCATGGCTGAGCATTAAGCACCCAAGGCCAAGAAGCAAGCCAAACATACCATAAAAATATCTGGAGTGTTGTGCGGCACTTTTTAAGTTCTATTTATTAAGAACTTCAAAACCAAATTACATCTCTTTTCTACATAGTTGCCTTCCTTTGCAATGCATTTTGCCCAGCATTGAATCAAATTTTTAATGTCATCAGCAAAACACACACACACACACACACATATTTATAAAATATAAAAGTGTGGAAACTTTTTGAAGACCCCTTGTATATATACATACATACATCTTTTGGAGGAAAACCACACTGCAAAATAAACTGAAATTTGCATTTTCTAAATAATTCTATTTGCGTTGGCCTAACAAAGGATTAAATATGGAGAACAGAAAGAAGAAACTTAAATACCAAGATCCCAAGATAATAGCAGACTGCTATTGTCCTTTGTCCCTTACAATTAGGCAAAACAGATACCAACTTGAAGATAACAAGCTTCTGCAAGTCAAAAAAAATGTGTGTGTCTGACTAACCCGAAGTTTGTAGCTTTCACCGATCACAGAAGATATTATGTTGTTCATGCCATTCTCAATTTGTCTTCTCATCTTTGGATGCCGAGTATTCACAAGCAAAGCATATGTTTTTTCTAAAATGGATTGAAAATTGTTACTATTGTATATAGCCAGACATGAGCATAATATTTCAGGTGAGGTTCTCTAATTGGTTAGACCACAACCCCCCTCAAATTCCACCAATATTTCATTTGCCCCTTACATTTACACCTGAAATTGCTTGCTGCACACTTTATTCATTTATTATGTTTATATCCCACCTTTTTTTCTTTTTAAGGAATCTACAATAGTTTACATTATCCTTCTCCTCTCAATTTAATCTTCACAACAACCCTGTGAGGTAGGTTAGGATGAGACTCAGTGACTAGCCCAAAGTCACCCAGTGATTTTTGCAGCTAGGAGGGGATTAGAACTCAGATCTCCAGGATCCCACTCCAACGCTAATCACTATACTACTTAGAATCATAGAAGAGTAGAGTTGGAAGAGGTCAAGGAAGTCATCAGGTCTAACACCCTGCTGTTGCAGGACAATGATTTACACCATCCCACTCAGATGATTGTCCAGTTTCTTTCTAAATATGGGCAAGTGTGGGACAGCCCACAACCTCTTTAGCTAACTGGTTCCATTGTTGCATTGCTCTGACAGTGAGGAAATTTTTCCTGGTATCTAGCCTGAATCTGAGTTGTCACAACTTGCGCTGATTATCCTGTGTCCTACACTCTGGTATGAGCAAGAAGAGATCTTATCCTTCCTCTCTGTGACAGCCTTTCAGGTATTTGTCCCCCCTCAGTCTTCTCTTTCAGGGCTGAACACACCCAGTTTTCTCAGTCCCTTCTCATAAGGCAATGCGTTCAAACCCAGAATCATTTTTGTTGCCCTCCTCTGTCTCTATAATCACATTTATTTTTATTATTTATTTATTTATTTATTTAAAGTTTTTATATGCCGTCCCCTTGCTACATAGCCTTGGGACGGCTCACAAAAGTAACAAATAAAACAATAACAATTAAATCCTGGAAACACACTGGTTGCACAGTGTACATCTGTTTTGATTCGTGAATTTCCTGAAGGGATGCACTTTGACAGGTTATAGACCATTGCTGTCTGTTTTAAAAGGATCTTATATGCCCTTTGATGTCACAGTGTGATGGTTAAAATGTTGGATTGGAGACCTGGGGTTACGGCAACCCCACTCAGCCATCAAGTTCACTGGGTGACTTTGGAGCAGTCACTTAGTCTAACCTACCCCACTGGACTGTTGTAAAGATAAAATGGAGCTATGTAAGCCACCTTGGGTTCCCCACAAGAAGGAAAAAGGTGGAATATAAATGCAATGCAATGTAATGACAGCAACAACAATAGTAAGAATAAGAATAGGAAGAAGTCAATTTAGTACTTTGACATAAATGATTCTATCCAAAATCTACATTTTAAAGATAGGTTTAGTCATCCATACCTCTTGAAGAATTATATTGTGTTCTGACATTAACGAAGAACACCAGCGGCCGACTCAGAATAGCCTCTCTGTAGTTTTTATAGTCATAATGGGTGTTAAGTTCAACATGCCTGTTCAAAAGAATAAAGCTGTGTTAGACATTCAGGCTACAAGTGAAAACCAGGGATCAGCAATGTGATTTTAACTTGAAAGTTAGGACAAGCACTAAAAATAAACTCAACATGGAATACAAAAGTTCTAGAACTAGTTTCTCATAAACTCATCCACTGACCTTGGGTGAGGCATTACTGGTAATGCTTCCCAGAACAGAGGAGGAGCCAAAAGCAAAGTGACAGTAAAGTGGCAGAAGTTAACTCTGCACAGCTGCACAAGTATCTGGAGAAACAATGACAATGACAGGGAGTAGACCAGCTTTCTGCATGCACAGTAAAGTCTGGCATGAAGGGTACTTTGCTACCACCCCAAAGGCATTGCAGATGCTCCCCCATATTACAGAAACTATAGAGAGACAAGAACAGTCATGAAAAGGAAAGGGAAGAAGTATCAACAGGAAGCCAAAAGGAATTAGAGTCTCATCTTGCCTTTGATCTGTGGCACACGTTCAAGGAATCTTTGGCCTTGACTTTCCATCACTTTACAGTGAAGCATTTAGTTGCAGAAGGGGACCATTCTGAGGTGATAAAGAAGTTAAGCCAGATTTTCAGTTTCTTTGGTCCCCAGAGTAATGTTTGATCATTCAGTATTTTAGCAGAAGCCCATGCAACTTACATCCACCACAGGGCAGCAAAGATAAAATGCAGATATAACAGCTGATCTAGCTTGCTTACTTAGTGATACAGAAGGCTAACTTCCTTTCCTATGTAAAAGGAAGTTGTTTTGAATATTATTTTTTTTTAATATGAACAGACCATAGCCCAGAAGATTCTGTTGAAGATAGCAGATTTGCTTATACATTACGCTGAATATCGTTTTTTCAAAGAGATAAGGACATGAGAAAAGACATGCTAGATCAGACGAAGGGTCTATCTAGTCCAGTACTGTGTACACATGGTAGCAAACCAGCTTCCCACAGGATCCCTCAAGGAGGATGTGTGCAAGACCTTCTCCTGCCCAGCTCCTCAGCTCCGGGTATATGCAGGCATGCCACCTCTGGTAAAGGAGGAAGCACACAGCTTGCAAAATGTTTAACATGATCTCTGTGTAATACTGTTTGTACACTAGTTTGGATTTTTTCCTAGATAAGTTTGCCTACATGCTCTACTTACTACGTGGGGGGTGAAGAGGAAGCTGTGCTTGACAGGGTGGGGGGAAATGAATGTACCTGCATGTGCCCCCCACCCCCGGCAGCAATCCTTGACTGCACACAGACCTTGAGACCATTTGGCTGTTAAAGCAGATTTATTGGGTTATCTTTAAACAAAAATTCAGAACTTTAAAAAATTCTGTTTATTTGCAGTGTTGCCATTCCTTTCTTTTCCCTTTTAATGCCATTTTCATACCAAACTGCCAGGGGGTGAAGTCAAGTTTTTGTTTCATCTGGCAGAGGAAAAGATATATGTCTGAATTTTAGACTGAAAGAATTGTGCTGGTATAGCTATGATTCTGCTATTGTCTGTCTGCATGTTTCCAAAGTCCCTTAATCAAACACACATTTATAGATTAATGGAATATTACTGTAAATTTTGCAAAGCAAATTGACTAAAAATTGCCCCATTTTTGAAAATAAGGATATAATAGATGGAATAAGCATGCAGTAAGCAACTTTAGTAAGATGCATCTTACGGCATAAGCCAAAAAGTGGTCTTGAGTTTCAAAAACTGACAGCTTCCTCCTTTTCCTTTAGAAAAGTTAGCAAACTATAGCTGGGGGGTGGGGGAGGGAACACTGTAAGAATGTTCTAGTCATTGAGTAAGCCCTCCACAATCATGAGCTATGCTGGCTGCAGCACAAAGTTCCCCATCCTTGTTCCAGCCTGTTCATATTCTTCATCTGTGACTTCTATTTAAGAGCCCCAGTAAGCTAGCCTTTTGCAGAATACAGAAATAGACCACAGAAGGTCCAGAAAATTAATCTGCAACTTCATATGGAAGTTAACTGATTAAACCTTCTTACTATTTTGCTAGTTTTTCAGCCTCTGAAAGGAATTTAACTTAAGGGTTAAACTAGAACCAATCTTTCAGCCCTTCCAACCCGATGTCTTCCAGATGTTCTGCATGACAATTCCTAGCATTCTTAATGATTGGCCATGGTAGTTGGGGCTGAGTGTTGAAGTCCCAAATATTTAGAGGGCACCAAGTTAGGGAGGGCTGATCTAGGAAATTCAGGCAAACTATTATTCCTTAACTACCCAGTGTTAGGCAGGAATTACATCTCTGTTGTGAAGACTATCCCATTGAGAGGGTTTAAAGAAGTGTATTACATGCAATTAAGGAAGCATCACCCTTTCTCTTTAATATATCTGTCTTCTGGAGTTTTAGACCTTTGCTTCTACTGATATGAACTTCTAATCAAAATTTTAAAATCACTCTGATGTAGGCCCAGTGAAGTAAAGTTGGCAACTCAAATTGAAGCAGCGGTTTTAGGAGTCACTGAAATTCTGATTCACGCTTACACATTAAAGGTGTGATTTTTATGTACATTTTGACAGAAAGAAGCCCTACATGGCTGGGGCATGGGACATTTTTTTCTTTCTGAACATTTTCTACCCTTCCCACAGACCATGATGGCTGGTTAATAACTGTATGGGATTTTATCATTTAAGCCACCTTGGGGTGGGGCAGGGGCTTTCTGCTCTTAAAGTCCAAAAATATTCTAAATCAGGAGTGGACAACTTTGGGGGCTGCAGAGGCATTTTTGACCACCCCCACCCAATATGCCCTACTCTGAGGGGCACCACAGTGCTCCCCTTATCTTTTGTATAAAAAATTGCATAAGTGCTTCATTTTGAAGTTAAACCTGACAATTTAGGATTCTAATGTTACTATGACCATTTTGGGGGGTATATTTGTTTAGCCATGGAAAGCACCACACTGGGGGCTGCATGCAGCCAGCAGGTTGCTTGTTACCCACCCCTGTTCTAAATCAATACAGGGTTGCTTAAGTCAGTGACTTACAACTCTCCTTATCCATTATTGCTGATCAAACTGGCTAGGGCATATGAGACTTGGAGGAAGGGCTGCAGCTCAGTTTGACAGGGCACTACCTTCACATGCAGGCACTCCCAGGTTTAATCCCTAGCATTTCCAGGAAGGACTGTAAAAACTCCTGCCTGAAACCTTGGAGACCTGCTGCCAGTCAGTGTTGATGTTATCAAGCTAGATGGACCAAAGACTGGACTCAATACAGGGCAGCTTCACAAATCCAAACCATGTGGATGGTACCACATCACTTACCCCTGGGTTAAACTTATGCCAAGATACTGGAACTTTAGCAAAGAGCGACACTCATGCTCAAGGTGGCACCTGTACCATTTGTGCACCAAGCTGAAAATGTATTACCTTGACTGAACTAGCTTGGCCAGATTATTGGCAAGAAGGAAGTTTTGCTTTTAAAAGAGGTAATACAAACATTTAAGAGTTTTGGACCCTGCTGAGCTAACAACTTATTTGTGTGTGCATTGCAGGGGAAGGGAATAGGGGAGGAAATTGAATTCAAGCATATGATCAATCTGTGAATCAATTTGCACTAATCAAATTGAACATCATCTATGAAAATGCTCTTAGCCCCATGACACCTATGCAAGTTAAGTTTCAAGCTTAAATAACCCAGCTATATTTTTGATTCATGCAGCTCTCTTTCATGGTCACTGTGGCTTCAACACATTTTTTGGTTAATAATCCCCCAAACCACAATAAAGACAATGCAGAGACAATATGGATATGCTACATTAGTCTCCCCCAACCTGTTGCCCTCCAGATGTGTTAGGCCATGGGTCCTCAAACTGTGGCCCGCGGGATGGATCTGGCCCGCCACGGCCATCCATCCGGTCCGCGTGCATGCTTCCTGTGCAGGCGGGGAGGCAGTGGCTTGCTCACTCGGAGATGGTTTTGGACTCGCTGGGAGATCTCTGAGCGAACGAGCCACCGCCTCGCACACCGGATGCCGCCTCGCGCGTGCCTGACAGCACCTCACCAGCCGCTCCCCCAGGCACCCCCACCTCACCGGCCCGCAACGGCCACCGCAGCCTTTCAACTGCCCCCCTATTGAAAAAGTTTGAGGACCACTGTGTTAGACTGTAACTCTGAGCATCCCACAGTGTGTTCAGCATGGTGACTAGGGATGATGGGGAGGGCTCTGGTCCAAGGTAATTCTTTGACTTCCAGGCTAGGTAAATATGGGTCAATAGTTTATGATCATATTCATTCACCAGCTCCCTTCAAAATATAAGCAAGCCACAGAGGCTGGTCCCTTATTTTTTAAAAATAAGTAGCGTGCAAAAAGACATACATAATATTTTTGGTCGGCTTTGTTTGGTACACTCTTTAACAAAGGAATGGGATAAGATGCTAACAGAAGCCAAGTAAAAGTCACATGAAAAGCAACATTATTCTGCTTACATAAGTAGATCAAGTTAAGGCACCAATGTGGTTATGGGACTTCTGCAAAACACATCATGTTATTTGTTAAGACAAAGCTGCTTTTTCTAGCAGAACAATTTACTCTATTCCACACCATGGTATGTTTTTGGAAAAACATGTTCCACTTAATGGCAAGGAGTGATGCAACCATTTAAAACTAGAATTGCTAGCCTCTAGTAAGTACACAGGCAGTAATACAGAAAAAAAGAGATTCATCTTGCTGTCTCATGTGTTGGTTGGAACATATAAGATGGCAATGCAGGATGAAACACATACACAGGAAAAGTTGGATGGGTGGTGTACATGCTTCTATTAGTCATTTTTCTGACTGAACCAGTCATACGATTTATCTGATGAAAGTCATTTTTTGCAATGGGCTGAATATGAATTTGCCCAAGCTAGCATTTCACTGTTTCCTTTTTAACTGTTTTTTAAATGACAGCTGTAAAACCCAACTTACTATTTGCTTTTGAAAATGCTACCTAGGAAGACAAAAACTCTCATTTTTAGCACTTAAAAATCCTTATTATCAA